ATACATCCGACCGTCGAAATCTCCCATGGCTTCACCATTTTTCTTCGTAGGAAAGAAAGACAGAGCACTACGTCCCTGTCAGAATTACCGATACCTGAATGAAGGGACGGTGAAGAACGCCTATCCTCTTCCGCTCATTTCTGACCTTATGGATCAATTCAAAGGCGCATCGATCTTTACGAAAATGGATTTACGCTCCGGATATAACAATGTCAGAATCAAAGATGGTGACCAATGGAAGGGCGCATTTAAGACAAATCGCGGACTTTTCGAACCTATGGTCATGTTCTTTGGACTCTGCAACTCCCCGGCAACTTTCCAAATGATGATGAACGCACTCTTCAAGGACATGATCGATGAGGGATGGATAGTCATTTACATGGATGATATCCTCATCTTCTCAAACGATTTGGAAGAACATCACATTCGAACCCGACGCGTACTCCAACGACTCAAAGACAACGACTTATTCCTTAAACTGGAAAAGTGTTTCTTTGATGTTAAAGAAGTCGAATTCCTAGGCATGATCATTCGAGAAAACTACATTGGCATGGACCCTATCAAACTTAAAGGAATTGCAGAATGGCCTGAACCAAGCACAGTAAAAGGTGTTCGCTTTTTCCTAGGGTTTGGAAACTTCTATCGGAAGTTTATTGCCAACTTCTCGGATATTGCCAAACCATTGACGAATCTTACGCGCACTGCTGCTGGATCTCCACCTTTTGAATGGACAACAGAATGTCAGACAGCTTTCGACACATTGAAGCAACGATTCAGTACCGCCCCAGTACTGTTACTGCCTGACAAGGCAAAACCCTTTATTGTTGAATTCGACGCTTCCAAGTCTGCTACGGGTGCAGTTTTACGCCAAGCCGATATCAATGGAGACCTCCATCCTTGTGCCTACATTTCACAGACGCTCAATCCAGCTGAACGGAACTATGAAATCTACGACGCGAACTCCTCGGAATCATTTGAGCCCTCACTGAATGGCGCCATTATCTTAAAGGCTCTCCCCATCCCGTCGAAGTTCGCAGTGATCACAAGAACCTCACGTACTTCCGTACAGCTCAGAAGTTAAACCGCCGACAAGCACGATGGAGTCTCAAATTATCACAATTTGATCTTCACCTCATCCATGTCCCTGGCACTCAGATGATCCAATCTGATGCGCTCTCTCGTTGTAATAGACTCGATGACAGTGAAAGTGACAACGAAGATCGCATTCTTTTACCCAACGCACTATTCGTGCGATCCATTTCCCCGACACTATTTGACGAAATCAGGAATCATGCAGCAAAAGACCTCATTGTTCACGAAGCCCTCGAAGCGATTGCGCACAAAGGTCCATTCCCCATGAAATCATCGCTTTCCGACTGGGAAGTTCGCGATGGTGTCATCCTCTACAAGGGAAAGATTTACGTTCCACCATCCGAAACTCTTCGTCGTGACCTCGTTCGACTACATCACGACTCCCCTGCCATGGGTCACCCTGGAAAGTTCAATACTCTTGAACTGTTACGTCGTGAATTCTGGTGGCCCGGCATGTATACATTTGTCTACAATTATGTTGAAGGCTGTGCCGCCTGTCAACAAATGAAACCGAATACTCATCCAACTCGTATTCCTTTGGAACCAATTCCCGCCGACCCACACGCATTACCATTTTCCTGTTGCACCACCGATTTTATTACCGACCTCTCCGTTTCCAACGGTTTTGATTCAATTATGGTCGTAGTAGACCATGACCTTACGAAGGGGGTGATTCTTACGCCCTGCCTCAAAACGATCACCGCTGAAGGAACGGCCAAGATTTTTCATGACAAAGTATACTCGCGATTTGGATTACCCGACCGAATCATCTCGGATAGAGGACCTCAATACGCATCCAAGGTCTTCCAAGAGTTAAATCGACTACTCCAGATCAGATCATCAATGAGCACAGCTTATCACCCTCAGACGGACGGAGAAACAGAGTGAGTCAACCAGGAGCTGGAAATCTATCTTCGACTCTATTGCGGAAACAACCCTGAAACATGGGCCGACCGCCTGCCAGACCTCGAGTTTTGTCATAACACAAGGGAACACTCAGCACGGAAGATGAGCCCATTCCGCATCATGATGGGATACGAACCACGTGGACTCCCTTCCGTATTTCCGACCACGAACATTCCATCGGTTGAATCCAGGCTTGACATGTTGCAGAAGATAAGACTAGAAGCACTAGCCATGCACAAGTTAGCCCGACAACAGATGGCGGACCGAGTCAGACAAGGATCGCCGAAGTTTACACTAGGACAGAAGTTCTGGCTAGACTCGAGGAACCTGAAAGTCAATTACGCCTCGCGCAAGATAGCACCAAAGCGTGAGGGGCCATTCGAAATTGTCGAAGTTATCGGACCAGCCAACTATCATCTCAAACTCCCGAAGACCTGGCGAGTTCATTCCGTATTCCACGCCGCCCTTCTATCTCCTTATCGCGAAAATGACATACATGGTCCGAATTACGTGAACCCACCACCTGATGTCGTTGATAATGAAGAAGAGTACGAAGTCGAAGCCATCCTGAATCACAAGACGTACCGAGGTCATCTGAGGTACTTAGTCAAGTGGAAGGGATATTCTTCAGCAGAAAACTCGTGGGAACCTACCCACAATTTACAGAATGCCAAGCGAATCCTCGATGCATATAAAAGGACCAGGGGAATCCAGTAGAGGAGAAGAAACCCGGAATGACTACCACGACGGTTTTCCTCATCATCTTCCTAATCGTCCTCCACTGCACAACCCTCACTTTTCTTTGGATCATCCACCGAATCCTTATCAGACGACTTGTCGAACACACACTCTTCACGCGAGACAGCCCGCACGCTAACGGCTGGGGTGATCAGAACGATGCCTGGAACTGATCAGGCAGCTCTTATCTCTGTGGGAACACTCTTTATCGTCCAATGGATTTTTATCTATTTGATTATTACCCGGATCCACGACATTCTATTTCACATCACAGATAACCGCGATCCCCTTAACGACCGAAAGGTATAAAAGGAGGAGAAAACGACATATCATCAATGTCTACTTCCGCTATAGACGACCTTGTTCACAATATACTCGCTGAAGTCACCTCCACAATTATGAGCGTACCCGCATCGCCTACGCTTGTCAATGGAGTACCCTCTCGAGCACAGACACCCTTTATCCGCACCTCATCGCCCTCACCTTCTATCGAACTCAGTCACGCATCGGACGAACAAGAATTTGCCACACGACTGGTCTCGGCTATCCGTGTTCCTGTCGACTTCACAGATATCCTTGTTGCCTTACGAAATCGCCCGCAAGATCGACAAGCAGTGGTTTCCATGCAACGAGCATTAGAAATGGTCGAGTGGATGCAGACAGCCAGACAAGAGCTCGTCGCAGCAGAAGAAAGGACGAGTAGAGCCCGAACCAGAGTCGACCAAGTCTGGTCGTTGATGCGCAGTACGGTCACTCGTACAGCACAGGAGATTTGGAGGGAGCATGGGGATGAAGACATCGACATCCTCGGATACACCACTAATGGAATACCCGCATCCACTCCTCGCTCGTCACCAGAACCAATTCCCGTTTGACCTCGCCCTCCTCGTTCGCACGTACCCAGTGGACGATCTCCGTTATCCCAACCATCTTTCTCGACCGCATCCACTTCTTCACGTCGCAGTCATCCCTACAGGGATGGACGTATTCCCGAACAAGGATCACGAACCAGCCGGCGGACATGCTACAGATGTGGAGGAGATCATTATGTCCGCGACTGCCCCCGACGATGATGAAGATCACAAGATTTCTTGTGGGACAAGAAATGTTAGACGGGAGCTGATGTTACAACGCTCCTCACTTGTGGCGCGTCTTTTCTTTTTCTTTTCCTTGTTCCCTTTACATTACCAGACCAAGTGATCCAACACGTGACTCATCGGAGCGCAACCTCCGATTCTTTATCCAGGTGTCCAGAACCCCTAGTCTAGGGTTACATCGGATCCAACTCCGGACCTTCTTCTTATCGCACATGCAAGACGTGCATGTATGCCTCATCTTTACCTCGTTCTGATACACGACTCGTTATCCCCATTAGTACTGATTATATCTCACGACCTTACTCAGCTTTCTCATACATATTACTTCCTCGCTGTTACCCTGCTCTGATATTGTTTCACCTTGTCTAGCCAATGAACGATTCCGCATTACTGCATAGTACTGCGGATGCCTTTTGTATAAGTAAACGACCTGGTCGAGCTGGATCCCCATCTCGACCTGGTTACCATTAAACCAGCTTTTCACTTGTCTTTGACTGAGATCGACCGTCAGTAGCAGACAGCTACTACGAGTCATAAGAACGAACTCTGATCGACCTTCAGTGCGAGGACATCGCCAGAAGTGTCACTCGAACGGACTTGTGTCTTAGACTAAGACCTTGTCTCGTGACGACTCGACTAGACGCTCGTGTTTCGCTGCCGCGTAACATGCACCGACAGCACCCAATAGCCTCCTCTCCATCACGCATTTAGATGACGCGGGAGGAAGAGTACTTATGGGAAATAGTCGCACAATACTAATAGATAAAAATAAACACACCCTTGCTATAGGCAAGAAAAATGGACGACTATATTCATTGAAATTGCGTCCAATAGTTCCGCAACCTGCGCGATGCGAAAGCCATTTCCCAAAGAGACGGATGAATGCAGCAAGGTACCCGGAGAATTAACACACACAGATGTGTGGGGACCTGCGCAGACAGCCGCTCTACAAGGGTGGAAATATTTTATTACATTTACCGATGATTACAGTCGTCGAAGTACAGTACTATTTATGAGGCATAAAGATAAAGTAACTGAAGAATAAAGAATTATATTACCTATATCGAGCGCAAGTTTGGAAACAAACCCTTGCGACTCAGGCTCGACAACGGTCGAGAATATATGAACACCGAATTAATTAACTGGTGTCAAATGAAAGGGATCGAGATGGGTCCGACTGCGCCATACTCACCATCCCAGAATGGAGTCTCTGAGAGATTGAATCGCACACTGCTTGGACTAGCGCGCGCGATGATCTATGCGAGAGATCTACCTCGTTATCTTTGGGCTGAAGTGATTGCTCACGCAGTCTATATTAAAAATAGATCGCCTACCCAGGCGTTAAATGGGGCAACTCCCAAAGAAAAATGGAATGGGACGAAACCAAATATCTCGTACCTACAAGAATTCGGTTCCCCCGTATGGGTCCTCACGGAGGACGCAACACTATCAAAGCTAGCGCCCCGTGCCAACAAGTATATTTTTGTTGGATACATGGACGGACCCAAAGCCATCAAATATTATGATGCGCATACGTGCCAGATTAAAATCTCGCGTAATTTCCAATTTTCTTCAAATTCCCCGGACCATTTGCCCGGCAATGCGCCTCACGTGCCACAAGAGCAAATAGGATCCAACGTACCTATCCTCACAGCACAGTGTGAGGGGGAGCAAAATATATTTCTGGGCACTTTACCTAGCAATGCATCAGACGTGCTGCATGCGGAAAGGAGACCTGAAGTCCCAAACCTCACAACGACCGCAGACGTGCGGCGCGAGGGGGAGTTAGGAACTTCCGCGCCACAGTCACCTGCCAAAAATCCGCGAAAGCACAGACAGGATGATGATCCTGATCAACGCGAGGAAAGTGGGACGGACGCACCAAGCCAGCCCAGACGAACCAGAAGAAAGACAGTTCAGCATGATTACCATCTAATGCACGACCCAGAGGCAGACGAAGATCTGGATAATGATCCAGATAAATCAAATGCCGAATTAGTCTATATTGCGATGAGTGCCCACGGAAATGCGGACACGGATGAGCCAAAGACGCTCAGTGATGCCAAGAGATCACTCGAGTGGCCCAAATGGGAACAGGCAGTCCAGATGGAACTCAATCAACTACAGGGTATGGAGACTTGGGAGTTAGTGGAACCTTCTGAAGATCGAAAACCCGTAGGAAATAAATGGGTTCTAGTCAAGAAAACAAACAAAGAGGGTGAAATAATTAAATACAAAGCCCGCCTGGTTGCGAAGGGATATTCTCAAATCCCAGGCATGGACTATACTGAGACGTTTGCGCCTGTAGTCCGCCTCAAAACCATTCGAGCTATCCTCGGGCTAGCCGCAATCTTAGATTGGGAGATCGGACAGATGGACGTGAAAGACACCTATCTTAACGGAACTCTCAAAGAAGAAGTGTACATGCCTTGGAATAATCTACGGGCCAATTGCAGATGTCAAGCCTGAAGATCAATCCATATTTGTGGGCTACTCAGATGCAGACTATGCGAACGATATCCGAGATCGCAAATCAATCTCGGGATATTTATTCAAATTAGGAAATGGCACGATCACGTGGAGCTCAAAGAAGCAAACCACGGTCGCGTCATCCACCACGGAAGCCGAATACATGGCATCCGCCGAAGCGGCAAAAGAAGCCGTGTGGCTCCGAACACTATTCAAAGAAATAGGTTTCGAGCAACAAGATCCTACGATTTTATTCGAGGATAATACAGCGGCGATCTCAATCGCACGTGATCCCCAATTCCACGCGAAATCAAAATATTTTGATGTAAAGCATCATTATGTGCGCGAGAAATTGAGGGATAAATATATTGATATCCATTACTGTCCCACGGAGGACATGATAGCGGATATCCTAACAAAGTCACTCCCTAAGCCAAGGCACGAGAAGCTCACAAAGAAGCTCGGAATGCCCATCGGCTTGAGGGGGAGTGTTGGAAAGTAGCGCCCAAATTTCTAGAGCTCCAGAAATTGGGGAGTGCCCAAGGGCAGACAAGCCGAGGGCATGATTACAAAGAAAGACAAAGAAGGAAATTTGCTTATATAAAGTGGAGCATCTAGAACTGTATATATACAGAAATCTATTTTAGGACGCGGAATCACGCGCCCCGACGCATCTTGACCCGCCATCACTACCTTCCTATTTGGGAACTAAGGCGCGATTTCTAACAAAATTAAACTCTTGAAAGCTGGTGACAAAAACCGGAGCTCATCAGCAAAATTCATCACATGACCGTCGTCGGAGACGGTGGGCGCGCGATGACACCGACCCGACGCACAACAGCGAGAACGGGCGGGACGGCGGGCAGTCCGGTGAGCGCCAGGCTGCGCCGGTGAGAGCGGCGGAAGCACGTCACGGTGTTACCTAGGATCACGCCGGCAAATACTCTTCGCTTCCAAAAACAGACCTGATACAGCTCGTGCACCGTACGTCGAGAGCCAAATCGGCGAGCGTATCCGCCGAGCGATCAACTTCAACAGTCATTTCTCCCCGTGAATCCACGCGAGGTGAGTGCAGTTGTCCACAATACCATAAAAACATTGGATAGCATATTCAGAGTTCATGCATACCAAGCATGGTCTGACGACCATCGCGGTGAAGGTATCCTCGCTGAGTATAAGATCTGCTGCGACGAAGCGTTAAGCTGCATAGCCTTGCCGGCCACGGAAGTCAGCGCCCACGTCGAGGTTGGCGTGGCGATGGGTGATGGACTGATACATGTGTATTCCTACTACCCCGTGCGCTCGATGGGCGCACACGAGCTAGGGTGACAGTACATCATACTTAGTTAGTTCGACCAACGATCACGTCAATCAGGTTCACAGTGCAGGAAGCTGTTCATGGCCGGCAACGAAGACCGAAGTCGTACAGTTTTCTTTGTGCCCGTAACTCTCTGAGGCCCGGTAATTGAGATTAAGACACTAAACGAGGCGAACACGCACAAACCAATCGTCATTAATTCTGACAGCCAATACACGAGGATGGACCTGTCGTCAAATAATACCAGCCAAGTTACGACGTCGATCCATGCAGATCCAGTAGAAGGGTTTCAAGGGTATATAAGTCGCGAATTAGGCCTCGGTATACACAGGAGGTGCGTCGAGAATGCCCACTTCGGAGGGTGCTATTCTCGGCGGGAAACGAATGCCTGAGTCCATGTTCGGCTCGGCTGGGAGCGCCTCGACAAGGGGGTGTAAAGACGATGTCTCGGCCGCACTAGCGCTCTTCAACTCCGAACTGCCACTGGAAGAACCAGGAGGTAGTGGGAGTTGGTGTGCCTCCAAGTGCGTGGATGAGGAATCCGCCGCAGCTACCACGGGTGTAGTGGGATGCAGAAGCGCTTTACGAGGTGTGGACGCAGACGGGGCAGAGGGCGCGGCGGCGGTGAAGGGTGTGATCAACACGCCTGGAGAGGATAGTGATAAGCTAGTCGAATGAGCGAGCGTTGAAGGGCCGGAAGGACCCGACCCGGGGGTTTGCCATGCAACCAGTGATGAACTGTCATTAGTCGCAGATGGCCCACTTTGAACCATTCCAGCCCCTAAACCCAGATGAGGCGGTATATTGTGCACGCCTTGGCTTTGAAGAGCAGCATCTTGTTTCCCAAATTATCAGCCTTTCTTTTCGAGGTTCCCGAGCGATACGTACCTTCGCTGCCATCGTCTGGATTGTACGGATATACTGGAGTCGAGTAATAGAACTGAGCTCCGCGGCCCGCGCGCCTGCGCCTCCACCAAAAGAAAAGCGCAAGAAGCACCACAGCTAGCCCAGCTATGCCACCAACTACGCCTCCAACAATAGCGCCGACAGGTGTGGATGATGAGTGCGAGGTGTTTCCCGCAGCACCACCCGACGAGGTAGGCTGGTCCGTCGACGTCGCAGATGCCGAAGACTTTGTAGTCATGGCGGCTGTCGAGTTGGCTGTGCCATATGCTGATGATGCAAAGGACGAGGAAGAAGAGGAAGGAGTGGAAGAGGAAGAAGAGGAAGGAGTGGAAGATGATGACGAGGAAGACGACGCCGGCACTAGCATTGTATATGCGATGTAATCCAGCATGTATTGACTATACGGTGAAACTTGCGTAATATTGAAGGCAAGAGTATGTGTGCCATTCGGAAGGGTACCACTGTCGAAGAACTTGACACCATCCGCCTCGGAAGTGACATTCGGTGCGACATATGATATCGGCGTCGCTCCGTCAATGCTGTATATCGAGACTGGCGGGGAACTTCCGTTCGTTGCTGGTCCAAGAGTGCCAAAAACTTGCACTCCAGTCCCTACAACAAAGTATGAGCGAGGAGCAAGCTGATTACGGATAAGCCCACTCACCTACGAACTGGAACGTCGCACTTCCCCCAGGGTTCACCGTCGTCGTTAAAGTCTGATCATACACCTCCTGGTTGCCCGAATGCGTAAAATACCAGTCAGCGTTTGGACCTGGATTGTACTTGATAAGGGTTGTGTTTGCGGAGTCGACATCGACGGTCACTGTGGATGTCACGGTCGACATGGTGGACGGTTGAGCATGAGCTAGGTAGAGTAGGGCACGCACCCACGGGGATGGCTTCGCAAATATGATTACCTGAGGCACTATGCGGCGCTCACCGCTCACGCGGCATTGTTAGGCGGTTGCTGCCTGCCAATCTAGCTGTCAACGAAATGATCCTAACTGTGTTTGGGGAAGATAATCACGTACAATGCGGCCGGTTCAACGCAAGATAACCGTCACATACCAGCACATACGTCAGAAACCGCATGTTACAGAACGTTAAGAGTGACCTGGAAGCCTGCATCGGATGGCAATCTTCCGAGGATATGTTTTATGTCAAGGCTACTGCAATCTGCAGCATTTGACATATAGCTCTGTCAGGTTCTATTCTGTCTCGACTGCATCGAGACGGTGCACAGCCACATTCAGACGTGCCGTGATAGGTAGAATTGCAAATTCCGTTATGATCTTGATGGTGCGACGCAGTCTTGGGCCTTGGCCATCTGTTGTCTCAGACTCTCAGAGCAATTGGGCAGCTGGGCTGATCATGCTTGAAAACCTGGTGTCTGCACAAACATCCCGCAAGTATTGACATTTCAGAAACGGTTACTTCCATGGATAGGACAGCATCCGGGTTGACGAGTTGGATGGCACCGAGAAGTACTTACTACGAAGTCACCGAACAAAATCACCCACGGCGTATGCGAAGTCAAACTGCCTGCCTTCAGCACTATTCAGCTCGGTTGTTACGAGGTCAATGACCTACTGCACTACGCGTTGAAGTACAAGACAAAGTCTTCGCGGGAGCAGGACCAATTGACGGCTCATGCAAGTTAACGCGGAACTTTCGCTAGCGCTCGTGATACACGGAGAATAGTACAGCTGGCTTCGATATCATTAGCAGACTTCGAATTAATGACAACTGGCACATACAGCATGACCCTAATTTTTTATAGAGAGTTAAAAAGCTGCGGCGAGCGAAACATCTTCAGATTCACCCCAGTGATCCAGATAATCCAGCGGTTTCGCACTCACCACAACGCAGAAAATTTCCGCCTCTTTTCGAGCGTCAGTGTAGCATCTCTACCTTAATCCTGAGCACCGTTTCTTGCTCTGATTCTGTATTTGGGTGCTCTTCTTCGATGCTCACGCCCATGTGTCCTCCACATTTGTTAAGTTTTCCCTTGCCGGGTCCATTGGGCCCGGAAGAAGCGCACTCGCACAGAAGAATGACCATAGAAACCTTTCCCCTCTTCATAAAGGTCACATATTCATCATCCATCCTACTGAGCATGAGCTCATTATCGACACCACGGCAGCGGTAAGACTGAGACGTACCGCACTCCAAGTTGTATTCCACTTCCATACACGATCTCTTCGGTGAGATCCCGTACATACTGCTCATCGGCGATCACCTGAGCATCCTTGATGACAGTTGTGGTTCCGTAAAACTGCAACAATCCATTACTATCTCCCTGACTGCCATCAGCAAAATTCAGTATTCCGGACTTGGACACACGGCGGGTCATCAGGGTCGTCGCGCTCGAATATGCAGCAGTCAACGCAAGGCAGAGTTCGGCAAGCGACTCGAACTCGCAAGGATGTGCCTCAGTGCTGGCAGTGATATGGTTTGCTAGAGATCTCATGGGCGGGGTGGGCGGAATGGACGTAGGTTCTGATACGCGCCGCCAAGTAAGGTTCACGGTATCCAGCCACCATTTAGCTGGACCAGCAGGTTTTGACGACCCAGGGGCTGCAGAGTTGCTGGGTTGTTCAACGTTCCCCACCGCCTCTTCCTCCTCTTCATGCTTTGCTTTCTCATAGCCCTCCTCCTCCTGTTCCAGCCGATTGGGCAATGTGTCACTGTGTGAGAGAAGCACCCTTTTGTCCTGACGCCCTAGATTATTCTCGCTCGAGGCCGCATTAGCAGGATTGCCATCACTCAGAACAGAAGTGATGGTCTTCCTCCTCTTGCCCGTTCTCTCCTCCGAGCTCAGACCTTGCACTTCACCTGCAGCCCGTATATGTCCAAGACGCTCCGGAAATATCTTCTTCCCCTTATGATAATTTCGTCTCCCGCGCTCGCGACATTTCTCGCACAGTAGAAAACGATACTCGGCAAATGGGAGAAGAGCATTTTGGCACGAAATGTGGCTGCACAAGCGTTTTTGAGGTGAAGTGACGGCAGCAGTACCGGTAATGGCAGCGATGCTGATGCTGGTCGGCGGGGACAGCAGAGACCTCTGGTCTTGTGAGGCGAGCGCAGGAGCTGGAAGAGCAGCAGGGGCACTCTCTCGCGGACGCCCACGCGGCCTCTTGACGACGGACGGAGAAGGAATAAGTGTATCTGTCTTACGCGGACGACCTCGACGCTTCTTTACAGCGATGGGTGCGACAAGGGTTCTATCTTGCTGTGCGCTCGGAATTTCCGACGCTGTGATTGCGGCGACCGAGGTCTGTTGTTTCCCAGTGTCCGCAACAGCGCGTGAATTGATCGCCTCCATGAGACCATTCGAGCGCGTATGTACACCAGCATCCGCGCTGGAATCTGGCTGGATGTGAGACTCGGCAGCTGTATGTGCAGTGACTGAAGACGAAATCAAATTCTCCGAAGTATGGCCTGCGACCGAGGGAATCTGCAAGGCAGAAACACGTTTGCGCTTATGGTCCTGCTTCGAAATGAGGACATAAACTGAAGATGGGATTGGCGCAGGTGTCTCAGAAGTCCTAGCCCCAACCGATCCTGCAAGCGGAAGTGCATTTGCAGCGGAAGAAGTGGCACCACGTGTCTTGATAACGTCAAGTCGTCCAGTTTCCTGCGAGGCCCCAGGGAGGTCGTCTTTCCCGAACACCTTCAGCTGGTAACCTCGAGGGCCAAATGTAGAGCGACGTTCAGGCAAAGGGACAGCAGAGCGTGCCAGCGGCTTCCGTGCCACGGTGGACAAAGATGGAAGCTTGGGTGGCCTGGATGGCGTCCACGGCGTGCGGTTCCCTCGACCTTGTAACGGCGAGACGTCATCTTCCCAGTCCTCCAGTCCATCGTCTACTGCTTCAGGTTCAGCGAGAGTCGCGACACTTACTATAGATCTTGCAGGCTCAGCTAGATTGTGACGAACTTGCGCGGACTCTCGTGCGACTCCCTCGGCTCCATTAGCACCAAGCCTACGTCCTGAGCGAGGTTTCTTGACAGATGTAGGCGGCATACGCACTGTTTGTGAAGGAGAGATGTTAAAAGATGCAATCAGCGTCATTTGACACGCATGGAACAAACATGGATGCTGTACTGGCACGAAGCCCTACCTGGATATCCAAGGTTGAGTGAAGTTGTTTGAAAAATGGAAGCGCACCACTGTACCTTCTCCGACGTGGGATTTATGAGTGCTACTTGAGCGAAGCAAGGCGTAAAAGTATTGCAATTGGGGTATCACGCAAGTACATCAGGAAAAGTCAAATCTGCTTAACCTCCTTATTGCCTTATTTAAGGAAAAATAAGGCGATCTCCCACCTTATTATTGCTTATTTCTCCTTATTTGTTCTTTTTCCTCTTTATAAGGAAAATAAGGAAGAATAAGAAGGAATAAGAAGAAGGATTGTCTTATTTCTCCTTATTAAGGCAGATAAGGAGGCTAAGCAGATTTGACTTTTCCTGATGTAGTAGATGAGTTGGTTAGGCTGAGATGCTGTAAGATAAGTGCCCGCACTCTGCGCCGGCGTTCGCCGGATCGAAAATCTTCTGAACAAATTGAACGTAAAACAACAGCACGCAGCTCCTTCTCAAAACATGACTTCCGCACACACAACACCAGATCTACCTGTACTCTTTACGGCGGTCTTAAACGTCTTGATGTTTTGATCCTGAGCTCAGAGTCTACACCTACACATACTTGCACGTGACTATGTCGCTCACACCAAATTCGCGGCGAGGAATTCGAGATGTACTAAGCCTAACTTCGAGTATTTGTGCCTACTAGTATCCTCGGTATGAATACGAAGTAACCATGAGGGAGAATAGCTGAATTGAATACTTTCCGTTTCCTCTTTCAGGACACAACTACTAGGTTACAGTGGGCCGCTGGACCAAAACATAGCGATTCCATGTCCAAGGGCACACCTGCGGTATGTCTGCGTTGTGTGATGACTGATACCTTCTGCGTGCTACTGAATACTTGTATCAGATAACACAGTAATATGTTCACCGTATGTTTAGGAGACATGGGTGAAGCAGGACTGGAATAATGGTCGGTTATAACATGCTCGGCAAAGAAACTGAACGTTGCGTCACAGTCAGTTTGCCGATGGGGCATAAATATGGACTGTTTGAATTGTGCCCAATTTCTCCATCGTAACTTGAGTACCACGTAAATATGCCCTTCGAGCCTGGAGGCATCTATGCGATTCTATACGAACTCCCACCGACCCGCCCCAACCGCCCTGCCCCCCTACATTGGGGCCTCCTCATTGCCACTCATCCCGACGGGATCAATAGCGTTCGCATTCACGTGAAACAACACGACGTAACCAGCTGGTACCGCGAACTTTCATGGACTTACGATGCGCTTCGGTCTTCAAATGGCTTACGTTACATCCGTCTGGGACACACGCGCAATATGTCCCACGCAATACAGACAGTAGAAGCAATACCAGTTCCAGAAAGTGCTCCAGGTATTTTCAACTGCGTATGCTGGACTATGGAAGCGATCCAATCTCTCCACGTTGCTGGCTACATTCAGCTCACTTCTGGTGTGTTGACCGAACTAGAACAGATGATACGTCATATCGGGAAGCAGGCGTTGGAGTCGAAACATGCAGGGATGTGGCGACTTGATCAAATTGTGGACGCGCATTCTCGTTTACCCTGATGAGCAATGTCGGCGCCTCCTCGTCTTCACGTCGCATCTGGTACCTCGGTGAGCCACGTATGACCTCTTATTTGGTGCTGTGTTCTGACCAGGCCTCAGTTTACACTGTTGGTCTTCTGCAATACATGTCGCCTTCTTCAAAAAGTGAATTCTTTGTTTTGTAACACTACATTCAAGTGTTTCGTCTAATATCATCTTTCTGTGCTTATGCGAATTGGTCGTGGTCGGGTGGCCAGTGCTGGTCAATGGTGCTTCTATGAGTGTGCAGATTGCGATGCCTCTCGCCTTCATCTACATCTTTCATTCGGCCCCTGTAGTGTTCGCTTCCGACCTGAAGAATTCCGTGGCTCCCTATACTCGTCGATATTGCTCTTGCTGGGACAAGGCGTCTCTCGAATCCCGGCCATCGTGCGTATGTCATCCTGGCGCCTGTTGGGCGTCTTGACTGGCCACCAAGGCAATGAGAAGGATTTTTGAAGTAACGATCGTCCATGATCTCTTCAGGTGCACTTACTGTCCGCTGATCGCAGGATATCGCCTGGCGTTTTATCATATCTTCTTGTTACCTGGGGGCCTGCAGTAGTAAGCCCTATGCTCGATGCCGCTTCAGCGTCACTTGACTAAGCTGCCTCGCACCTTCAGAATTGTGTCAGATTGCGCTACATAGTAGTTGCAAATTGAAATAGCAAGTCGAAGTGGTCTGTGCCAGGCATGATACCTCACCTTCCGCCTGAGCTTAGCGACCGCATCATCGACTTCCTCTGGCACGACTGGAAGTCGCTTTGTAGTTGTGCTGTCGTATGCCGTACCTGGTGGCATGCGAGCCGCTATCACCTCTTCAGCAGCATGCGCATCTCACGTCTATCGACCCTAAACGCCATCGCGAAGGCCGCGCGGTCACCTTACTTTATTCCGCCTCTGCATTGGATCCGCTCCCTGGAGCTAGTCGAAGCTCACAGGTCACCGTCTGCGGTCCGCGAGCCTCTTTCAGATTGACCGCCGCGCTGGGTACACCTCGTACCAGCCCTTCTCGGACCCAAACTCACCCAGGTTGAAGTCATGTGCATTCGACACGTTGACTGGAGGAGAGTGCATCTTCACCAGGGTTTCTTCCTGCTTCTCCCGCTCTTCCGCAACGTCGCCAAGGTCGTTCTGAGCTGCTCGTTCCTTCGCACGTTCCGCGACTTCCAGCGCTTCCTCTGTGCGCTTCCACAGCTTCGCGGCGTTACTCTCACATCTCGATGTCCGTGGTCAGGGGGCACCCACCGGGACTTTCCGTGACTCCAACCCCTGTGGTTGTTGTCCCTCCACTGGTGTACGGGGTCCATTTCTATCTTTTTCAAGCACTTTCGCTCAACTTTCTGACTACACATAACCTGGGCCACTTTGTGCGCTCGGAATCTCGGGATATGTTCTTCACATGTGTATACAGTACCTCCGGCAAAACTTTGAGATATTCCTCCGCTGTTCGAGTTCACAGCCGTTGTCGAGGGCAGTGGCGTTCAGGCTTTGGACCCGATGAGATAAGATAAAGAACATGACCCGTGCATCTCTTTCCTTCATATCTTCCAATGCAAATGTCAGGCATTTCCGTCCTGAATCCTGGATATCCACCCGTACTACTCGCGCTCAGAACCGGTGAACAAGCATGGGCACATTACAATTCATCATCTGGGAAGTATGAAGACCAATGTCCCTATCCATTGCTCTCTCTGTCCTCCCACAGCATCGGGTCAACCTCGGACCATATGGAAGTACAACACACTGTTCCACATCACTATGGAGCACTCGAAAGAGGACGGAACGCTACCACCAATCGCCCCGCAACTTCTCGTGGACATGCATATCTCACGAGCCGAAGAAGCATTCATGGAGATTGACGAGCAGGTTACTGAAGAGTGGAGGTTGGAAAATGAAATTCCGAATACTGATGTGATAGAAGAGACGCGCGAAGGGCTCGCGCAGAAGAGGAATAGAGCACCGTCGACAGTAGTTAAACAGCCTCGCAGGAAGGCGGCAAGGTATGGTACTTAGTAGTAGATCTATCGCGTTATCTCATCTATTTCCATATCGGGCTCGGGGGGTAGGAGATCCAGTGCACGGGGTCCTCCTCTTCACTTTTTCGGGTTGAGGTCGATAATTTCCCGGCTGGTTGCCCCCTGTCCGTGGTATCACGACACTTCTGAAACTTCGCATCGCCCGCATCGCCGAATACTCTGCATTAATCGACTGGCTGGTCCACACATCGTGCATCCGGTCCTTGAGGAACTTGCGCTTGCCCGTAACTGCCGATGTTGCAGCAATCACAGTAGTTGCAAGATTCATTGCAGCCTTTGGAGCCTCTCTGGACCATCTAGAGTTGGACATGCGATGCCACAATGCGTTTGACCGTGAGTTCTATAGAGTGCTCGTCGAACCCCAACCCGAGCTAACTGAGCAATTCATATTCCTGTAGCTCAACAGCTGTGCCTCGCTCACAGCACCGAATTGCATACTCTGTGTCTCTGCTCTCAGAGTTATTCACTCTCTGAGGGAAACCTTGAGCAGACCTTGCCCGCCATCCTTTCTCAGATATCTCCGAAAAGCAGGCTCCGCCGTCTGGAGCTCACCGTGAAAGTCACAGACATCGACTGGAAACGCGTCGACGAGATCCTTGCACAAGACCATTTCATCCAACTGGAGATGGTGACTCTCCGATATTGGTGGTCTGCCGTCACCCGCGAAGACATCGATTGGTGGGAGCGGGAACTCTCTGAACGTATGTCGCGTTCGCTCAGTCGCCTACACCTGCGCGGTGCGGTGGTAGAAATGTTGCCGATCCACGGCGAAGTGAATATGCTAGTCAACAGAGATATTGATTGATGCCACCATGATCTATTCGACGAGCAATTTCCTGCATGAGTCTGGAGAGGACGACTCACACAATGTTCGTAACTGGAACTGAGCATGCCATGATGACATCATAGGTCCGGCCTGTGGATCACAATCTACATTGATGTGAATATTCAACCATCGGTCAAGCTCAGAACTGGTGCAACACGATCATCCATGAGAAAAACGCGAGGTCGTGGGCATCAAAGACGAAGAACGGGTATGAAGGCCTAAACCGTAGACGCGAGTCGAGTCGAGTCGAGATCAGATGGGGCTGTCCACCCTGACGGGTGCAGTGTACTCGAGGCTAAGGGAGTGATACTGTGCAGTCTTAGGCCGGCCTTCCCGAAAGGAACTCATGTGCCTCCTCCCAGCTCATCCGCTCGCGCTCCTTTCCCGACGTTTCACCTCGCCTCACCTCCTCCTTACTCACTGCCAGCCAGTCCTCATAGCCAGTGACCACTCCGGTCCGCTGTGCTGCCTCGACCTCAGGAGGGGGGCCGTCGCTCGCCACCGTCTCAGGTAATACCTCAGTCACAGGCTGACCCTCACCTGGATCTGCATCTAAGGTCGCCGCTCCGGCACCGACATTCCCAATAGGCAGATCACGTTTGGATAACGAGTCTACCAGGATGGTCTGAGCGACCGAATACGCGTCCATCATGGTACCCGCGAGCACCCCGTGCGCGCCTGTCGCTGCCCACCCGCTGGCATACACCCTCCGGACAGTGCGCCCATCATCGCCCACCACGCGTCCGCCGACGGCGCGCAGATGGCCGAGCGCCGGGTCGTACCATGCAGCGTCGGGCTCCGAGCGATGTCCGAGCGAGGTGACGACGAGGGAGGTTGAGAGTGTGGACGTTTCTCCCGTTGGAACCGCGCGCACGGAAGGGTCAAGCATCGTGTGCGCCAGCGTTAACTCTGCGTCTTCGCGGTGCAATGGGGATGGCGGTGTCGAGGACGCGACTAACCCGGTAGGCGACCGGAAGAAATCCAGAGACCACGTCTTGCGCGTGCTCCCTGGTTTGTTCTTTGAGCCTTTTTGGAGCAACTGTAGGGTGCGCGACTGCTGCCGCGTGAGCTCTTCCCCTTCTGGGATCTTCAGTACTGATGGGTCTAGTGGGGCCATCGACGCGTCAGGTAGATTCATCATCTCGCGCAGCTCCTTCGTTGTAAATGCTGCTTGTAGGGGACCCCTCCTTCCTACGATAGATACGTGCTGAACTGCCGAACGTTCAAGCACAGAAAGTACAGACTGTGGTACATCGTATTTTCTGAGTTCTGCCGGCGGCGTGAGCAGCATTCGTGCGACGTCGAGTGAGACGTTGCCCTGGCCGATTAGTGCGACGTGAGATATCTGTTCTAGTGGAGGTGGCGATGGGCGCGATGGATGTTGTGTGTACCAGTGTACAAGCGATAGAGCGGGGACGCAATATTGCGACGGAGGAAGTGCCGGGTGGAGAATAGGCACAGTGCATCCAGTAGCAAACAGCAGATGGGTGTAGTGTGGAAGAAGAGCACTGAGTGGCAATGAAAGCGCGTGAGGGAGAGGCGACGACGAGCCAATGTTCACGTTTCCAAAGAAGCGCAGGCGGGGGTCAGTGGCAGCAAGATCGAATTTGTGAGTACAATTCTACAAGTTAAAATGAAGTACTGTAGGTAGAACTGCTGTCACTTGGCCAAATATGCACGTACCTTAACTTCAGGGTGATCTGGCGCGACCCCGTATCGCACGAGCCCATGGGGAGCCCACAGACGGTCATAGATGTGAATGTTTAGGAACGGTTTTCCCTTGGTAGGCGGGAGTGCGGACAGCAGGCGTGATGCGACGTAGAAAGAGGAAGGTCCTGCACCTATTATGCCCAACTTTATCATACTGGTTAGTGTAGAAGGTACGCGCGGACAATGCAAGGAATTGCGAAAACGCTGTAGTCGCTTCTTTTACTCGACGGGTTCCAGAAAGCGTAACTCGGTCCGATGGTTTATGACCTGGCCGAGAATGAGTGATGACGCAGACATGCAAGCCTCCGAGCTCCAGTGCTTGTGTGAGTTGAGTGAGGAATTGAAGGCAGATGGATCTGGAGGCAGTGAAGACCTAATAACTAATTGCATCTCATAATTAACTTAGTCTCACTCACTGACCATCCGATGTGGTGTAGTGGCTAACATTATCGCCTCTCACGCGATAGCCCGGGGTTCGATTCCCCGTGTCGGAATGATTCTGGCTTTTTGGTTTAACTTTTTGGATGGGTACTGTTTATGGCAGTTAAGAGCTAGTGCTGACCAATTTACCCTGTATTGGATCCGTAAATCTCAACTGTAGATTTTGGAGTGCCGTCTTTGTTACCCATTCTAAGCTGTGACCAGTGCGCCGTGGGAAAGTGTCTACTGTACCTTCCATGTGTGGACGAAGGTGTAATCGGCTTTCTGCGGTAAGTGTGCGGACTTTTCGGGCTTGCAGGGTAGGCCGACTCGACTTCGCTGGTGCGAACAGGGAGCTCAGCCATGGCGTCTTCACTCTTCGCCCGTTCTGTCGTCAACAAACGCATTTCATCTACATTTACTCGCAAGTCGCTTCGACCTTTTGTTGCAGGTATGTCCAAGTCCTTCTACGATGGACTCACGAGCCCCTGACTGTTGTTGCGTACGCGTTGCCTTCGCCTTCCGCTGTACTGATGTAATGCAATGGGATTCTAGCGAGAGGTGTAGCAGATACTGCATACGTTCCTGGCGGTCGTGCGTAAAGAGATGCTCGCTCAGCCTGCTTTGGTCTCATGCTTATGCGCGATGGTCCTGCAGCAATTTACAAGGGTACCGTTAACGACCCTACTACTTTCCCACCGCCTTCGAAGACGCATGGGTCTTACCACTGGGCATTTGAACGCCTGCTGTCTGCCGGCCTCGTTCCTCTCACCGTCGCTGCGTTCGCGACTAGCGGTAGCAGCTACCCGTTGCTGGATGGAATCTTGGGCGTGAGTCTGGTCATGCACAGTCACATCGGGGTACGTTCGGTTCTCTGCAGTCAACTCGCATTCGTCTGTGGGACAATGTCTAACTCACCGGTGGTGTAGTTCGACTCCATCTTGGTTGACTACCTTCATCCGCGCAAGTTCCCCGTTCTTGGCCGTGTGCTCACGTGGACTCTTCGTGCGGCGACTGTCACTGTCCTTGTTGGCGTCTACCAATTCAATACTAATGATATTGGTGAGTTTACATGTCGACCACCATGCTAGTCCCGTTTCAGCTGTGGTCTCCACTCGTGTGCTGTGCTTCGTGACTGACCCTTTGATTCAAAGGATTGACCGAGTTGATCGCGAAAGCATGGCACGCTTAGATTGTACGACGGGAGCCTCTAGCAGGTGGCGACGCTATTCGCGACTGGCCATAGACAGGTTACAACTTTGGTGTCGCCGCGTCTGTACGTGTAATTCTGTGAGGGTAGCAAGCGGCGAATGCCATATCTGGCATCATTCTCTCATTTTCTCTGGCACAGCGCAGCCTTGTTCGTACTGTTTTAAGTGACTTGAAGGTTAGGTAACTTTGTCAAATTTACGCGTTGTCTGGATTTTTGCTTGATATGCCATTGGGGCTGCCCATTGTAATTGGCTTCATCCTGGTATAGTAGCTCATTATTCCCGGTAAGTGACAAGGAACTGAACGCGTGGGTGTTGTAACTCGTTGGTATCAGTCTTCTGTGAATCGTGCAGGTATCTACCACTTAATTGGAAGTGTGGATGCTTGTTGACGCTTAACGGTGACAGGTGTCGTCTTGTGTATCATCCGCATGTCGTCTTGGCGCTCCTCGAATTTAGTCATTCTTCTTTTCTTCTGGCATGAGTGAGGCAGCACACGGACACGGGCTTTGCACGAGCTCTAGTGTATCTTTTTGCCAGTAGCTTCCTCTACTTTTGCGTCAGACCTCCTTCGTTGACGTTCTGGTGTGGGGAATATGAGTGCTGATCCTACTCTGGCCGAGAGTTCTGCTGTTTCCACGTCCATCGCTCACAGGTGTTGCGAACCTTTCGCGACCAACCATTGCGATATTGGATGTTGTACCCCGATTGATACCCAACAACGTTTCCAGGGGGAAGGTGGTATTGGCGCCCTTATCGAATATAAGTTCCTTATTCCAGCTCTCCACTGCATTGCACACAATCGACTTCTTTGACAATGGGGACATCTTCCGACACCGTAGGCCAAACCGCATATGCGCAGAAGCGCAGAGAGATCCTGTCTTTCGCCAAGGACCTCAGGGCGATGGGGTATGTGTGCTCATATCCTCGTCGTTTACGCAGCGTATTGAGATCATCTCGTCCCTCAGTGCAGAGAGCGAGATTGGCATGCCACGTATCGTGGTTATCGGAAGGCAGTCTGGTACGTGCGTGACCATCGTTCCATCGTTCCAACGAGGTTCATGGTCCTATCCGTCTGTGCTAGCTGGGAAGAGTTCCGTCGTTGAAGCAGTTACTGGGGTAATTGTCCTAGTTTCTTCTCCGTTGTATGTGATATATTGAACTGTGTATAATGTAGGTCGGCGTCCCTCGTGACAGTGATACGTGCACCCGGTCAGTGCAGTATTTCCTTCTTCTATGCCCGTGTTCACCAGCTGATACGTACACAAGATGCCCGATGGAGTGTACCATACTGACAGCAGAGCGGTGGAGCTGCCGCATCTCATTGCGCCTTCTGAATAGTCCTGAGACTCCATTCAGTCCTATTTTGACATCCAAAGCGGAAGTCGAATTATGGATTCGCCGTGCGCAAGCAGCCGCTCTGTGCCCTATTAGACAAGGTGACTTCATAGACAAGACTGCCGATGAACTTCGCAGTCTTGTCGGAGTCGACGCGGATGTCCCTAAATTTACCAGGAATGTCGTAGTAGTGGATATCAACGACCCCGATGGAACGGATTTATCGTTCATAGATCTACCAGGTATGATTCTTCGGTTTGCTTCTCTCAGGTCATTCACGACGCGTCATTTTACTCTGCTAAGGCCTCATCAGCAATGAAGAGCAGAACATCATCGATCTAGTGCGAAGTCTGGTCGAATTTTACATCAAAGACGAGGCAACCATCATTCTTGTCACCATCCCTGCCAGCGGTAAGCGCCTCCATACGTGGTTGTTGGTAATTGCTAATAAGGATACCCAGATGACATGGCACTACAAGAAGCAGCCCGTCTCGCGAGAGAGGTAGATCCAAACGGAGAACGCACCATAGGTGAGTGGCGGATGTGATCCGTATCATATTAATCCTCAGCATCATCCCGCGCCTGTATGCTAGGCATAATCACCAAACCCGATTTCCTTCCCGACGGTGCCATTGATTTGCGAAAGACGTGGCAGAGCATTCTCCGGGGCGAGGCGCATCCACTTAGGCTCGGCTACTATGGCGTCCGATTACCTTCCGACAAGGAGAGAAAGAAAGGCCTCAGTCGAGCGGAGGTTGAAAAGTTGGCTATGCAGTTCTTCAAGGATAACGAGCCTTGGAAGGATCTTCTTCATCTCAACCGCCTTGGGATAGCTTGCTTCATAGCCGACATCAGTAAGGTTCTAATGCGCGTCATCCGCGAATCGTGAGTCGGTTTGCTGCATCGTTGTCCATTCGTCGACTGAGTCTTTGGAACACCGCACAGGCTACCGGGCTTGAAAGAGAAGGTCAATACCCAACTCGGTGATTGTGTCACCCAGTTGAATTCCATGCCCAAGCCAATAACTGGGGGCGCAACTGCAGAGATCCTCGGTCGAGTCACGCGCTTCTGCAACGATCTGAAGGAAGCCGTCAATGGTCACACAGAAGACAACACTTTCGTTCACCGCAATCGGGCTATATACCAGACATTCAAGATATCTATACGGAGAACGGCACCTGATTTCAGGCCTTTCCTCGACCCTACTCAATTCGTGGGGCCCAAACAACCATGGTTCTCCGAGGAGTACGAGGACAGAGAAGATACTGAGCTCGCCGAGCAGTTGCCACCTGCACCTGTGGAGCCTATCGGTATCTACGACGTTAGAAGGGTCATCAAAGAGTAAGTTTGAAATCGAATTGTTTGAACTGCCGCTTATATTCGGATCAGCTCCATCGGGTGGGAACTGCCTCATAACGTTCCCTACGAGGCGAAGAAGCGGCTGTATAAGAAATTTGTGGACCGCTGGGCTGCACCATGCGACAAAGCCTTCGACGCCGCTACCGTCATCCTAACAGAATTAGTCAATGACAAGATTAGGGATCACTTCGGACGGTTCAAGGCTCTGGAACTGCACGTTGGGTACGTATCGTTGTCAGCGCATCTGGCCATGAGAATTCATAGAGCGTCTACATTCACTTAGCCCTCTCATACGGCGTGAGCTCCAGTCATGCACAAAGCGTGCGGCCCAGTCCCTGTGCGAGGTCCTGGAGCGCGAAAAGTCCCCGTATTTCACTCAAAACGGCTACTATCTTGAGTCCATGAGAGCTCACTGCCTTGCACGTTACTGGTTCATCAGACGCAACGAAAATGACTACAAGAAAGGAGCACTATGGGACTTAGAGAGGGAGGAAGAACTTGCTGCCTCAGTTTTTGCTGAATCTGACTCATACCATGAGTCACCAACAGAACGAGCGCTGAAAGCATTGGCTCTAATAGGATATAAAAATCTCGCCGCCGAGGACCTTGTGCGCCTGCATCCACCAGATGGGTTTGAAGATGAGCTGACAGTGATGGCGGACGTGCGTGCCTACTTCCAGGTTGCGTACAAGGTCAGTTATTCGTCCTTTAACTTTTCGGCTATTGACTGGGGTGGTCTTGGATGCAGCGAATCATTGACAACGTCCCGATGTCAATCCAGAAGGACTTGAACCAGCAACTCTCGAATGGCATGCAGGATTGTCTCCTAGCGGAATTGGGCGTGGGTGCTGCTGGGACTGCGGAACGCTTCCAGGAGCTTTTGGCTGAGGATCCTGCCGTCACCGCTCAGAGGGACCTTCTCGAGAAGAGGAAGGCGCGTTTATTGGAGATTCAGTGGAAGTTGAACGCCTTTGTCATAGCTTGATTCATTGCGCCCTTCAGATCTAGCTGCTGAATATGACTCCTACGAACCTATGTATATTATTGTACTTAGACTCAAGTTCAATGAATATGCCACCATTTTCAATTGTCCACAAACGCGCACATCGACCGGTCATTGCAAAGTACGACCTTGGCAGTTCGCCCTTATCAACTCCAGTGAAGACCTCTCTCAGACGTTTATGGACATTCATATTCAGCCGTAAGGCGTTTGTTGTATGTTAATATTCCGGCAAATTAAGAACCTAGCACTGACACATTTTTGGCCAACTTCTGGCATGTCCGCTTGAACACCGCCGCTGAGATCGACGTCATTCAACTGGTCAAGCACGTCCTGATTATCCTGTAGATGTACTTGTCTGGATATTACTCCTGTAGATGTCGCTGAGGATAGGATGGCTGCATGAAGATCTCATATACGCAGTTATGGTACAGTACGGCGTACGCTCAGGACACGCTAATCAAAGGCATGGTGAGACTGAATTCTAAGTCATGTTACTTTGTAGTATCTTACATGTAACCACCACAAGTTGGACCAATAACAAGCGGCTGTGTCGAATGTGACGTGGAAATGGTTCCACGGACGAATATTTCCAGTCATACGGCACGCGAATGGTCTGACTTCAGCCGGCAGCACGAAGTTGTCTGAATACATGCCATCGAGAATTTGAGAATTGAATTTTCAAGGACGAGAACATCACATCAAAGCTCGAGACTCTGGTCCAGGAGCTCGAGACAGAACGAAGAAAAATGATATCGGACGGCAGCCACAGTCACGTGCCAGAATTTAGATCGTACGACGGAGTCGTTTATAAACGACTCCGGTGTCCTAAATTACAACTGTCATCACTCTTTCCCTCCCAACCTCACCCTTGGTGTGCACCGTTTGCGCTCTCAGAATGAACTCAACTGCGCCGTCGTACACCTCGGCAGAGGTGTTGTACGCCAGCACCGACTTCAGCAAGTTAAACTGGCTGGAGACACAGTGGGCGGCCTGGTATCTGTGGATTGGGAACCCTGTCATTGCGACAGGGCTGATGAGTTTCCTCCTGCATGAGGTTTGTCAGATGATATTTGCTCGTCTCCGAATAACTCAGCAAGTTTTCAGATTGTGTACTTCGGTCGTTGCCTACCATGGATCTTCATAGACGCTACGCCGTACTTCCAGAAATGGAAGCTGCAGCCTGACCGCATCCCAACGGCCCAAGAACAGTGGGACTGCACAAAGCAGGTCCTCTACTCACATTTCATGGTCGAGCTACCGGTGGTGAGTTACAACGGATATGCAGTTTGAACATACCGTCATGCTGGCTACAGATTTGGCTTTTCCACCCCGTGGCAGAGATGTTCGGCATGTCCACCTGGCAGGTACCTTTCCCATCGTGGCAGATCATGGTGCCCCAGGTTGCCTTGTTCTTCGTCTTTGAGGATATGTTCCATTTCTTCGGTCAGTTTCCGATATTCATTTCGTTCGCCCGGATCTGACAGCGACGCCCCAGCTCACCAGGCGCTCCACTGGGGCCCTCTGTACAAGCACATCCACAAAATCCACCACAAATACCCGTCGCCGTTTGGGCTCGCGGCGGAGTACGCGCACCCGGCTGAGGTCATGATCCTGGGAGCGGGCACAATCCTCGGACCATTGGGGTATTGCTACATCAAGAGGGACCTCCACATCTTCGCAGTGTACGTGTGGATTACGCTACGCCTGTTCCAGGCCGTGGATGCGCACAGCGGGTACGACTTCCCATGGTCGTTGCAGCACATCCTTCCCTTCTGGGCGGGTGCGGAACACCACGACTTCCACCACATGGCGTTTACCAACAACTTTGCGACGTCGTTCCGCTGGTGCGACCGCCTGTTCGGCACGGACATCAAGTACCTCGAGCACCGCCGGCGCATGAATGAGTTGAAGAAGTCCGGCCTCAGCAGGGAGCAGTTCGCCGCGGCGGAGAAGAAGATGCTTGAGCAGGTCGAGGCGGAGGGCGTCGTAGAGGCTGCCAAGGTCGAGGCGTATCGGTATGGCAGCAAGAAGGTGGCGTGAGTGGGAGCCATTTCATGCAATATCTATAGTACATCATACCCCGAAGCTTTCGGAGACGAGCAGTAATAGACCGACATTGTGCTTTTTATGATGAGGCTCACGACTTCTCCGTCTCACTACTGGATGTCGTCCATCGTGCGCGTCTAGCTAGAGGAACGGGATGATTTGAACTCCTGCGCTATTTGCATGCCTGTCGGGCGGTGGTCTCGTAATTGCGCATATTTTCTTGTGGCGTGCAGTTTGTTGCGGAAAGGTACATGCCCGTCAGTGTAAACCTCTCGCCGATGACTTAGACGGCTTCTCTACCGAGGTAGATGTACTGCGGACACAAGAAATCGACCAGGGATGGACCAGTTCTCAAACCCGTATTCATTTCTTGATCGCTCAAGACTAGTGGCGGCACCAGCGCCGGCGGTCAAATGGCCTGCTCCAACATATGCAAACTAATGTATCTTGCTGTATGTAACTCGGTACAAAGTTGATAACGTGCAGAAGTGGCGAACAAGACATTCGACGAGCTGGAAAAAGGAAATCGACACTGCGGCCTCGTGAGAATGATATGGGTTTAGAAATATAGAGCGTCCGGACTGGGGATTGCGGCATGAGATATCTCTACGCCATGTGGATGACCTGATCTATTGTGTGATCTGAAGACTGAACTCGGGCGACGTTCACCTAAGGGGTAGAGGAAGAGGTATCGCGCGAACCACTCACGGTTGTGACGTTGATGCCGAGGGAACGTAGCAAAAAGCAGGACAGTATATGCATGGACCAGAATGTGGGTGATCAGCCGCGTGCACGGTAGAGCACCTGGTAGCGAGGTGATGCGTAGAAGACGACTGTCACTGGCCGATGTGAGTAGCGACTGCGGGGAGGCTGACCTATCCAAAGGCCACCCTAATTTTCGCCAAAAGTTCCTGGAGACCGACCTCGACAAAAGGTCATGACTGCAGGGAGGCTGACAGGCCGCGCGGATGGAGGGTGTGGCCGTTGCGCGGATGAACTCATTCTGTTCATCCATTCAGTGATCCTGCATGACAACCACTGAGGTTAGTAGCTATAAAGACACACTCATCCACGACGTACCCTTCTATACAGATCTCCTTGGCCGCGCTCGCAGTAGGCACTAAGCCGTAGACTTTGTGCTCAACACCACGACATAACCTAGGAGCTAGTTGGAAGGCGTGAATGGCGCAACATGGGGAAAGAACACAAGAACTCGCCGTCGCCGCGCATGGGCCTGTCATAAAGTCAACGTGTGCGGTTCGTGGCGTGCGAAGCACCTGAAGAGCGTATTTCGTTTTATGGAGAAGTGGGTAATCCATGTGTGTATGAACAGTGGATGGTCTGAGGAGCATATGGGATAGATGCCGCGTCTTATATACCTCGACGGCCGGTGGGAAGAACAAGGACTTGGCTCCCGATCGCTGCAGAACGTCACGACCGGCTCAAACCTTGTTGGAACAATAGAACGGAAACACAGTGGACCTAACAAGAAAATAGGATACCACTCCACGACCATTAATGGACGTCCGTTACGTCCGTCACACTGTGGCGAATCCGAATGAGTACCATTGCCCTGTGCTGATTGGATAATTGGGGTCAACCACGACGTCATGAAGAAGATACAACTTCGATAGAATTCGGAACTAGCAGACGAGCTAGATCCTGGCAAGCATCCGTTTTATGGAGGCGTCTTTTTCCCAGGCGCCGACTCAAGCGGAGGAAATCCATGTCGTATTGGAATCGGGAGCGTAGACAGAGGCATGAGTCACAGGGAGCCATTATTCAAAAAGATTCCGGGTGCGTGGAGGACGTAGAACATTCAAAACAGCATCTGCCTAACGACTCAGGGTGAGCGAAGAAGCTGACTTCGCCGAATACCAACAGCCAGAGAGAGAAGACCCGGAGGTACCATGGTCGGAGTACTAGTCTTAGACACTTACTGGGCTATGTGATAGTCAGAGTGCCGTACTGCAGCCCATTAACGTTGAGTAGTAGACGGTGACTTCCAAGGCGCTGACAACCCTAACCTCAAGTGCTACCTATCCGCCTCAGATCGTAGATCTTACCGACGTGTACGCCGACACTGAGGATGAGCCCCGAGCCCAGTCACAAGGGCTTGTTCAATGCATCGTGGGTCTAGTGTATCCCTGCGTGTTTTCTGAAGCCCATATAAAACGTGAACGAGACTGAGTAGGCTGTTTGGTCTGCTGAGGAGTCGGTGCTGTTCCGCTTCAGTCGAAGAGTTTTTTCCTTCGAGTCCGATCTGGCGAGTCTACCTTGCTCCTGTAGGCATTCCCATTCCGATACATGCTCATTATAACCTCAACTTAAGGCCGAGTCCTTCCGTACAGATTTCGTCGTAACTGTTAAATGTCGAGGAATAGGGAAAATCTCAGGCTTGCGCGGATGCGTTCACTAAATTCCATCCTACATTATCCAATTGTTTCAATTTTCAGGACTAGAGGGCATACACCGACAGGATTCGACTACAGCCTCCAGGACACTCGAAGAAAAATTTCAGATGTGAGTCCAACATATGCCGTTTTATTTGCATCTGTAGGAAATGAAGTTTATTTTCTCTGACATTGTTGGTATCCGGGTCAATCTGCCAACTCCCTAGAGCTGGTTATATGCAGAGCGCCCGTGAGCAGGCATCAATTTTCTTTCTCGCCGGTTTCGTCTAACAACTTTCATATAAGCACTTACGTACGAACGGTTGCACCCTAGCAACGGCATGTTTCTTTACAATGGCATGGCCGCTTTGCAATCACTCAGTTGATGATGTCATTGGCTTTCGCCATCAAAAGCAACAGGGAAATTGGTTCTATTGTTGCTGGGATTACCTTCCCATTATGGAAAACCTTTGTCCTTAGTGGCGTGGGCCAGATATATAAGAGGTGGTTTGTTCATTCTCGCTTCACCTCGTTGACTTCAACATCTGTTCCGTCCCGCATTCCGACCCCTACGCTTAGTGAAACTCACTCTCACAGAGTTTCTTAACCCACTTCTACATCTCCTATGTTCGACCTGAAGCTTAAAATCCGGTTGAAAACGCATCAGGTCACACACGTTAGTCCTATGCATTTTCAACCACCACAGGTCCGCCACCCCCTGCACATCAGGCCGACACATGGCTCGCATTGTCCATCAACATGCGACCCGGCGTCCGTCACCGCAGATCGTGCACCCGACGCACATCGACGTCACTGTGGCCTATCGGCTGGAAGTGGACGTAGAGGTTGGGGCAGTGTATGACATGTGTAAATGGAATGTGGACACATTCTCGCGTGAGTTCTTAGCTGGAGTTGTACTTTTCTTCTTCGCTGACGCATCTCCTGCCACTGTAGCATCTGCGGTTTCTTCACGTCCACACTGCGGAGACGTAAGGTGGTAAGGTACGGAAACATGGATGTTATTTCCGATACCTCGTGTGTGTCCTCAAATTCGCACTCTGTCAGACATAGTGTTGGAATGTCCATATATCCCTCCGCTAACCAGCTCTGGGAAGAGCTTGCTTATAATTTATAAGCATGCTCTTCCTAGAGCTGACCTATGGAGGGGTATACGGACATTCCAACACAATATAATTATTGATGTATAGAACATCAGAATCGGACCGGATATCCAGCCTATCGGTCATATTGTGCGCGAAGCACGGTGGAAAGCGCCCATAGACACGCGCGATGCCTATCATGGCCCGACCTTCACACCGAGCGAGTTGTGTGCATGGATCCACCGCTGGTCACCAGGGATTGTCCAGCTCATCTCGACTCCGTCCTCTACGCCCTATTCTCGTTCGCTGTCATCAATATGCCGAGCCCCTTCCAATACCGGAATCAACTTGGCTTGTTGACGGAGCGATATCCTGAGCAACCGAGAGACGATAGGATGTCGTGCGGAGCTGGTCCGAGTCCTGACCGGTCAGCACTTGCAACCCTCTAACATGACAGCTCACACTGTCAGCACTACTATAATTTGCTATCCATCCACAAAACGGAACAACCCATATCGCACTCACGACTGTGCAATCCTAGTGCTAATGGCCAGAACGGCCTCTCCATCCTACATACTTCAACCTGATACGATACATAATAGTATAAATCCACGCTTGTAACCAAAACACCTCACGAACATACTCACTCCACCTAAATACTCCCACTCCCGACCTCCATACCGACACATTACCAACTTGTCGTACCAAGGATTTATTACTCCAAAATGAAAGGCTCACCTGGACATAGATATAGCATTAAAAACTACAGGTACAGGTAACTATAATTATGATGCAGGAATAACGATACAAAGCCAGTATACACACGTCAAACATTATCTAGTCGGCAGAGCACCTAGACCAGTTACAAGAGATTTGTGGAAGTGTAGGAAAACCGGAGCGAGTCAGCGAAAATGATATCCTCGTAGTGCCCCGCAGTCAGCATGTGAAATATTATCACAAGTAACTGCTCACAATCCCGCATCGGGGTCGTCGATCAGGCTGCATGGCCAGTTGATACCAGTGTGAGGGGATCCACTATAGAGGTGAGCTGTGCAACGTATTCGAGCTCGGTCGGACTTGTCGCGTAATGACTTACAGAGAGCTCACCTGTGCAGATGTGGGATCCATACCATCCACCCGCTGCATCTCTTTATTTGCAAGCTCGGAATTTTGTAACGTTGCATGGATATCTTCAGTGTACGACGCCCCTATGATGCGCCTGCGCGCATTCAGGCTCGATCAACGTATCATATCAGCGCCAACCTCACTTAGAGCGTCATATGGCACACGGCTAGGAACGGAGCCGATGACTTGATTGCTTTCTTGTGAAGATGTGCAACTCACCCTCGCCAAAATGCTGTGACCCTCAAACCTCGAGAATGGGTGCCTATGATAAGTATTTACTCGTGGCAGTGAAAGCATGGAGATCAGAACTCGTTTATTTTACAAGTCAGCGTTAGGGCGCCGAATCCTACCCTCCACAATGCCGAGGCTCACAAGGTTAACGCCACAGCGGCTGTCGTGGAGTTATCCGTACATGTAAGTCATCATACTAACTTTCCTACAATTATACAGACCAACAGGAGACACCTGCGAGAGGTCGTCGGAATCATACTCATAATCTTTGAGTCCCTCTCCAGAGTTTGGAGGCCCCAAGTCACCGGGAAACAAGAGAACCCTAGCATGACGTTGGGATGTGTAGCGACGGTGTGAATTTATGCCAAAGTGATGAGAATGTCTCCCGCGCTGACAGCTGCACCTTCTTTCACGCCTCTCCCAAAACCCTTCACCAAGCGGCCGACGTTCTCCTCCCCAGCTTTCACGTTGATCTCCGTCTTCATCGCTTCGAGGACGATCAATACATCCTCCCCAGATTTAACCAAATCACCTGGGCTGCACTTGATTTTCCAGATGGATGCAGATAGAGGAGATACAACGGCATCGCCGGTGGGATCACCTGAAGCCAATACGAGTGAGTATTCGCGATACCAACTTGGACATTCTTCCAACGGCTCACCATCAGAATGATCTACCATTTTCTGAAGCCTCTCTGCTGCCTGCGCTCTCTGGCTATCCCATTTTGCCAGTAGTTCTTTCTCGCTGCATTACAGCGTTCAGTCGCATCAAAGACCGACCAATGTTTTGGACACCTACAGGGCCTCCTCCGTTTCGACTCCCTTCGCTTGGTAGTCCTTAAATCGCCTCGTCTCTTTTGCAATGCGCTCGACGAAGGCGTTATACTCTGACATTGAGAAAACAGTTGGCTCAATCTGCATTACATTTTAGATAGTCACAACACTGGAAGACATGGTGAGCATACCTTGAATTCGTATCTACCGGCATCGAACCGAGCCTCAATCTGTCTGGAGCTCAGTATATTTCTTCTACGTTCGGAGTCACGCACTGACTTCAAGATACTCTTCTTCTGTCACAATCTCATACGTAACCTGTACGACGGTCAAGATGGTCACCACCTTCCTCAGAATCAGAAGAACGCACCTGATCGAATGGCTGCAGAAGCCAAGGCTGCTCAGGTTTGAAATTTCTTCCCTTCCCCCACGTTTGCCAAGGCGGCAGTGTACGCGCGTAGAGTTGATATCCTCCGGGTGATTCTATTGGATATATGGCAGCTACCAGACCCGCGATGCCGACAGCACCCTGGGTAAATGTCACATTTTAGGGCGATAACAGCGACCGCAGACTTGAATGCTTACGCGCGGAGTGTACGTCCGCGAAGGGTTCATCTTTTGCCCCACCAGTCTGCATCGTGGATCGATCTTGTTCGAATAACTATCAGCTTATCGGTATAAAGCTGTAGTGAAGTAGACTTACAGGGACGAGGAAGGGACATGCTAGATAGAACCCGACACCGAGAACAAGCTGACAACTCCATTACTATGAGTGATCCAGCTTGGAAGTCGGTTTGTACATACCCAATCGGAAGATACGAGTAGCTTGAGAGCCTCTGCTACTCCACCTTCGAGTCCATTGTTCTTAGCCAAATACTCAATGTTGCTGGGTAGGTATACAGCCTCGCTGCGGATAGAATGCATGTATCGCTCCAAAGCGTCTCTGCTCCATCGGTCATCCAACACGATCGGGAACGTAATCCTACGACCGGGGAAGGTAGTATGGTGGAGAGTGTCCGGAAGGGATGCTTCTACTTCCAACAGAGTTGTCAAAAGGTCGGATTGTGAGATGACAAGAGGGTCATAGTGAATCTGGTCGTCATTAGTCCGCTATAGGCAGTACGGAGAAATATGTTGAATACCATGGTTGACCGAATGCAAGGGGCGAGCGACCACATGCCCGGAACGTCTCGTTTCCCGAGCTCGGACTCAAACGCATGAATTCGAGCGCGGAGACCGAAATCTAATAGTAGTTCGCCATACTCGACCAAGATAGCTGAGTCTCCCGCCTGACAGATATCTATTGAATCTCTATGGTTGACACGCGCTGAGTATGTGTCGGCTTACCTGGCGAAACACAACCTGTGGACGAGGGCTTCCTGCCACGGGCGAGATGACATGTAGCTTGGAGTCTTGTTCAACGTCTTCTAGGTTATCTTGCAGGAAATCATTGGCCACCGACACCGAGAAGGATTCGGATGTACTACAAATATGAGATAGGTTGCCGAGGTACTCCTCGCGACGCCGATGCAGCTGCAGGGCTTGAGCAAAAGTAATGCGTTTGAAACGTACTGTACAGCCCGGACGCAGCTGTCCCAGCTTCCACCTATAGCATACAACATCATAGTCAGTCGTGTCGAGCAGTTGTGGGATCGATACAGGGGCGCACAACTCAGCTGTCGCAACGGTGCATATACAAACATAACCACCCATGTCAGGGCCCTCGTTCGTCAAGATGACCGGTGTATCGCCATTCAGGTTGATCGTACCCAACGCGTAACCGTTATCGTGGATGTTCGACGGGTGTGACCCGCCTTCCCCGCCATTCTTGCGCGCCCACGTTATCTGCGGGCCTTCGAGGCGGATCCCCATGCGGTTGCTCGAGATGCTCACTTTCCAGTGCGTGGAAAAGAATTCTTCGATCCCTGCTCGTGTCACGAACTCCTCGTCACTGTGTGGACCAGCAAGGCAGTAGATCGTCCAGTTCGTGGGATATGCAGGAACTAAGTATGGTGGGAGGGGAAGGGGCCGCTCTTCCTGTGCAGGATAGCAGTCACCCAGAGCAATGTGGTCTCCGGAGGTCAAGGAACGCCCCTAAGATTGGCTAGTGAGGGAAAACCGAGTCTGAAGCATAGAACCCCGCGCCTACCTGGTACCCACCAAGGCCCATGGAAGTCGCTTTCGACCCAAGGTACGGCGGAATCTCAGGGAAACCACCTCTCACAGCGAGATATGCTCTGAAACCAGGCTCTTTGGCCGTAGTCATAGCCAATTTGCCTCTAGCAGGCACCACGACACTTTTCCACATGTCCACGTCCTGTCCATTGACTGTGACCTGAACAGATGCACCTGTGATCGCAATAACGGTAGGAGTATGGAAGAATAGCCGGCAGCCTATGAGCGTGACCTCCAATGCTTCTGTACCTGGCTTGTTCCCGACAAGGATATTCGCGATACGGAAGGCGAGAGAGTCCATCGGCCCACTACGGGGGATACCAAGGCCTAGTTGTCGGCCAGGATAATCTTGCACTGTAGTGTCCAAACCTCCGCTGAGGACATCAAATCCTCTGTACATGTAGAGTTAAAATGGGTGAATACGTTAGAACCTCAAGAGCTAGTCCACATACCTCGGTATGAACTTGAAAGTATCAAGGAAGGTCGTAGTAGCATTGCCACTTTGGAAAATCTCCGACTCGCAGATGGCGCGAAGGTATGCCGTGTTGTTCGGAGGGCCGTAAATTTTACTTTGTGATAGCGCCTGAAATAGCCGTGCTACTGCTTCTTGACGAGTTGGCGCAGTGACGATCAATTTGCAAACAAGTGGGTCAAAATAAGGTGTGACGTTCGTCCCCGTCTCTACCTAAGCGAGAGACTGATGTGACTTTCAGGAAAGACAATCCGGGCATAAAATACGCACCCATGTTTCAACGCGCAACCAGTCAGCTTTCAGTACATCAACCTGTTGCAGGGTACCAGGACAGGGCTTGAACTGCGCGGCCGCATTTTCGCAATATACGCGAGCCTCTATAGCATGCAAAGGCCTCTTGTGTAAAGCAATCTGGTACATTTCCTGGTCCAGCTGGTCTGCAGACAGACCTCCCTCCTTCGCCTCTCTTTCCGCGATGCCTTGTTGTATCATCAGCTCAACGATGTCAAGTCCAGGATTTACAGCTTCCGTAACAGGATGCTCGACCTACGTGACTGCGCCTCAATATATCACAGTGCCACTGCACAAGAGACACTGACCTGGAGCCGCGTATTCATTTCCAGGAAGAAGAATGCGCCGGTCACATCCTCGACCAAAAACTCGACAGTCCCTATCATCCTCTTTAAACACTAGAGCTTGGATAGTATGAACAAACTCACCCGCAGAAGCATACGTGATATGCTCGCAAAGACGCACAGCGGCCACACACATTGTTTCCAGTACCACTGCAACAACAGCGACTGAGCGATGGCAAGGGTGTCAGTATGTGTCCATTATCTCACCAGGATGCCGTGTCATGAATGGACTGGGGGTTTCTTCAATAACTTTCTGGTGCCTGCGTTGCACACTGCACTCGCGTTCGCCCATATGTATGGCATGTCCCAAACCGTTTCCAAAGACCTGCGTCGGTTAGAAAGAAAACAGGACGGATATGTCACTGTGACATACTTGGACTTCCACATGGCGAGCGGCAGGATAATAACGCTCTAGGAATAGACCGTCATTCTTGAATAAAGTCTGAAGTCACCGTCAGGCATGCTCGTATCGCACAGCAGTATAGAACTTACCCTGGCGCGTTCTTGCGTCGCGGAGAATTTTGCGCGCAACTCCTCTGAGTTCTGACAAACGACGAGACCCATTCCGCCACCGCCAGCGGTCGACTTGAGCATAATAGGGAAGCCAATCTCAACAGCAACTTTCACGGCATCTTCCACATTGTCGAGCAGCCCCTCAGACCCTGGAACAAGTGGGACATTCACCTCCACAGCCAGCACACGGGCTTGGTGTTTCAGTCCCATAGCTAGTATAGTCTCTACACGAGGGCCAAGCCAAGTAATCCCAGCTTCCACAAGCAGACTCGCAAAGTGTGCATTCTCGGCGAGAAAGCCGTACCCCGGGTGTACCAGTGTAACTTTGCGGTCCTTGCATACGTCGACGATCGTCTCTGCATCCAGATAGCCACGCGAATTCGAGACGGGGTCATCATCTTCCGGACGTAGAGCAACGGCCTCGTCGGCAAGCAATACGTGTGGGGCAGTAGCGTCCGAGCGAGTGTATATGGCGATAGTCGGGATCCCAAGGCGCTTTGCCGTGCGCAGGATGCGCACTGCAATCTCGCCCCGGTTAGCGACCAGCAGCTTGTGTGGGGACATTGAGAGGGCCATACTCACCGGATAGCCAGACCAGTCTTTATGTGTGCAATATTCCGCAGATAATCATCGTAAAATGGAATTGATAAGGAAGCTCAGCTGGTGTCGGTGTCTGACCTTCGCGATTACGGGCCGCCCGTCGGTGCTCCATGAATACCCGGCCTGGGAAGTATCGAAAGCCAAGTGCAGTCTAAAGAGCACCACCGCTCCTCCCTATCCACAGCTTCAGGCCTCTGAGCTCCAGTTCCCGACCTGCAGCCTATATCTCGGGCAAATGACCGGGTTACGAGCGACAGTGAATTGCGACATGGGAGAGGTGAGTCGTTGGTATGCCAGGATTTTCGTTCATTGTATGGTATAGTGCGAGGAATACTGCGTCACCGTGCGTGTGTCGGAATTTGTGCAGAGTGGTGGACGACCGAGTTTGAACTATGCTCGCGTCCGTCGGGCGTCTCTAACCGATGATCCGAGTCTCAGCTCAAAGATACGGTCTACACAATGGCATAACCACAGCAAGAACATATATTAGCTTTGCCATCATGAAACGGATGGGAAATGAGACATAGTACTAACCATACATTTTTGACTGTCAGGGATACTCCATTTATGAGATGGTGCGTTCAGGGTTGTTATGGATGGACCCACGAGCAAGCCTAATTTTCATAACAATAGGGAGATGACGACTCACTCATGAAGACAATCCACTTGGCGAACATCGCGTGCGGCTTCCATGCATCGTGAGACAAATTTATTTACATAGTGTCTATACTCACGAATATATTCACCTTGCATTTGTTCGACCTCGTCGTGCTGTGTACCGGCCGGTGGTTGCGCTGCGCAGGGACTTTTCTATCATGAACAAGACCGTCCTTCTGGCCAAGGAGAATGGTGTCCTCATTGGCGCTCACCCGTCGTTGCCCGACCGACAAGGCTTCGGGCGACGGGAGATGATGATGGAACCAGTATGTTCTGTTGACTTATCACACGGATTCGTGATCTCATGGCTGTGCCTCAGGAAGAGCTTGCTTCATGCTTCATCTACCAAGTCGGCGCACTCGTAGGATTTTTGACACGTTATGGACTTCCTCTGAATCACGTTAGCAGCCTGAGTTCTCGACGCTATACTTTTTACCTATCTCATTTACAAATTCCTCCAGATTAAGCCGCATGGATCGGTTTATGGAATGACAGCCCGCGATATGCCTTTGGCTCGTGCAGCCGTAGGTGTAGCTAAGACGTTCGGCGTGGCCTTTATGGGTCTCGCGGGAACGTGTCACCAGGTGGCTGCGAAGGAACTGGACGTCCCCTTCATTGCAGGTGCACTCGACTCTCTATGTTACGCAGTTCCTTGGTTCTCATCATAACTATGTTGTCCAGAGTGGTTTGCGGACCTGGAGTACAGCCCGGAAGGCAAACTCATTATCACTAAGTGCGTTATTCTTTTCAGTTCGAAAATGCAGGCGATCTCAAACTCGAGTCCATACTCAGGAAACATGATCCTGTCCCCTTGAATGCTGTCCATAACCGGGTGAGCGGTGAACAGCCTAGTTCTTAGTACTACCTGTCTCATCGTTCTGCCGCAGGTGACCAAGTTACTTAAAGAGGGCCAAGTCACTACGACGTCCGGGTTTGTACCGCTGAGCGACGGCGTAACGGATGTCTCTATCTGCTGCCATTCCGACACTCCGGTACGCGCTCCACCTTGCAGCAGCCATTCTCCTCACAAGTGCAATATTTCCAGGGCGCAGTCGAGATTGCGCAGACCGTTAAAGCGCTGGTGGACGAGAGCAACCAGAAGCTTGCGGTGTGAAGAATGTATACTTGTGGTTCGGTGTACGATATACTTCGGCGACGTTCAGAGAGTTGTATTCGAAGTTACCGCGAGCTTTCTCGGTGGGAGTCTTGACTCGTCGCGCTCACGTGCTCCCTTACTCATATGCGTGATCGTCACGCGTCGCGTTGAAGGTCTGATGGCGTGTTCTGCTCTTTTCAAGCTGTATAAACCTCTATAGCTAAATGTATACAAATCTTGTAAACATCTCACTACCTCTCTTGAGCTAAATATCCAAGGGTGGTGCCGGGTGCTCGCCTATTCGGCTCATCACCACAACGAATGGCAGGACCCTCAGAGGTTGAACGTTGAACGCCTTGACTTGCATACGGAAACAGAGTGGGTTCGCTGGTAGTACCGACAGGTTTTTTGACTCGCGGTGCCGCAATCTGAAGTCTGACTCGATATCCGAGTCTCGGTGAAGTGGGTTTCCATTAGGCATTTATAGCGGTCGAAGGGGCTTATTCATCGACGCGTCTCTATTCTATTTAAATCTGCTCGCTGACTTAACCTGCCTCGACCATACGCGTATAAATCTTTTGAAGTACGTAAAGCTTCCCCACTTGCCCCGAAGTGACCCCGCGTAGAAACCATGACTCTCAACATATCGTCCACCATCCATCTCTCATCCGGTAAGTAGACTTAGTCCTACCAATTCAGCCCATTGTACGCGGAATAGGTCGCACAATGCCCCAGCTAGGCCTTGGGGTTTCCGGAGCAGAGGACTGTAGTAGCTGCCTTGCTGCCCTCCAGCGACCCAAAGATCCCTGAGTCTCAGTGCACACCCGTTGATGTCAAGGTGGGAGATAGAACTTGAGATGTCGCTATCTGTGACTGTCTGTCACTGCAGGGATGCAGGTATGGTGCCTATCGCGCACTTCTGTGAGCGCATGCACAGGGAAGTACGCTGACTCTTCTGCAGGCACATCGACTCCGCGCGCGAATGAGGCCGAGGTCGGCAAGGCTGTCCGGGAGAGCAGCATTCCTCGCGAAGACATTTTCGTCAGTGCGTCTTCCCCGACCCATCTGTAACGTTTCCCTCGTACTTATAAGGAGATCTTTGCATACAGCCTCAAAAGTTATGGTTCACGAACACGGTTACAACGCTGCGCTGAGTGCGATAGACGACTCGCTCCAGCGGTTTGGCCTCGGTGCGCGTCCCCCTCCTCACATGCATTGCGAATTAACTGACTCCGAGATCTGCAGGTTACCTTGATCTATTTCTAATACACAGTGTTCTCTCTGGGAAGGAGAAGCGCCTCGAGACTGGAGGGCACTCCTGTGCAAAGAAGGCGGGCAAATTGTGAAGCGTGGGCGTGTCGAAATAGTGAGTATATCCCCTACACTTTCGCACTAACTTCGGTCTTGCAGTCGCGTGTACCGCCTCGAAGAAATTCGAGAGGCAGGTCTCGAGATGCCTGTAGTCAATCAGGTTGAGGTACGTCAATTGTCAATCAATCACGACACTCGATAATACAATGGATAACCCGTCCGTGGTCTCTTCCAACATAGCTCCATCCATTCTGCCAGCAGAAAGCCGATAGTCGACTACTGCACTGCGCACAACATCGTCGTGCAGGCGTACTGCCCGTTCATCCGCGGCAAGAACTTCGATGAGGCCGTCCTCACCGAGGTCGCTAAGAAGGTACATGTTCGTACTCTCCCACTCACCGCAGCCCTAACATCTTCTCTTCAATCAGTACGCCAAATCCGTACCACAAATTCTGGTCCGGTGGTCGCTCCAACGCGGGTACGTCCTCTCCCCTAAACACTACATCGCGCTGATGCTGACTCTCGACTCAAATGAGTGCCACTCCCCAAGTCCTCGCAGCCCGCACGCATCGCTGTGAACGCGGAAGTGTATGATTTCGAGATCGCAGGGGAAGATATGGATGCGCTCGACGCGCTGGACCGCGCACGCCGGGTGCGATAAGCTGGAATCCGGTGGATGCGCCTTGATCGTTTGAGGGAGCGTCAATGGCCCCAGCATGTTGTGACCAAAGCCGTGTACGTTGATCATGTGAGCATGCATTATAGACAGCCCAGGCAGTGGAGTATGATAGCAGTGGGCGAGACGCACGTTCCATTCCAGTCATATGCGGAAGAGTAGAAGAAGATAAGTCACTTCAAGCTCTTCTGTATTTGACTGGGATGTTTTTCAGGGAAATGATACGCATGATCAATGCCACATGGAGACGGATGAACCAAATCTCGGGCGTCGGAGTACTGAAGGCTTTGGAGGCTTAGAAAACTACATAGAGATCGAAATCGATGTGTTTGTAACTGTTGAAGTTGGAGAGTACCGAGACATACTGTAGATATCCAGCCTGAGGCGTAGTATCAAGACCGTCCGCACGTAGGTGGCGACTCGGGTTCAAGGGGGATACCGGAAGCAAGCATAAACCACGTTATCCAAATTGGGACAGTGCTCGGCCGCAAAGTCCCTGGCCAATCGGCAGGCCCCAATGGGCGCTTAAAAGGCTTCGGACCACTTCGGTGGCGTTGCGGTGGAGTGGTCTACTCTCTTTCTTTACTGTTCTATGATGCGTGTCCAGATCCCGACACACACGGTCATCCGGATATTTGAGAAACAGTGGCACTCACTGTCGATATATAACGATGGCCTCGAGTTTGGATAGAAATTCAGCTTTCTTTTCCACGATCTCTTCCTCGCTCTCGCTCTATTTCGCGTTTATTTCTCTTTCGCCGTGCTCTGGTTTGGATGCAGACCATGAGCCAAAGATCCCAGAGCGAAATCGCTACCATTGACTTACCGTGGGATGACCGACTTGCAGAGCCGCAGGAAATTGGCCTTGGCGGAGATCTCACTCCCTCATCCGAGGAGACTATTGGAATTCCAACCATTTCTCTTACGCATGACCCCAATCGTGCGGATCTGAGTTTCCCGTTCGGAACCACCGATGTCGGGCGAGCTGGATTTACCGATGAATATCGAACTACGTCGCGAACGGGTTATATTCCTGCCGACCTTGCACTTCGTCCTATTCCCACTCATTTATCCGTAATACCGGATGAGCTGCAGGATCCAGAGAAGGTTAGGAGACTTCAAAGTGTGAAGTTGGTTACGTGGTTGAAGAACGATCCCGAGGATCCCCGAAATTGGTCGAATGCTTACCGGTGGTGTACGTCGTCGCTTTGCATCGTGCTTTTGTGGAGCTCTGATTTTTTTTGTGCAGATCTGACTGCCGTCTGTGCATTTTCTGTCGTTGGTGCTGCCTTTGGGAGTGCGGTCGTGACCGGCGACTTTGATGGACTCGAGAAAGAATTCCATGTGGGAGGAGTTGTCATTGCATTGAGCGTTTCTCTTATGGTTTGCGGATTTGGTCTTGGCCCTCTTGCGTGGTCGCCTCTCGTGAGTCTCTATATATCATGGACTATGTCAAACGTCAACTGACCGTATTCTTCAGAGTGAACTGCTCGGTAGACGGCCAATCTGGATAATTCCAAGTATTCTCTATGTCAGTAAGTGCTCGACTTCCCGTCTCAGTCTTAACACCACCTGAACACAATTACCCAGTATTCAACATTCCGTGTGCTGTCGCCCAGAACATCCAGACATTACTCATTTGCCGTTTCCTCTGTGGTATATTCGCTTCATCGCCGCTTACCTTGGCAGGCGGCACAATCTCAGACATCTGGGACAACAATGAGCGCGGATTTGCAATCGCGCTATTTGCCGCGGCACCCTATGGTGGGCCTGTGCTTGGTCCAGTCATCGGCGGCTTCGTAGGTGAGACTGTTGGCTGGAGGTGGTTATTCTGGGTATGTAATTTAATACTCATCTTTGGGTTGCATTGTCTTGACAAACGGTGCCTGAAGGTGAACATGATCTTTTCCGGATGCTCCGCGGTCCTCATCGCGACAATCCCCGAAACATTCGCTCCTGTTCTCCTGCGTAAACGTGCTGCACGTCTCCGGGAGAAAACGGGAGACCGCAACATTACCACCGAGCAAGAAATGTTCAGTGCATCGTTTTCGCAAATGCTCGTCGAGACCCTCTTGCGACCGTTCCGTAAGTACAACCCTGTATTCACATCTGGAACTGTAGCCCAACTATCTCATAGAAATGCTCGTGACTGAACCGATTCTCCTGATGATGTCCCTTTACATCGCTCTCATCTATGGTTTACTTGTGAGAATCTCTATATTAACATTCTACCACAGTGGCTGATCCCTCATTTCTACCTAGTACGCATTCTTCTTCAGCTTCCCTGTCGTGTTTGGCCCAGGAGGATATGACTTTAATAATGGCTTGACTGGACTCACATTTCTCTCTGTTATCATCGGCCTGCTGATTGCACTCGCCGTTATGCCGCTTGTCGAAGAAAACTATCACGCGCGTGCCGAGGCGAAGGGCGGACATGCCGATCCTGAAGACCGGCTGGTAGGCATGATGATTGGGTGCTGGTTCGTTCCCATATCCATGTTCATCTTCGGATGGACGAGTCCTCCTGCAGTGATGCCTGGAGGCGGCAACTGGGTTGGGCCATGTATCTCAGGGATCCCCTTCGGTTTTGGCAGTGCGTATTCCTTTGCTTCTTCATCAAGTCTTTGCTGCTCATCGCTTCTGTGCATGTCAGTGGTGATCATCTACTTCTCCGCGAATGCGTACCTCATCGACGCCTTCCCTGGCTATGTCGCATCCGCGCTTGCAGCAAAGACCGTTATTCGTTCAGGCTCTGGCGCCGCAATGCCGCTGTTCATCACTGCGATGTACCACAACCTTGGCAACGGTTGGGCTGCGTCTGTGTGGGCATTCATCTCTCTCGGCATGATTCCGATCCCATTCTTGTTCTACCGACATGGCAGAGCCATCCGGGCTCGCTCGAGTCGCGCGGCGTGAGCTTGTGGGACCTATCACGAGCTGTCTTCCGTGTAACGTCTACCCCAAGCTGTTTCGTATCACCATTCTACTGGCGTGAGAGCCGTCCCTGTTGTTTTCAGCAATTATCGCATCTTATCCATTTAAAGAATCACACATGTATACTATTGTTGCATCCCGTACATACAGCACATATAGTACCTTAGAAGTAATAGAGTCAATGGTCTCAACTGTTTGTGTCAATTGCAATCATGTTTCGAGGTAGCTGGGGGTCTACGAGCGAAATATCGGTACCGATGAAGTATCGGGGAGTTGAACGTTGTCCAAATACGGAGTTGCGAGTCGGCGCGCACATCATCTATTAAGGGAATCTTGCGCACTGGATCCGCGACGATCGTGCTGATCGGTATCCATCTGTCGTGTAACTCGACGGATCTCATAGTCAAGTAACTTCGTCTTTGGACTGAGTATTCGTACCCTCCGGTCATCATAGATACTATTCATAGACAGAGAAGGCTGGTACTGGCTGAATAGTGATATAGATATCTTCCCGGTCAGATACAACGGCCTCCATCCGATATCGTCAACTTGCCGAAGGCTGGAAAGGGCTTTCCATTCTCAGTGGTGGGAGCCTCCCGTATTCCAAAGCTTATTAGATGGTGCCGCGCAGCCTAATGTCGCACTAAGACCGAACTCCTGCCTTGACAAGTCTCGTTGGTTGGATGTGTTCTATCCATGGTCCATGGCACGTCACACCAATCAGACAGAAGGACATCGGCACAACTGATGGAAACCTCCACAGTCAGCATAACCGCTGTCACCACACGATTGGACGGAATGACAAGCCGACGGGAAAATACAGAAAGCCTGGACTCAGGTGACTCCCATGATGCATCGTCAGTATCTCAGCTCAGCATGCAGACTGCCAGAAGTCATCATACAGTCAACGGAGGGTATACCTATACGCCCGCTAGAACATTCTCCCACCATGATATACCTCCTGCATACCTAGTAGGTCTTCAGTAATACCCGCAGATGGATGCCAGCTCGCCAGTGAGCACTCGCAAGGCAGAGTTACCCCTGCACATTCTCATTGTAGGCTGCGGCATTGGAGGTCTCACCGCTGCACACTGTCTCGGGCTGGTCGGACACCGGATAACCATTCTCGAGGCAGCAGAGGCATTAGGGGAAGTCGGCGCAGGCATCCAGGTATCGCCCAACGTCACTCGCCTGCTCACCCGCTGGGGTCTCGGCCAGGCACTTGCAGAAATTGCAGTGAAGCCCGAAGCAATCGTCTTTCGCAGGTACTGCACGGGAGAGAGGGTAGGGTACTCGAAGTGGGCAGAGAAGATGGAGATATTCGGCGCTCCGTATTACCACATCCACCGCGCTGACTTCCACAAGTTGTTGTTCGACCTCGCCGCGCCGTACATGACACTGCGCCTCAAGTCCACGGTAGTTGCTGTTGACCCGGATGAGCCCTCGGTCACGCTCGCGTCCGGGGAGGTAGTACGTGGGGACCTCATCGTAGGCGCAGACGGTGTGAAGAGCTTCATCCAACGCGTCGTGCTCGGACATGTGAACCCCGCGCAGGCGACCGGTGATGCGGTATACCGCGCGCTAATCCCGACGGCACTCATGATCACGGATCCGGATCTGAAGCCGCTCGTAGACACGCCAGAGATGACGGGTTGGATGGGCCCACGGCGACACATCATGGGCTACAATGTGGTCGGTCTTCTCTTCCTCGTTCGTTAAGCTCACATTGATGTTTTCCACCTCAGCGCGCGAAGAAGGCTTACAACCTCGTCATGGCACATCCGGATGACGGTTCCGTCGAGTCGTGGACAGCGGAGGGCAGTGCAGAGAAGATGCGCGCGGACTTCGCTGACTTCGAGCCCCGGTGCGAAATCCAAATCCCATGCTGTAAGACATCGCGCAACCTGTTAACCAATTTCCTGGTAGAATCCAGAAGATGATGGCCCTGGTCAATTCGACGCTGAAGTGGAGGCTGATGGACCGCCAGCCACTGAAGACTTGGATCCACAAGTCTGCGCGCGTTATTCTCCTCGGCGACGCGTGCCACCCGATGCTCGTGCGTTCTGCATTATTCGCATGCGGAATTTGCCTACAACAACTTTTACAGCCCTATCGTGCGCAAGGGGCTGCGATGGCCATCGAGGATGCAGCAGTACTCGGGAAACTGCTGTCTCACCTATCATCCGTGGTGCAGCTCACGCCTCTACTTCACGCGTACGAAGCCCTGCGGCTGCCACGCACAGCAGCGACGCAAGCATCCTCTCGGCTGAACCAGACGATCTTCCATCTACCCGACGGACCCGAGCAACGGGCACGCGACGCGGCGATGCACACGGCCATGGAGGCTGAGCTTGCAGGGTCGACTACGGATAAAGGCGACGGGAATCCGAACCAGTGGGCAGACCAGAATAAAAACGAGGCACAGTTCGGGTATGATGCGGAAGAGGTTGCGGAGCGGTGGTGGCGAGAGGTGGGGGAAAGGGGTATAGGCGCACTTGAGGTGCAAAGCAGGCTGTAAGTCACGTCTGTGCCTCTCATGGCAATGTAATACCAGGATAAGTATAGCAGGATCAGTAACATGCTCTGCGCGAGGCTACAAATAATCCCATCTAACCTTGACACCCTTAAGCTTTGTCAGTCAACAAGTCAACACCGCCGGAAAGCAAGATTGTCTGCAAGAAAAATCAGTTCATAGATAAGTCTTGTCAACGGACAACTATTTAATTCTTTCACTATTCAGTGAGATGATACAAAGTGCTCACCAGATACAAGAGCAGTCGTTCAGAAAACGCTCAAGTATCATGCATTCTACTCATCTTCACGCAGCTCTGCGAGGGAGAAATACAACAAGTCAAGGGCATGGAGTTCAGATAGCTTAGTCTCGATAACAGCATGGTAGACTCACGTCCAGGATCCACTGAGGATGGCTTGTAAAGTCCAATTTGAAACGACATAGTCTTGAAGCTTGAGGCCTTGAGGTATGCAAAAAGGTCAAAAATGGGGATTATTGCCTGCCATGATCACTTTCGGATCCATTGGGCCACGTTGCTTGCGGCAATAACGTGAAATTGATGTTGCTCATAGTGGGGGTTCAGGGTAAAGATCGTGCCCATAGGGTCTCTGAGCATATCCACGCTGGGGTTGCTAGCTTCGTTCGCTTCCTGGCAATTGATAAAGGTAAGGAGGGAGAACCTTTTTAGCTTTGAACACGCGGCCAAATTATTAGTGAACCTGTCAGTCTGGCCGATCTGGTGTCAAAAAGAAGTGAATGTAATCCAAAAATGGTTTCGTGCCACTGTGAACCGTCCTGTGAATCAAATTTAAATACCACATACTAGCAGATAGTCGGTCCGGCAGCTTCGACAAGTCGCGCGAGGGCCATCAGACCACCCAAAACATCAACGAAATCCGCCGTGGCCGTGTGCAATGTCTGTGTAGAAGAGAAGTCCCTAAAGCTCAGGTACGATAGGCTTCACCGTTTCTAAGTTTTGACCGGGTTCAACCCAGGTAAACCCTAGGGGCAGCCCTAACTCATTCACCGTATCTCGTACTCAGGGTATTTACGGGTTAAACTCAGGCTCGCTCGAGGGTTCAACGTTCAACCGTGTTTCTAAACCATTGTTGAAACTGAGTCCACCTGGAGCTCTGGCTGTGTATCTTCCCCTAACTAGAGGCTGTACTTGAGCCTAAGTGCACTCTACTCCCAGTACTTACAATGCTGGCCAATCTGCTTGCTTTCCTCAATCCCTCGCGCTCTCGCCACGACTCCTTCATCCTGCTTATCAGATCGTCTGGAGTTAACTGCGTTCACCTCGTTCCGGAAGAACCTGGTGTCGTTGAACAGTTCAGCGCGTACTCGGGTAGCACCAATCGTCTTCCTCCCCTCTCCCGTACAGTCACATCCATCCAATCTGGCGAGCCACTGGGCGAGCTCGAGGTCAGGGTTACGGAGGGCGAGTCGCTACCAACCGCTGTGCAACGGCTGAGCGACCACGTCAGAAGGGCTTACGACGCGGGCTCGGCAACTGTTGGAGTTGACAAGGTGGCGGAGATTGATGCGGACGAGGCGAGGTTGCATCAGTGCGATCGCGCGCTGAGACAAGGATTCCGTGCCATGGCTGAAGAAGGGCGTGGCAATGACGGGGCGGGAGCTGCCCCTGTGAAGTACACGGTCGAACTGGCGCGCATCTCGAGATCGAGGCCAGGACGCATCTGGGACGACTCGATGCTGACGAGCTTCCCGCATTGAGCACCCACTTTTACTTAGTTAATGAACCGAGGACAACTGATATGCATCATCGCCTATATACTTTACGTTTTTGTTGTATTACTATTTCCGCTTTTTGTTTCGGACGAGAACTCGCTGCAAACACTGTGATCAGACGATTGACTCCAGTGCGTTCAGCGTTTGCGAATGGACGCTCCAATAAATATTCAACTGACTACGAGGATGAGCCGAGGCGACCGTGCCAGACAGTTTTGAGAGCGCTGACAACAACCGACCAAAGAATCTAGTCTCAAACTTCAGTTCTGCTAAAACAAACTGGTTCGGTCTTCCTGCGATCTTCCTAACGTTGAATCATTCGCAATGCTCGCGACGTTTAGCCTGCAATCGCCATTTGAGCCATTCAGGTCCGCCCACTAAACACGTGCTTGGAGAGTGGACAGCAAGCACAGAGAGAGATTTCACTCACAGGTAGGGATCCCACGATCGTCCGCGTCAGGCTCGAATGTCCATGCGCAGTCATCATCCAAGCCTTGAGCATATCTCTCAACGTCTACCAGGGCCTTCCAGCGCGCAAATTCCTCCTCTACATTGGTTGTCTCTCCGCATCCCCTTTCCAGCACTTTCTCCAGCACTTCCAGAAGCTCCACTCGCCAATATGGCAGATGGCCGCTGGAAAGCCTGGCTGCGACATATTCGAAATAGCTCGGGACTACATTTGCGTCTTCCCAGTCAAGAAGGCCGACGATATTGAGTGTGTCTGGTTCCACAATAATATTGCGATCAGACGGGTCTCCGTGAGTAAGGACGAAGCGGTCCGTCACGACCAGCTTGTACTGCTGCTCGCGCAAAGACTCCGCACGACGTGCGTCCGCCACATTGCCTACGATCGCTCGCGCGCGCGACTCGTTCCATGCCTCCAGATCAGAACAAAAGTCGTAGGCAGAAGAGGCAAGCACTGTGGGGAGAACGTACGGCCTGCGACCTGGTCGTCCGGCGTACTCGAACGAGGGCTTTCGCATCGCCAGCAACACGTCACACAATTGGTTCTTGATAGTCGTGCGCTGTGAGGCGGAGATATCGTTCCACAAAGTGCTGAGAGGGACTCCTTGCACTCTGTCCGATAGGATCGCGCTCCCGCTGTCGGGTATCTGGATGAAGGCATGCACTGTCGAGATGGTGAGAGTGCCCTCGAGGACGCGACGCGCGAGGACCGTCATTCGGGCCTCACCCTCGCTGCCGCCAACCTTGAGCAGACGCGCATCAGGGACGCGGTAGAAGTGGCGACCGATGATGGGGATGGTGGGGCCTTCGAGGCGGGTCAAGTCCGTGCGCATGTGCGGTGGCGGATCCCATGTTTCGTTGGCGAATTCGGGCTCCCAGTCAGCGCTCACGAATTGATGGATGTCCCTTGACATGTCGCATCCAGGCCGCAGTGGGCTGAAGCTTGAACGCTGTGAATATTGGGCAATTCTGAATCTCGGCTCCGGCGCAGTGAATTACGTAAGCAGACGCGATCACGTGCATCGCGTTTTCCGAACTGAACCAAATATATATCTCTTGAAGATCCACCTTCCGCACTATATGTGTTCAAGTTTATATTGCCTCCTTATAATAATAGGTAAGCAAGATTTAACGGTCTTCACTCCAAGACTTATGATACTGCAATTGCATAAAGTGCGAGCTCACCGGTTCAGGGGATTTTCTAGAGTCCCATAGTACATGAGATGATGCAAATGAAGCGCGGTGCGATCAAGCGATACCCATGTTCAGCCAAGGACTTTCAAGTAAGTGTCTGCCCGACCTTGCGCACTGAGCACTCACACCGCGACATGGTTACAGTGAAACAATTCAACGCCATTAGGAAGGGAAGCCACCTACATCATCGCCTGTGATATCTATACGTGAGTTATCGTACATCTAATAAAGCCTATGAACGGATCCAGACACATCCTGTCATCTCTGAGCCAGCGGAGTAACTATGGAGAACATCGAAGAAGGCGAATGGACGAGTAGCGGAAGAAGGCATAGGCAAAATAACCATCAATTATACAGGACATCAAGAAAATTCATAAAGAGTGAACACTGCAGCAGCAAATCAGAACAGAGATAAGAAGAAGGTAACAAATGCTCAAAGTCGCGCCTCCATCTTTGCCTCAAGCGTGCCCACCTTGCGTTCTCCGACCTCACGCCACCACTGCTCTGCAGCCTCCTCCGCATCGTAACCAAACTGGATCTCATTCTTGCGCTGGTCAGCCCACTGGTTGGGGTTCCCCTCGCTTCCCGCGACCGACCCTGCAAACTCTGCCTCCATTGCTGTACGCATCGCAGTGTCTCGTGCCTCTTGCTCTGGCCCATCGGGCAGGTGGAAGATCTTCTGGTTGAGTCGCGACGATGCCTGTGTCGCGGCTGTGCGTGGAAGTCGCAGGTCTTGATAAGCGTTCAACAGCGCTGTGAGCTGTTCCATGGATGACAGGTGAGAGAGCAGCTTTCCGAGTGTAGCTGCGTCCTCGATTGCCATCGCGGCACCCTGCGCGCGATATGGCTGCGGAAATCTATATTCAAATGCTACTGCACGAATGTAAAGGACCTACCAGCATTGGATGACATGCGTCACCAAGGAGGATGACACGCCCGGACTTGTCGATCCAAGTATCGAGCGGCTGACGATCCATGAGACGCCACTTCAGGGTGGAATTCACCATTGCTATCATCTTCTGCACCCTATTCACGAGGTTCTTCAGCCAGTATCACACATCTCGCTGCGTTGAACACATACCGGGGCTCGAAGTCAGCGAAGTCTGCACGCATCTTGTCTGCGCTACCTTCGGCCGTCCATGACTCCACGGAGCCGTCGTCAGGGTGGAGCAGGACAAGGTTGTACTCCTTCTTAGCGCGCTAGATAGCGAGGAACGTCATTCTACGCCGCACAGGCGACTACGAGAACACCTACCACGTTGTACGCCATGAGGTGCCTCCCGGGCGCCATCCATCCCGTCATCTCCGGCGTATCCACAAATGGCTTAAGGTCCGGATCCTGAAGCATGAGCTCTGTGGGAATGAGTGCGCGGTACGCAGCATCGCCCGTCGCCTGCGCGGGATTAACGCGCCCGAGCACAACCTGCTGGATGAAGCTCTTCACACCGTCCGCGCCAACGATGAGGTCGCCGCGCACGACTTCCCCTGACGCGAGCGTGACTGAGGGCGCATCCGGGTCCACGGCGACCACCGTGGACTTGAGACGCAGCGTCATGCTTGGCGCCGCGAGGTCGTACAGAAGCTGGTGGAAATCTGCGCGGTGAATGTGGTAGTACGGCGCGCCAAACGCTTCCATCTTCTCCCCCCATTGAGAATATCCGACTCTCTCTCCCGTGCAGTACCTGCGAAAGACGATCGCTTCGGGCTTCACTGCGATTTCTGCCAGCGCTGGCCCGAGACCCCAACGGACCAGAAGGCGGGTGACATTGGGAGATACCTGGATGCCTGCACCGACTTCCCCTATTGCCTCTGCTGCCTCGAGAACGGTTATCCGATGTCCAGCCTGCGCTAGACAGTGGGCAGCGGCGAGTCCGCCAAGACCACAGCCGACGACGAGGATGTGCAGAGGAAGCTCTGCCTTGCGAGCGCTCGACGAAGATGGGGTGTTCATGTGAAGGGCGTAGTGGAGGAAATGCGGGGCTGACAGCCAATGGGAGGTATATAGTCGTGTGGAAGAATATTCGGCCGAGCGTATAGGGTATACCCACTCCCCCTCAAGCTGCTTTCTGTTAGGGATGGGCGTTCACTCACGCGGAACGCTTAGCACGGAGCCTGAGAGTCACCTGAGTCCTCATTTACCTCCCGTGCCTCTCATCGCGCCCAGTCTGAGACATAATGCGATGCGCTGTGGCTGACAATCACAGTTGTTACTAGCTCTTGTATGCCTGTGAAGTGATGTGAGAACGTCCGCGGAGGAAGGCACGTCGGAAGACGTTAGAACTCACCGTCGGTACCGCCCGTTGCACTATCTGATAACTATAGAGAAGCACCCCGTATGATCTCATCTGTCGAGTCTGCGCGTTAAACTTTCTGTCACTTCGTACCTATGCAGCCACTGCCACTGTCACCCCTATGGCATGATGGTGCAGCGTTACTCTAACGGCTTACACCTCGCCGTGAGACAACTGTGTCATTCCCAATGCTCATAGATCGCTGCGCGTGTGGGAAGGCTGCAGCGTGCGAAGTGCGAAGTGCGAAGCATATTCTGTTGCTTCCCAGGCCTCCTCACGCTCGCTAGAGTGGACGGAAGTCACTAATAATTATCGCTCTTCCCCGGCTCCTCGTGCAGTTGAGCTTCGCCGTTCCTGTCAGTCAACGCCCGAATATGACCGCTCCGAGGCCCTTCTGAAACAAATCACAACCCGTCAGCTGTCCAGGAGCAGTCAAATGGACGTACCCACTCGCCGGTACGCCATCCTTGTAAGTAGCAGTCGTTCACACTTAATCAAGATTCATGATCATGATACGTTATGCCGCCGGGAATATGGTTGATGATCAGGTGTGAAGTTGAGTAGGTTTGATGACAAGATGGGCTTTGAAATTTGAACTCTGATTGTCGTCAACAATCGGTAGTTCGAGTTGGAGCATAAGCAAAACAGGATATGATTGAGTGTCATGGATGCATATCAACGATACACCAAAGATGTACGAACGAGTGGGAACTTTCTAAAGCTGACCAAAACACATCCCCGAGCACGTGAAGGAATGGAACGTAGAAGACGACCACGGAGGACAAGAACCTATTCTCTAATCAAGCGCACGTTCACGCACCGACGCCTTCTGCCACACCGACAAGCCCGATGGACATTCTTTAGACGGAAGCACGTCGCCTTGGGTCAGCTGGACAGTCCACGGTTCATATCGATACCCTCAGGTTTCGGCAGAATGTCCTGGCAGAAGTGAACACCCGAGCCTTGTCGGAATAAGTGTATTCAGAACCTCAACCTGTTCAAGCAACCCTCCACGCCCAGAACGCTCCTGTAGCAGAACGAGGAACATCAGTATACACCGCACGACACAGTATATCCACGGGCCAATCACAGTGCGAGAACACAGAAGTTATCGTGGACGAAAGAGCACACAGCAACGAGACGACGAGCCCGCAGCATTTACTGTTAAGTCGCCGGAATGTGGGGTGACGATAAGTGAATGGTATGCTACTCACCTAGTGGGTCGTCATCCTCGTGGAATGCACCAGTCCACATCCCAAGTACGCCCATCGCCGAACCGACTCCGCCAACCTGGATTGCCTCAGAGACCCATTGGTCTGTGTTCGAGTCCTCATGTGACGAATACTGCACATCACGTATCCATCAGTAGGATCAACGTCAGTGAAAGACAGATAGTGACTGGGGACGTAAGACAAATGCACTGACAAGGCTCCACCGAATGCTGCCATCTGCGATCGTGGAAACTGTTCCATGGATTTTGCGCACATCGTCATTTACCTCTGGAACGCCGACCCAACCTGCCCCACCCATTTCGCCCTCCACTTTAATCGTTGGGCGGTCGACATGAGTAGGAATTGCGGGAGGGCCATAGCCCACAATGCGGAGGCGCAGTGGCACAATTAGCATCGCCTCCTCCAGGTCGGGATCATCAAATTCTCCAACGTTCTGTCGTGCGATGAGACGCCATCTTAATCAGTGGCCCGAACATTCCAGGAATAGCTGCGCTCACGTTATGATCTAACGTAGGAAAAGTAATCAGTATCAGTATGGAAGATACGACAAGGAGACATACTTATGAGATCTGTGTAGTCAAGCCAGGATACGCAGCGCCTGAACAGCGAAATTAGTCTTTAGCTAGTGTCACTTAAGAGTGGAGATAGCTCACCTCCAAACACCCTCAACGCCTGCCCAGTCCCACCCTTGCACTTCCTCGTCTCTCACCTGGGTCGCCTTTCCCTGAGCTGTCACATCTTCCTCAGCGGGGTCTTTCCCCTCGGTTGTATGGATCCACGCGTATTCGCGGACCCCATCCCACTGACACAGCTCTTCGACGTTGTCTTGTGCAGGGCCTTGCGTGCGCATGTTCGCCTCACAGATGATGCGTGCGGCAGCCAGCCACGTCCAGTCTGGCAAGAGCTGTGCCGCGGTAGGCTCGCGTCGCTTCCTCAACGGCGCGGAGAAGTCCGGCTCGGGCTCAGAGGGTGGCGTCGCAGAGGACTGGCGCCTCGGGTCGTCCATCGGCACGAAGTCTGAGTCGGACGAGGACGAATCGAGGTCCGATGGGTCAAGCATCGTGTACAGCACATTTCTGTCGGGATTTGCGTCTGCCGATGGAGAAGATGATGATGGTGGAGGAAGAGCAGAGGGCATGACAGGGCGGAACGGGCCCCAATGCCTGCGCCGTTTCAGATAATTGAGATCGTATACCCGCTCGCGCGCACGGTAGCGTGCGCGTTTCTGCTGCGCGTCGACGCTCATATCTAGTGGTGCTTGATTTGCTTTTTTGCGAGATTTACGCTTGGCTTTACGTTTAGTAGACGAAGAGGTACTGCCGGATTCCGGCTCTTCCTGTAATTGAGGCACAGGCATGAATCCAGTGCAACAGATCAGCTGGCACAAGGCTTGTGCTTCTGGAGTCACGAGCCACGTTTCGTCGAAAAACTCCCCTGACACTTTAGCGATGATAGAGGGGGGCAAGCCACGCTCGAGCGTTGTGCGCAACCATTCCACGTTAAGAGACGGGCCATGGAATGCAGGGAGGACGATCAACGGGGTGTGCTGGTGCGTATAGGGAAGGTTATGTGCGTGGGTGAGACTGTGCAGGTCTTCAAAACCGTGCGGCGAGCTTGCTGGGGCACTGGTCTTGATCACAGAAAGCAGTGTGTATAGAAGACGTGCATTCTCCGCGGGTGACGTGTCAGGCAGTTCTGGGTGTTCGATCGCTGTCGTGCGCGAGCGCAACGCGTGTGGCTTTTGCACGGGCAGCAGGCATGTATGCGTGCACAGATATCCCGCGGCCCAGGTCCGTCGCTTGAACTCGGATCCCCAATCGAAATCCGCTACAAGGGGAAAAAAATATCGAACGTCAGTTCCCGCCAACCCACAGCTCCAGAAACTGAAGTGAAGATGGAAAGGATCGTCTCGCAAAACAAGGTAAGCACACAAACTCAAAGTGGTCAACATGCAGGCTTAGAAATGGTCAGCCAAATGACACCTTCAAATACTTCCAAAGTGTGCCCAGAAACAGATGCTCACCAGTGTCAATGTAGTGACATGCACGTGGATCATCGAAAACAGCGAGGAACACCTCACGCCATAACTGGTGATCAGATGTGTTATAGATAATAGCACGGATGGTGCGACATGTCTGGGCAAATGCAGCAATGGTAGTTGGGAAACCAGCAACTACAGTGTTCACCGCGATGGCTTCAATTACTTCTGGAGGGAGGACTAGGATTGACATGTTCTTCAGGTGATTGTGGGTCGGTCCCAAGCAACTACTTTGCAATCAGTCAAGAAGTAAGACTCTGTGACAGTGTATCAGTATCGAAGTCAAAAATCTGTGAAGTAGAGGTAAAATTGGAATGACCCCCCAAACCGTTGGCTGGCATGTCGGACTTCTAGGTCCACGCTGCACGACCGGTTGTGGACCACGGAGATTTGCCAGTATACGTGGAAGACAGGGAAAGTCAGATCGACTTCCCTGCCCAAGTGCGTGAGCCGTGGTGCAAACATTACCACGACTGTTGCCACACGTATCCAACGATCATATTTATGCGTGCCCGAGCAAGATGATACCCTTCCAGCCGTCGTACAACATACCCACTTGATGTGTTTGCGTGCATCTAGGACTCACCGATATAGAACTTGATAACGCCTATTGGCTCAATGTCCCCTGTCCCCTGCAAACGTTAAAAAAATCAAGAGAATAACATCGACGAACGCCATTAGCCTACTCACAATACAGTCAGCGGCTGTGCAGTTATCTTCGCAGACCGCACGAACAGCGATCGAGCTGAAGGATCGCGTGGATATGGGAGTAGAGGACCTCAGAGACCAGTGGTCCGCTATGTCCGGGGTCCCACCTTGCGTAGCTCGCAGTAGTCGACGTAGAGCAGCCTCCCACCATCATCTTCAACAGCCTCCACCGCGTTGATGTCGACGATGCAGACCTTCGGGAAGGGCATCGTCCGTGTGGCGAAGAATTACACCAAAGGTTATTCGGACGTGCAGGCCAAGGTCCGCGACGCCACCTCGAACGACCCATGGGGCCCCTCGGGCACGCAGATGAACGAGATCGCGCAGCTCACTTATAATCAGTATGTCAGACCTATACTTCTCTTAGTTTGCCCTGACTAGCGATAGGAATGATTTTATTGAAATCATGGAGATGCTAGACAAGCGCTTGAACGACAAGGGCAAGAATTGGCGGCATGTCTTCAAGGTAACACCCTTCCGAATTTTGCACCTTCCTACTCTCCAGACGTTGATGGATGTTTGACCAGTCACTCACGGTGCTCGATTACCTGCTGCATGCCGGATCCGAAAACGTGGTCATCTACTTCCGGGACAACTTATATGTTGTAAAGACTCTCAAGGAGTTCCAGTATATCGACGACGACGGCAAGGACCAGGGCGCGAATGTACGACAGAAGGCAAAAGACATCACCAACCTTCTCACGGACGAGGGCCGCCTGCGCCAGGAGCGCCGCTCGCGTGCCAGCATGCGTGACCGCATGCTTCGCGGAACCAACGACGGGTTCGAAGATGAGGACGAGAACTCGCGCAGGCGCTCGCGTAGTCTTCCTCCTAGATCTTCTGGTAGGCGGCAGACGAATGGTGGTGGGCAGGATGATGAGCTCCAGCGCGCGATCGAAGCCAGCAAGCGCACTCTCGCCGAAGAACAGCAGCGCCAGGGTGGGCTCACATCAGAGGAGCGCGACATTCAGGCGGCCATACGTCTCAGCGAAGAGGAGGAGGCGCGCCGTGCGAAGGCGATCGAAGAGTCGAACCAGTCGGCGCTATTTGACGAGCATGCCCAATTGTGAGTTCCGATGGCCGTACGGTTCCGCCTGCGTACTCAACTTTCTTCTGTGTAGAAACCAGCTCGCAAGTTCTTCCAACCCGTTCCCGCTTGTGGACCCGTCGACACAGCAACTTGGTGGCCTGCAGCCACAATTCACCATGCAGCCACAGTTCACGTCGTTCAATCCGTACCAGCAGCAAGCGCAGCAAGAGGCAGCTCAGGTATACCCCACTTTTATTGTGTTCTTCATTCGTTGACGTGACCTCAGGCGGAGTACATGCGACAACAGGCAGAATGGATGCGCCAGCAACAGGAATTGCAGGCCCAGCAACAGCAACAGCAGCAGCAACAGCAACAGCAGCAAGCCCAACAAGAGGAGTGGATGCGGCAGCAGCAACTCCTGCAGATGCAACAGCAGCAGCGGCAGCAGCTGGGACTTGGCGCACCGCAGGGACTGCTGGCACAGCCGACCGGGTTCGGGTAGGTACCGATGACCCGCCAATATTCTGCTCACACTCACGCGTACTCGCATCTACAGCTCAAACAATCCCTTCGCTCCAGCGCAGCCACCTTCCCTATCGACGTCTGCACTTCCGTCGTTTTCTCATTCGCTCACTACATCACCAGCGCCGCAGAGTGCCAGCCCGTCGTTCAATCTTCAGGGCACCTATGCAAACGGCGCTCCAGCAACGCACGCGTCTCCACCACCACCATCACGTTCCGCTCCCCCAGGCCGACAGACGATACAGGTCAAGACTCGCGCAGACGAGGAACATGCGCATCTCGCGAACCTGTTCGCCAACCGCGACGATGGTACCGACACTTTCGGCAACTACGGACAACTGAGGTACGTAGTATCTCATCACACTCCGGTGTCGCGATTTCTCCGAACAGGCGCTACTCAATGCTGTGGATTCTGACGCAACTTCAACAGGTACGGCCAACAAGCCGCACGTTTGGTTGGTCAGCCCACAGGCGCTCTCCAGTCCAATCACAACCCATTCGCGTTGCAACAGCAGCAGACAAATGCCGATCAACCCTTCTTCTCTATCTGATATCCTGCTTTCATCGTCTCTGTTCGGTTTTGGTTTTGGTTTTTTTCCTCTGACACACCCTATCTACTTTCACTTCTCTACCATCCCTCCCGTCTGCGCGTCCCCACCGAACACCTTATTCCATATGACAGACACCAATACCCAGCCACTGTCCTAGACACCTATGCACCCTGGTCGTGGGCGGTTCTCGTCTGATGACTTCTTCCCTGGTACCCGTTTGCCTAGACTCGTCAATGTATAGTATTGCTGGATGGATCGCGGAGGGGAAGAATGGCACGCTAGCCAGGGGAAAAGTACAATGGATCGCTCTTCTGTTACTGTACGTCTACTTGCGAATTGTTGAAGTCGAACGTTGATTATTATGTGTCCGTTTCTTCCCGTTGGGTGGCTTCGTTTTGCGCCAAGTTCCAGCTTGCGATGTGCTAATAATGATGTTTACGGGAATATGACCACGAGTGCTCAAGCGTCGAAGGCTCGTTGGGTCAAAGGCGTCTTGCGTACCGCTTCCAAGAAAATTTTGAACGAAAACACGATGAGTTTCGCATCCGTTCGCGTTCGCGAATCTGGCAAGGTTGAGCCAATGCTATTTTGGCAGGAATAAACACCATTTGCACCCAACCAATAAATACATAGCTGTGACCCATACCGACCTACGTCTAATCCTTCACTTTGGGACGACTGGATCTGGAAGCTACATTCCGGTCCCGTCAATATTGAAGTTGCTCAGTTGGGAAATCGTGCTGAAACACACCTCTACGACTTGAGGCAGAGCTGCTATCGCTATCCGCAAGTTGCGGTTGGTCGTAGCGGCTTCATATAAAAAGCCTGCACAGTCGACACACTGCGCCTCGAGGACCGCCCTGAGCTCTTCGCACTCCAGATCAGTAGCTTCAAGTGCGACTCCGAACGGCTTGTAGTCCATCCTTGCAACCCAACTGTACTTCAGGGCCAACCATTGACCGTTTCCAACATGTGAGCCACAGTTCATACACACTGTTGTCCTATTAGCCGCAAAATTTGCGGCATCGTCCAAGAAGGCTTTGAGAACATCCTTTCTACGTCGATGGAGGAGTATGAGCTGCACTACAGCGGTGCTGTCCACGGCACTTAACTCGGCAGCCACCACCGGATCGCACAAGTTGAGGGTGAGGGTGCGAGAGGATGCCAGTTTAGCCTCTCTCATCCAACCTCTGCGGTACGCGATCCCGTACAGCCGGACTGGAGACGCTTCCAAGAAAGAGCTAGAGAGTGCGATGCGGATGATGGAGACGGGCCCGGGCATGTCGTACTTCTCGGCGGCAAGAAGTATGGACTCCACGAGGTCGATAGAATGAAGTGCGGGTGACTCCATAGCACTAATCATCTTCAAGAGGCCGGCGATGACGTCCTCATTCTCGCCGAGTGAGATAATGTCAGGGCCTGCAGAGGCAGGAGATCCCTGAGGAAGAGTGAACATCCCACGGAACCATCCCGAGGCCAGTTTGAGTATGTGAGAGTGCACACGAAAGAGTGTGTTATCATTCGAGCAGAGTATTATATCTGCGTCCTCTGAACAGAAAGACGGGTGCCATTTGCCATTGGGGATTTCAATAGCATCACTGTGAGAAGCATGTTGTTCTGCATCGATGTCACACCCTGCGGCGTTCTGCGCCATTGCACTTTCACAATGATCTAAAAGAAGAGAAAATCTTTGGATGAAGGGTCAACCAATATTAATATTGCAAGGCAACATTGAAAGTCCCAGTCATACCTTGTGGCCTACGCAGGACCTGAGACTAAGACAAATGTTATGGATTAACAAAAGCGATATCGATACGATAACGTGCGAACCGCGTGTAGTAGAAGAACGTTCGCAATTGTGACGCGCGCTAGCTCATGCTCTTCAGATTGTGGACAATACATGTTATAATCGAATCACTTAGGATACAGCGCCCTGGGCGCGGTAGTTTGTCCAGCTGGACAACCTTCAAGTAGACCGTGTGACATGCTCAGCGAGCTGATGTTGCGCCCAGTCTGCGACGGCATGAATCAAGAGATGAGGCACACTGCCGAGCGTCTAGCTGTCTTCGCATGTTTATGATAGTAGCGCGGGATTCATAATGCTTATTATGAAGACACCGACTCGCGTCAACATACAAAATCCTGAGGCCTGATCCCAGTAAAGCCGTAAATGTGCATGCAACCTGACCGATGAATCAATGCAATGAAGACATTTATAAATACGTGCAGCGGGGAAGTCCTTGCTAATGCAAATGTGTCCAAATCCCAGACTGTTACTAAGCCCTGTGGAAATGCACCCAAAGTCCGCCCTGGCAACATAACGTCAGAACGTGAGCTTCCTTGGAAGAAAACAGACGAGCGGCCGTACCTTTACGTATAAGGTCAGAGTATTACTTGGCCAGAGTTTCTCGAATGTCTGACGGCCTTTGCCCGATTTCCACTCCGGGAGAGGCAACGACCCTTCCGGCTGGACCTCTGGTGCTAACGTGAACGAGTCGAACTGCTGTAGCATGCGCGTGAGGAAGCACGACGCCTCGTTGTATGCGTAGTTCTGGCCTATGCACTGTCGACAAGCCGAATAAATCAGCTTAACAAGCGATGACAGGAAAAAATGTTGCACTGACTATGCGTGGCCCGGCGCTGAAGGGTACGTATATCATAGGGTTGGACGTGTACCTCGCCGCCCGCTCGTCAAGCCAGCGCTCGGGATCGAAGATGTCCGCATCAGGCCCCCATAGCGCCGGGTTCCGCTGCATGAGGATCGGGTAGTAGGTGAAGGACGTCTCCGGTGGCATGTACAGCGAGTCTGGCATGGATGGGTACGTGCCGTCCGCCTTTGGTAAAAGACACGCTGTGGACCGTGATTCGCGCGCATTGGCGGGTACGGGTGGGAAGAGGCGCAACGTCTCATGGATCACTGCGCGCACTGCACGGTGTGGTGTAAAAAAGAGTTGTCTATGATTCTGAGGAACACACAAACGTACTGTACTTCATCGCTTTGATGGCCTCAACGGTAGGAGGACCGTCGGCACCACAGTGTCCCAGGACTTCAGTGCGCAGTTTCTTGGCGATCTCGGGCTGAGTAGCCAGGAAGTATACTATGTAGGTCAGCAATTGCGCAGTCTGTGGATGTGGATCCGCTATTACTCGACACGGTGGCTGGATGAGGCGCAAGAGGAACGCACCGTGTCTCGAGCGGCGATTAGGATATTCAGAAGTTGGTCGCGAATTACGCTTGGATCTATGAAGAGAAATGACGCTGAATGACAGCGGATCCCATGGGTTTGATGACCGCCTACCTTCTGTGTTGCCCGCGAGATACTCGAGAAACGTGCTTTGCTCAGGCGAGCTCTGCACACCAGCTTTCTCCATGCTTCTCCTATTCTCCAGTGCACGCTGGACAAGCGGATCTACATATTCGTGTATGACCTTCACATGTGGGGTCATGCTATCGTGCAACAGCTCCGCGATAGGCCACAGCAATTTTCCGCGCTTAATGCGTTTGCTTACAATCGCCTGGAGAGTTTCAAAGGCGCTTGAGAAGCCGCCGAACTCGTCGTCCGTTGCGGAGCCCATCGGACTCATCTTCGTCTTCCCGGGGATGGGCAGCTTGCCGGAGAGCGTGTCCATGTTCGTGCCGAAGAGGAACTCGGACGATGCGTCGAGCGTGAACCTGGCAAATATGTCCTGCACCTCGACTGGCTGGCCGGAGGAGGTGATCGAAAAGATGAGCGAGAGCGTTGCACTGGTGTATCTCTCGAAGAGGCCGAAATCCGAGATGCGGTCCCGAGCGAAGAATGGGCGGGCAATTGCACGATGCTAGATAGGACAAGTGAGAAGAGAAACACCGATTACCTTGTCGGAAACCAACGAACCGCTTTCCAGAGCTGTTGGTATAGTTTTCAGTCGATGATATGTGTACTGTTACCAATCACTTACATCGTCATCGCGATTGAAGATACCATCTCCTAGGAACTTCTCCCTGAAGAGAAAGATAAGTAACTATGTAAATCGTTTACGATAATACCCACATGCGCTCCTTGGGGCCCACTCCCTTGTGGAAGTGGTTGAATCCTGTGGTGAGCACGTACTTCTGGTGTTCAGAGTCCATACTGATAATCTATGAAACAAGGTGTGTGATTAGCTGGAGGTCATTGCAGCGAAAGCCGAGGACCATTCGTCGAGCGAACAAGAGATCGCCAAACTAAATAAAGGCGTAGAATACGAACCCAGTCCTGCCAGAGTAATCTGAGATTGATTGTGGTGCTCTGGTACTTTTCGAAGAGCGCAAGCTGGAACATCGAGATGTACGACTTCGGACTTGCTTCGAGCAGTTGCAGGAGGACATCGATGTTTCCTGGCCATTTCCCGACAACTCTCGGGATTTGTCTGGCGCCCAGTCGTCCTGCCTCACGGTCCTGCGCGAGATCTGTGTACAACGCCACCGCGTACGCCCACACAGCGGCAAATGCAAGATAAGCGGGAAAGGCGAGCAGGCCAAAGTGGATGTCTGCGACATTCGCGATGATATAAAGACTAACAGAAGGCACGGCGGCAATGCGGACAAGGTCCCTGAAGAGCCGCAGTCGATAATTGTAGCGCATTGTACTGAAGGGGGGACAGGAATTGTTGGGCAGATGCAGTCATCCTTCAATCCCACCGTTCATAAAGGTATTCGGCTCGCGTGTCTCATCCACCGCCGGCCATCCAAGGCCCGCGCATCAGTTCCATTTGTGCGGTGGGAGAACCGTCTTTTTAAATGACCTGTCCGATCCAGCAAGCCTGTCTTAACGCGTTCCGAGCTCACTTGTCCAACAGATTTATATGAAAAGTTGATCTCACCTTGCAAATGCCGTACCGGAGGGATTGATTGCGAGGGGCTCATCGTGGTCAGCCCTAGGTGGAAACTCATCTCCGCTTCCATTTCTCGACAGAGTGCACCGCCTCCCGAGCGCCTGCAGCCGATGTTTGAGTTCAACGTCGCACGGGTTTCACCCTCGCGCGGTCCCTGGTCTCACGCGAGACTCTGTCACGTCCTACCATCGGTGGCCCCGGGTGGGTCGCTCGAGCGCGCTGCCAGCCCACACAGTGCGGGCATACCGGGAGTCTGGGAGAGAGACAGACCGGCGTGCGTCCCACTGTACCCGTCACTTTCCATAAACCGGATAAAACGGCGGAACACCTGCCTACATTTTACCCGCGCTACGAGCCGCGGGTTTGTACAGATATAAGACTTCATACGCTTGACGGTGGCGATCGCGGATTTTCGACGTGCCCGCAAATCCGGTGTCGGCAACGACCTCACATCGCGCGAGCAAGATGTGGCGTTGATCGCGAGGAGAGGCTTGACTATGAAACGACATTAACACATCCGTCTGCGCGACCACGGACATTTACTGTAGATGCAATTGATGGTGTCGGTTCAACGGCAACAAAACTCAGCAGGATCAACTGTAATGAGCTATTTATTTGTCCGTTACAGAACACATCGCATGCAGATTATCAATCAGATTCAAATTTTCGGTTCTACTATATCGCGTGTACAATGCCATCACCATGCATGCGTTCTACCTCAGACAGAGTACGGAGAACACACTGAACAAACTAGACCATCCGCATCCCCTCCCTGCGTTCGTCCCGCAGCCCCATGCGGCTCCGGATCACACCCATGCACCCCGAGCGACACCGACACATCGCTGAGCCCTGAGGAACACCAGCACTAGTACTAACGTGCGAGCAGGAGGACATAGGCATTGCACTCGCAGATGCTGGCTGAGCTCCGGAACACCCGACGGAGCAGGTATGTCTCCGAGCGTGCTCAGCACAAAATCGATGTCCGAGATCCGCGAAGCCGCCAGCTGCGCACACACGATGTGGCACACGTCGAAATGGAAGAACCGGCGGAGGTTGAGGAAGAAGCGAGAGATGAGGATCGAGCTGAGGCTGCGAGGGAATCAATGGCCATGCACGCTCGCATCGGGCAGACAGGCTCACACGTTGACGAAGGCTGATACGACTAAAAACACCTGTTGGCGCGGTAAGCCTGTCATTGAGATTGAACGACGCGCTTCAGACGTACGGTTGTGGTGTACAAAGCAAGTTTAATGACGTCGAGCATAATTAGTAGTCTGCAGTCGACATCAATCAGAGCAATCCCCAACATACACCAAGACCTAGGTCAACGAACGTGTAGCAGGTTGTGCCTGTTCACATTGCCAATTCGTAAGCAACGCTCAGCAGACGCGCATCTCAGCCAAAAATGGCTCACCATCTCTCAGCAGAAACGCCGTGACCGGAAGCTTCAGGTTCACTTCATCCGCAAGGTAGCGATTAGCGTAAGCAAATCCGCGAGGATGTTCGACACCCGGGCCGCAATAACAACTGCAATGGAAGGCGACAGAAAACATCACTGACTGAGCGCCCACAGTGGAACAAGGTCTCGCACATCTGCAGGGAGGTACGGGGTGGACGAACCTACTGCGCGTAGTGACGGTCTACGTGCTCGTCGCCTGGCAGTACAGGTTCAAGCAACGTAACAATAGCCACCTTCAGCTGCATATAATCATACTGAACTCGCCACATCAGGACACGCTGGGTCGTTGCATGAATCGGGCTGCACAATGCTCGTAGCAGGGGACACGAGCCCCAGCGCGAGGATCAGGAGCGGCATTCGCCAGTCGCGCCTGTTCGTCGCGTACATGCGGAAAGCAATGGATACTGCAAGGCGAGGGCCGTGAGTATGCCCCCACGCGGATCGTCTGGGAAGGAGAACTTACTTGCGTAGATGATGAACAGCCCACACTGGAGTACGTCTCTCAATATGCACAGAACATCATAGCTGGTGGGTTAACCGTCAGCTTCATCTACGCCCACATGCGCGGACTCAATGGAATGAAACTCTGGGGATAGTGTCAGCATAATCGGCACATCACCCGCTAGAATCCAGAATCGTACTTCATCGCAACACCACAACACAAGCAGCATCAACAATATTGTTTGGCACACGATATTGCAATATCGATTGAGGAAGAACAGCACGCTCGCCACCGTCGCGCGGCGGAACCACATCAGCCGCACCTCCTGCCAGAAGGTGATCACTTACTCATAGTAGCATAAGACTGGAAACCAGGTGACGTCAGTGGCAAACCACACCGAGCTGCGAACGCACCTATGACGGCCAAGACGCTGTACTGTCTGGAAGAAAGCTGTAATAGAACAGACGTTCAGAGCCATCAGTGCACACTTACAAGGCAACTCGTCCACCAGGTCACCGTCGACATCCAACTGGGCCTTTGGAATGTATCAGACGATCAAGGCGAGCTCGCAAAGGCAAAGTGAGCAGAAAGAACCAGACGTATGTGAGTATCCTCATTCCATCATTTTGTAGCGCAGGGGGTCTAAGTACTCACCTGAAGTGCCGTATGGCCGCACTGCAACTCGATACAGCACTACCAACGTCCGCAGTCAACGAAGAGCACAGCACTCACCTTGCTCGGATACTAGAGATGTAAAGAACATGATTTACGATACGGCGTACAGGCTGATCCCAGTGAAGAACATCAAATTCGTGATATAGGACGACATTGAAGTGGTATGCGGACTAGGGGAACTTCGGTGCCGTGGGGTCGTTAAGGAGACGAAAGGAAGACATGCGAACAAAGAAAGCGACCAATAGAATGGGGATATGTAGTAGACTTTTTTGAAGACAACCGGAGCATGCAGAATAACACTGAGAACTGGACAGTCTTGCAGAAATGTCTACTGCTCATCGTCGACCGGGACTTCCTCCTCGTACTCACCCTCCTCCTCGGCACTGCGTGAGGACAAAAGTTAGCCAACTGAGACAAAACAATAAATAGAATGAACATACGTCGCATCCTGGTACTGCTGGTACTCGGCAACGAGATCCTGCATGTTGGACTCCGCCTCGGTGAACTACATAGTAGTAGCAGTGTTAGCGCCAAAACCAAAAAAATCTAGGATAACAACGTACCTCCATCTCATCCATACCCTCCTGAGTGTACCAGTGCAAGAAGGCCTTCCTCTTGAACATAGCAGTGAACTGGTCGCTGACACGCTTGAATAGCTCCTGGATAGCAGTCGAGTTGCCCAAAAAGGTCACAGCCATCTTGAGACCGCGGGGAGCGATGTCACACTGTGCGGTGAGCACGTTGTTGGGAATCCACTCCACGAAGTAAGCCGAGTTCTTGCTCTGTACGTTCTGCATTTGCTCTTCGACCTCCTTCATCGACACCTTGCCACGGAAGACAGCGGCGACCTGAAGTATCGCTGTAAGATATAGTAAATTCACCTCGCGGACGCTGAGCTTACGGTGAGGTAGCGACCATGCCGAGGATCAGACGCGGCCATCATGTTCTTCGCGTCGAACATCTGCTGTGTGAGCTCGGGTACAGTTACTGCACGGTACTGTTGGCTGCCACGAGCGGTCAAAGGCGCAAAGCCGGTCATAAAGAAGTGAAGACGAGGGAAGGGAACTAGACAGTAACCTGTCAACTAGAGGTCTCAAAGAACAGAGAACTAACTTACCCATATTAACAGCCAACTTGCGGAGGTCAGAATTAAGCTGACCGGGGAACCGCAAGCAAGTCGTGATACCAGACATGACAATGGAGACGAGGTGGTTGAGATCACCGTATGTTGGTGTTGACAGCTTCAATGTACGGAAGCAGATGTCGTATAGAGCCTCGTTATCAATGCAGAAAGTCTCATCCGAGTTCTCGACAAGTTGGTGGACGGAGAGCGTCGCGTTGTAGGGCTGAGTGCTCAAATGTCAACGACATGTTGAAAGACCTAGCTTACAGAAATTCACCTCAACAACGGTGTCCGACACCTTGGGACTCGGCACTACCGAGTAGGTGGCCATCATACGGTCGGGGTACTCCTCCCGGATCTTTGAAATCAACAGGGTACCCATGCCAGCACCGGTACCACCACCCAGTGAGTGCGTAATCTGGAATCCTACACCGCGCATTCAGTAATGCCCAAAATAGGCAATCAAAGCGTGATGTAACAGTCACATCCGTTCAACATACCTTGCAAAGCATCAGTTCCCTCTGCCTCCTTGCGAACGACATCGAGGACGGAGTCGACGAGCTCAGCTCCCTCCGTGTAATCTATGGGGGAATACATGAGTACCAAGCGAATGTCAATGAAGATGCGGAGTACTCACGTCCCTTCGCCCAGTTGTTACCCGCACCGCTTTGCCCGAAGACAAAGTTGTCGGGGCGGAACAAGCTACCCAGAGGACCCGAGCGAAGTGAGTCCATGGTTCCCGGTTCGAGATCAACAAGCACAGCGCGTGGAACGTATTTATTTGCGCCGACTTCGTTGTAGTACACGTTGATACGCTCGAGCTGAAGATCATTGGTACCCTTGTACAACCCGTCCGGTTCGATGCCATGCTCGTCCGAAACGACTTCCCAAAACTTGGCACCTGAAAGCGAGACGTGCTCAGAAAAGACGACACGCTGTGAGGCTGGTTGATTCGCGCACCGATCTGGTTCCCGCACTGTTCGCAGAGATAGCGTCAGTAATCGGTAGTACGTCACAAGAAAGTACGAGCTATGCACACCTGGCCAGTCTGAAGGTGAACGATTTCACGCATTCTGTCGAGCAAAGATCAGCCCATGTTCTGACACGCAAGCAGTAAAAAGGCGAGAAGACACGCCATGGACGCGTGTTTTCTTCCGCTGTCGCCATCGAACGGGACTGCAAGAAAGATAAGTATTGAAACACGTACATGAAGGACGAGTTATGGATGGAGGAAAGAAAGTGGATGGGGCGTCAGAGGATCAACCGGGTGGGACGAGGGACAAAAAGGAAACGAAGTCTGCCCTCAACCGCTTCGCTTTTTTAAGCGGAGCCCGAATCCCAGAGGTGGCTCTCCTTCTAGCGTCCCATAACCGACCTGAAAATAACAGATTCGCCAGCTGCAGAGTCACGGCAAATGACAAGGTAGACGAAGCTGTTCAGTACGACGAATTCCTCCCGCCCAAATTTTTGACACACAAGCTCGGGACAGCATCTTCTCTTCTGCCCAACTCATATCGAAAATTCGCCTCAAAGCCTGGAGTCATCGTGGACGTCGACAAATAATATGTACGAAGATAAACATACATATTATTGTAGAACAAGTGATAGTGGATTATAGCACACGGCTAGAGTCAGTGTTACGTGACAAGGCTCCTGCAGGGCGGCCCCGGAAGTAGCTATTGTCACGGTAGCACTAGAACTGTAGCTCTACACGCGCAATTAAACACTCAATGTACGATGGAAACCCCCTCCCCCACTCACCTTCTCAGCATACCCACCGACACCCGGTCGAATCCTGACTCAGATGTACCCTCCCTCTTCTCCCGACCGAAGTCCCGCCCCCGCTCCTCCGCATGCCCCAACAACGTGCTCTCCGCGTCGTCCTGCCCAAATATCGACCCACCCTCACGCTCGGCAGCGACGATCGCGCCCGTGCGGCGGTCGATGCCGTAGTTCAGCATCCCAAGCTTGCACACCATGCTCGCCTCGTCGTCGTAGGGGATGAGCAGGTCACCCATCCCCGAGTGGTATGCAAGCGCCATCGACGCCGCGATCGAGCCGGGCGGCGCGGTGAGATACAGCTCGCGTCGCTGGCGTCGGTGCAGGATGTGCACGGCGATGCCTATTATGCCTATCAGTAGAAAGAGGACCGCCAGACAGTGCGCGGGGAATGGTCTGTGATACCGCGTGTCAACGTATAGAAAAATGAGACAAAGCGAGCGCACACTATGACCAGCCGAAGTAGCATTTGTGTTACTTCTCCATGCAGGTTCTCGCTTGCCGGCACGAAGTATATCGATTTGGCGCTGACCGAGAGAAATTGCGTCTGTCCACGATTGTCAGTCGAGTCGCCACATGAATGGATGAACACGCACGTATACTTTGTTCGTGATATTCAGGAACCCGGTCTCAGAGGCAAAGAACGAGCTCAGCGAAGGATCAGTCTGCAAAGCAAACCTGAATATAGAGCCGGGCACACCAGTCTGTATTGAGACAGCACGCGAAGCCACGAACGTATCGTTGGTCCGATCAAAGAGGACTCTGGCGAGCGTGAGTCTTCAGTTAAGCTGTACGACAAGGACCCTTGCACACTCACCCATTGTACGCCGACCCGTTCAGCGGGAAGCCTGTGACATTATTCGCCGCACTCAAGTTCCCCAATGACTGCACGTCGATCACGCTCCCGTTATTGAGGAATACCGTCGTCAGCACATCGTACACGCCAATCTGTGGACGGCATATCACGCCCTTCCCTTCGGGTGTCATGTGCTGCTATTCGTGCTGCTAACGTCGTAATGGAAAAACCAGAACATCACCGGGGTGAACGAGACATTTATGTCCGCACTGAATTTACAGGTCTCTGGGTCCGCCTGGACGACGCCATACTGCTGCTCCGCATCGGTGGGATTGAATGCGACGTGACCCTGGCAACCATCGGCCAAAGTCAGGTTGATGGTGTACAGGAGCGGATTCGCCAGGGTGAGCATGGACTCCGCGGGGTTCTCGCATTTGACCGACGTGAGCACGGCCGTCGTGTTTACGGTCACGTTGGCGTTGTTACCTTTGATGGTGGGATACTGAACAGGCGTGCACGCGAGGTTATGAGCAACGAGCAAAAGTATCTGGGAGGGGCTTACCCTGAACGTGGCGATGGCCCAGCTTTCGCTCACGAATGGAGGATCTGGCAAACTCTGAAACGTCGCAGCATCTGTAAACTATCGAGTACCATGTCAGCCTCGCGGTTCGGAACCTTTGCAATGGAACGCACACCAGCCGCAGCTAAGAAAGGGGACAATGTAGGAATTTCGTCAGAAAGCCCGACTACTCGTTCACCAGCAATTCCAGTGGCTGGTCGAATAATAGGATCAATAATACACGTGCACACATAGAAAAGAACACCAACTCTGCGACATATGCCTCTGCTCCAGGTCAACGATTGAGCCGACGAAAGGTTGCACCAAGCCCGTGGCGAGCGCCGTGATGATTGAAACATGGACGAGCCAGTGCTTGCGCCTGAATGAGACAAGCAGGGCGTAGACTTTGCTATGCACAGCACGTAAGGCACTGGCAAGCATGGCGCAGGAATAAGTAACGGAACACTAACTTATAAGCCATCTGTAAGGACAGAATGTTCAACGGACCATCAGCAGAGAACTGAACATTGACCAAGACACCTACGTAATCCAGCAGAACAGTGTCTTCCGCTCTCGCGTTTCCCTTTGACAACATCACGTACGGCTGCATTGGGTGCATCACTATCAGGAGCCCATATCGACTGTATGCATCCCACGCACCTGAAACCACCGCACGGCCCAATCCGTTGACTGCCATAGCCTAGCTATTGGTGCAACTAGCACGATAGGAAAGAACGCCTGCATAAACGTTTCAGCCACGACGAGCACGTTGAGAACGCGTATATGGTGATACTTACCGTCAATAACGATCCCGGTACGAAACCGAACACATTTTTCTGATGGACACCAAACCCTACGCCAGCACAACAGTTCAGGAGTGAGCTAATGGAGAAATTTAGACGGACCGACCGTTGTTATGTTGTGAGAACACGAGCGCGACCTCCAGTGCAATGGCAAGCGCAATCATGAGCAGCGCGAGCCCTATGACGACGCCCGTCCGTAGGATAAGCGGCTCCTACTTGCAAAAGTTAACACAAGTCGCAGAATAAATGAGGTCTCGACACCCACATAGCGCCGGGGACGTTCCCGCCCTACCCCGGGAGACGGGATGAGGTGCACGGAAGGCAGGCTAAGCCTGGGGGACCGAGAAGGTGTTCTGTACGGGTGTGCGTCGGACGCCATCTACAATAATGGTCCTGTGCAGCGGATACTGGTACTCGTTAATGGTCTGTTTGTCCCAGCCTCGCAATAAGTCCACGCCTTGAGCACCGCTTGTGGCAGGACACGTAGAAGAGTGGTAGATAAGAAATTAAGAATTGAATCGCAGTTGCCAAGTGCAATCCATCGCCGTCCTAGTAGCGTAGAACTGCCTCGCAATCATGTCCGCCGCTGCGGCTGCCTCGAACGTACCGCTCATCGGCTTTTTACGCGGACGACGGCGCGGGTTTCGAAATTCAAGAGGTTTCAAGGAGAATATTATTCCCATATTTGGTAGTATCGTGGCATGGCACTGCCACGACGAGCCTGAAGTACGCCATTGATGGAGATCATCCAGTATCGAACAAAGAAGTTAAGCGAACCGTGAGGCGTGAGGCGCCTTTTGTCTGGGGTTTCATAAACAGATTCCAGAACTTATGTTTCAGCACAGACTGCGACAACGACAGCCTGCAGCTTAAACACGGGAACATCTATTCAGAAAAGGTCACAGCACTGAGCATGCGCAAAAGACAAAAAAATGTGCTCATATCATGAGAAGGACGATACAGCTACGAGCTCGAGGACTTGCCAGAGCCCTCCGGCAGGGGCCGCTTCGTGTCCTCAACTGGCTGCTCCGAAACGACGGTCTCGCTCTCCTTCAGTTCTTCCGTCTCCTCATCCTGATGCGAGAGAAGACCCTCCTCCAGCGCTGCATCATCGGAAGATTCCTCATTCGTTTTGCCCGCGTTCGAATTTTGCTTCGTTAACTGACCGCCGCAATCAGCTGCGGTATACGGTGTAAGCAATACGCACACGACTCACCGCGACATAGATGGCAGACGTCATGATAATGACCGTCCCGATCACAGAGAGGAGCGAAGGTGTCGAATTGAAGAAGATTCGGTCGTAGATCGTTGCGAAGATGATCTGCGATTGCAGACAGTTAGCTATGGCAGACATGCTCGCAGCGGGATGTTCTTGCTCACTTGTACATAGATAGCCATCGTACCGCGGCCAGCCGTTTCTCGTTGCAGGCCCATTGTCATAAGCATCTATCAGTCCAGGCATCAGACCGCCCGAGGCCGAGAATAACGATTCAGCCCCACCTGCCCCATGAAGCCAAGAAATCCGATAGCAAGTAGCATAGCAAGGAACAACAAGCTGGTGGGGAGCACGATGTGCACCCTCAGAACAAGTATTCTGTACACAACCACGGAGTTGGTTCAACGACACTGCAACGAAGAACAGGAAAGTGGTGGGCGACTCACAGTATCGTAGAAGTGATCACACATTGGCTTGAGAACGCGACGATGTTGTGCATCGGATGTGCCCGTTTGCCGATGGCGCGGATCGTAGTATCTGTTGAGCACCAGATTAAATGGTTACAGGAATAGCGATCGCAATTTCCACAATTACAGGCTCCAGTAGCACCCAACACCCCCATGAGTGATGCCCTAAAGACTATCAGGTAAAGTGCGGAAGAAATATCGCAAATGGCTCACGCGACAGCACCCAGCCTCTGCGCCGGAGTGGCAGTTATGACCGCTCCGGCTATACCTTCCGTGACATCAGGAACGGTGTCCACGGATGCACTGCCGAAGAGGAACTGAGGTCGCGCTATCAAAACGACCCCAACCAAACTGCACACTAAAGATACGTTCACGTGTGAGAAGTCGTCGAATGCTTTCACAGGATTGTAATCTTACAGCTAGCCACCGCTTGGCTGCATTTGAACTCTTCCTTCAAAATAATTGCTCCGGTTACCGCAGTACACATCGGCGCCAGGAACTGGAGAACCGTCGAGTCTGAGAGCGTCAAATACTGCAGAGAATAATATGATCCGAAGAGTCCGAAGAATCTGGGTATGGCTTGGTCGGCATTGTTACTGTCCATCTACTAGGACATTTATAACCTACCCACAGAATCCTCGGAAGGCAAGGAGTATTCGGATACCCTTGGGTCCAAGTATAGGGTCTTGAATTTTCTTGATTGACCTTTGGAAAGTAAGAATACAGGGACAGCCGACGGCCGAAGTACACATACATGTAGGTCACACAACACGTCCACGTAATTACCTGCCACGACTTAGATATTGACCTCGCCAACAGATTGACAGGACAACTCACCATGCGAACCCATATAAGCTGAGCCATTTCACGAGCTGTGGATGTGTCCTGGTCCTGGATTGTAAGATACGTGAAATGACTCACCTCGAGGGGGTGAACTGGGGGGTCGAAGCCGTTAAGCTTCTTCACGACGACACTCATAAGTGAGCCGAATGCTTGCGAGGACGCAACCAACAGCAAGCCTGTGTTGTTTTGAATGATCTGTTTAGTGCGCGTCACAAAGGACTGCCACCTGTGCTGGGGAACGTCGACATCGTCGGAGAGAGATACTTGAGGAACTGACGGCGTGCTTTCGATAGGTGAACGGTCGAGGAGTGATAATGGGATAGTATCTGGGTCGAACGTCGTCCTATCGGGCGTCGCAGCCACGTAGGGTGTCCGGGACGTAGATGTCATGGTACCGAAAGCCGCAAAAGAAAGAAGAAATCACGGAGGACGAAGAAAACGCTGTTGTACAACCGTGACCCTTCTCGAGGGGACGACGGCGCTGGTAAAGATGGGCAAACAAGATTTGTGCGATGGTCATTGATTATTGCAAAAATACCTCAAGCGGTCCGGCCTATCACATGACAGACGCTATAACGCGCTTGTGGCACCGACGCGTCCTTGGAGCGGCGAAGGGCAGATGTCGCCTGCAACCCAGTCCAGCGATTGTCCGTAAAATAACCAGAGTGCCCGAATTACAAGCGAGTAAATCGGGCATGCGAACGTAAGGCCAGGTTTGTAGGATCGGGTGCGTCTGAAGTATGCAGGTGTTGATGTCTTCAATAGATTGCATAAGTGAGTTAGTGATTAGTGATCCTCTGTAGAACGTCAATAAGAATATGCAGAGCATTAAAAAGAAAGTACACACATAAGGGAAGAACTTGAGGGCACATGGATCTCGCGCGTCTGCTTTTTCTGCGTGCTATGGCCAGACTTCCGCGTCCCCGGAGGCCTCGAAACATATTTCCGACATAAAAAATCAGGCAAAGACATACAATGAAATTTATCTGAAATAAGTTTGCAGCAATGGCGGGGGCGAATACTCCCCTGTAGTCAGTTACTTTTTCATGCGTAGGCGTCAGATATGTGCCCCGCTGTCCAAATTAGTGCTAGACAGAAGCGGCCCGTAGTGGTGAGAGCATGAGCAACTACACCAGTAAGAAAATTCACGAGAGCTCGATAAGCCTTCTGCATCAGTTGCTGGAAATTGACAACAAAGGTGTGCGGCGGGAGCCTCTCGCTCGGCGCACAATATTTTGGCAGGAGAGGAATTTCGAACTCCGTGGCTCAGACGCTCGCGTGCGTACTTCATTGCCTCCAGTAAATTTTCAATCATTTTTCTTACACACATCCACCATCTCTCGCGGTCGTCCTCTCCCAAAAATTAACCATTCGATGTTCGGATGTCCAAACAACTCCTTGGAAAAGACTCCCATTTTTCTTAACCCAGAATCGTTCAGTAAATAGGCTGGGGAATTATTCTCAGCGGGACTGAGTGCGCTTTTTTTTTCTACCTGTGGTTCCCGGACAGCGAAAATTTCTATGGACACGTAGGCTGTGTCTTACATCGATGTGTCCATCTGCACAGGCGTTTGCGGGTCATGTACATTATTGACGGACCAGTGTCTTCGAGGTATGTCTTCTTCTGTGGGCTCTTATTTCTGTCCGTCAGTGCGGTCCTCCGTGTGTGGAGTCGTAGTATATTTGTCCGGTGCTTCCGTTTCTTTCGGCTTTCTGTACTCAAATATTCTGTGAGCATACTCCCTTTGACCTCGGCAGAACAACGTCTTACAGGCGTTCCGTTATAGTTATGGTCTTCCACCGTCATTTCGGCCTCTATACTCCGAAATTCTTGCCTTCGGTGAGAACAATCTATCATCCGCTACTCACACATATCCCCCTCCCAGCGTCCTTCCAGCAGGCTGCGTGTGCCCTTAACCTTGTCGGAAGCGCGACCGTGCATCTCTACACCAATCACATCTCAAGGCGGGATTGGCTTCAGCGTCGCCTTTGTCAGCCTAGCGAGCATCTCTCGACTCATCTCTAATTATGGACACGACGTTCCCAGATCAGCTCCCAGGATCGCACCCGAACACGCCCTTCTCAAGGAGAGTTTGGCTTCAGCGTCGCCTTCGTCAGCCTGCGGAGCACCTCTCGACTCCTCACTAATTCTGGACACGATGCTCCCAGATCAACTCCCAGGACCGCACCCGAACACACCGCACAACATCATCAGCGGGCAGCCCCATTGCTATCCTCGCGCCAACGCATCTCCGTTCCCTCCTTCCGTTCCCTCCTGTCCGCGCAGATGCCGCAGCACGCCGCACCGCACCCCTTGCGCATGGCGCGCGCTTCCGTGAACCCACGCCGTGTGTTCCACGGCAAGTTCCCTACGCACCCCCGTTCTCAGACAGGTCTATGGCATCACACGTGGTGGACGGATTCGCTTGCTTCTGCCTCGTGTTATAGGCGTTTGACGTTAACCTACCTGCGCGCTATCACTCACTTCTGTACTGATGGTCTGCCATACGTCTGTTCCGGTCATCGGAAGAGCCTGATACTGCTCCCGGCGCACGGGTATACAGCTTGGCCGGGAGTCTTCTGGTATTTTCTGGTGGACTCGAGTCGGCGAGGTGGCCTCCTGTCGTGCTCTCGATGTTCAGGTGTTCAACGCTGCTGAGACTCGCCCGAGTCAACACTCAGTCACTCGGAACTGCGGTAACTTTCAAGTTCCAGCGCTACATTTGTATACCCTGACTCGTGCGCGCTCGATCCTCGAGGCCTCCTCTGAGGCACTCCACGCCAGAACTCCCATGCACGAGGCTCTGGCATCCTGATACCCTTACGCAGGCACGACACGCGGATGCTGCGCGCGCTCCCCACCCATCGCTAACCCATCTCCGACGTGCGTTTCAATCCCCACTCTGCGGTCGATGGACGGACGCCCTACTTGTGATCTGCGCATGATTGTCTAGATGTGCTGTGTGGATACCTCGGCGATGTCTAACGGACTCGAGACACTTACGTCGGCGTCCGCGCTCTGCAGCATCGGAAGATGGGCCCATCAAAATGAGAGGGCATGAGAACGATGAGCTGCGTGCGCTCTGCACGACCGCTTGCTAATCTCCATCCTCCGCCGACTACCTCGCCGCACGCGTTAACGCGTTATTACGTCTCTGTGCCTCAAACCTGTCCATCTGACTCTCGAGGAACTCGCAGACCTATCGGGGGTGGACTACCAACTGCGTGGAACCAGAGAACGAAACCCGCCAAACAAATGCCCAACGAGGCGAAAGCAAACTCTACTACAGTGGCTACTCTCCACACACGGCCGAAAATGACAATGGCACGGGTGTTTTGCACACCTCACCCATCTCCAGCAGGGCCGCGATCCGCAATCGAAATGGAGCTCTACGGCACATCGATGACAGTTACTGCAACTTGACTTGCAAAGGCATGCAGGCAGGTGGTGCATAAGAACGGACGCACCGCGCCGTGCACGCACGAACGCGAGCGCAATGTCGTGTATTAGCGGTGCCGTACGGGATGCGAGGTAAGTACTCGAGTAACTAATAGGTGTCACGGAGCGCCGCACGTACATACATACATAACCAACAACACATGTACGCGTACGTAGCACAACTGACATAATTTTGGAGGTGGGGCAATATTAGGTGGGGCAGCGCGCGCAGCGCGCACGCGTGCGGGGACGGAAGCACAAACGCAAAAGCGAGATAACCAAGGCTGGACGGCACAGACAGACGGATCGGACAAATCGAGCAGAGTCGAGAGACGGGAGGAGCGGAGACGAATCGACGACGGACGACGAACCAGACACGAGCGCACGATAAACCAACGATGGACCCGAAACTGTGGGGGTCGGGCGCGAGAGGCGGTAAGGAGATACAGTGAATACGTAGATCGACGACGCTGGACCGCAGGAGGGATGCGAGAGAGATAAACGAGTCGAGAGATGGAACGCAACGGGATGGATACGACGGGATGGCGAGATGGGATAGTAGACAGAAAAACACGACAAAGCATTATGCAGCATAGGATAAGAAGTATCACAGAATTTACTTTTTTAATGTGGTGGTGGAGTGGACCCAGCGGCGGGTTGCGGGGCTGAATTGTGTACGAAACCCGTGGGTGACGCACGCACATCGCGCAGAGGACGGCCAACCCACCACCACTGAACCAAAATCTATGGACATAGAAAAATCGCCGCCGGTATACTGATACAAATTTGGACGCCCGGCTTGATCTTCCTGGCTGACCCCTACGCACGAGATGCGCGTCACTTGGACATCAGGTAAGAGGGGACCGCGTTGATGGGGGCACCAAGCTGCTCCTGCTGCACACCGTACGCTGGAGGCACCATCGATACGGACTGATACGATGGCGGGAGCACGGACGCCGTAACGTAACTGGTCGCAGAGGGAGCCCGCGATATCGATGGCGTAGCAAGAGGCGATGACGTGTTCGAAGCAGAGGCCATAGACGGCGTCGAGTGCCGTGAAGAGTGAGTGGAATGCGACTTGTTGTGCTGCAGACACTCATGCTGTCCGCTCGCGAGCAGTGCCAGCCCGATCGCGCCGTGGTCGCCGGAGTGCTGGTAATGATATCCTGGACCCATTGATTAGCATCACGATCAGACTGACAGGAACCGCCTGTAGCACATACTGAGACCATTCATGTTCTTGTACCGCCTCTGACACTCGCCGATACCGCACGCGTACGGCCGTAATCTCCGTTCGGCCTCCTTCTCAACCTCGCGCAGCTCCGCATCGCTAATAACCTCGCCATCCTGATCCTTGCGCTTCGACGCGAGCAAAGCCTGTATATGCTCGAGGTCCTTCGGCGGCGCAAAGTTACAGGACCCGTGCGTCATGTGGTACTTGAGACCGTTCGCCTGCTTGTACGACTTGTTGCAGTTTGGCTTCGGACACCGGAAGGGCTTGGAAAGGAGCAGAGACGTAGCAGGGCGCGACAACGTAGTACTTGCGCGCGCAGTCTGGTTGGCAGTCGCTGTCGATGTTGACGTGGACGGCTGCGCTGCGCTGCGGAACGTCGAGGTAGCGGGGGCCGGCGAGGTGACGCGTGAAGAGGCCGGCGTGCTGTCAGGGGTCGATCCCGTGCTGTCATTCAAGAGAAGAGCCGGGGGTAAGCACGTTGAGCGCATGCCGTAATGGTTAGGATCCGACTGCGAGGAGTCTTGCGAGGCCGAGGTGGTGGGCATAGCAGAAGGTGCGTGTGCACCTGGCAAGAGGGTCGAATAATCAGAATACGCGTACGCGTTGAACGGTTCCTGACCGGTAATCGAGGAACGCATAGCAGGCGAAAATGCGACAGCAAGCGAAGAATGTCCCGAGCGTGACGGGAGAACAGTGGTCGTGTCGAACGCCGAGATCGGCGCGGGATGCGGTGACGAGCATGTGGATGCTGGGGCAGAGCCACCGTACATCGACGAGCTTGGATAGGCAGAGAGTGGCGTCGAGATTGGAGTGTCTGGTGGAGAGGGGGCTCCCGACGACGGAGCGCTAGCGTGGTCCATGTCGAGCTCCATGTCGTCAGGATCGAAGGAACCCTGATGGTACATCGGCGCTGGAACGCCACGGGCTTCAGAGAGGTACGAAGCTTGGGGCTGTGGCGCGACAGGAGTCATCGGCACTTGCGGAGCATACGGATCCACAACCACGACGTGGCACTCCTCGAAGTGTTCCACGAGGGCGTGTAAGTCCGTCAGGTTCAAGCCACAGCATTGATAATCACGACACTGTATGCCGTCGGAATCGGCTTACGCACTTCATGAATGAACAATACTCACCAGCTCGTCCTGGCGTTCGAATGCACTGAAGGCGTTCACAATGGAACCGTGATCGCTTTCTATAGACGAGGACATTCTTCCGAATTTGAACTCATTCGGACTGGGATGACAACGTTTCTGAGATGAGATGTCATCATCTGCGACGCGGTGTACTCACTCTAGTGGCCCCAAGAGCTGTCCGGGTGACACGCCAGGATAGAACCGGCTGCCGAAGGAGCCCGCGCGCCATGATATTGGAGAACCCAGGAAGCGACGGGTGTAGGATGCAGGATTAAGGGAACCTTGCTGGCCGGTGAAGGAGCCAGTGCCCATGAAGATATCGTTGTTGTCCGAAGATGGGAAAGCGATGGGTTGAGCAGCAGCCATGTTCGGATCGTAGTCTGACCAGGAAGAAGCCAGGATGAATATACAATGACCCGGATGAGGGGAAGAGGGGGGGAACACGACAAGTCTAGAGCCTGCTAGTCGAGAGGAAGCTCGTGCTCGTCGTCGTGAACGTCGACGGGAGTCGGGAGGAGGGGAGGGAGGATGCGGAGATGATGGGACAGACGATCGGGTAATATAGTACTTGCCAGCAGGCGCCACCTTCGCAATTCGGAATTCGGGGTCCAAATATCGCTAAATAAGGCCAAATACTGGTTCCAGTTCCCACGCATTGTTGGCTCCAATACCCACAAGGCCGAAGCCGCCTTGCCTCCGGATTCGCCCTCGTGCCGTACCAAACTCCCAAAGTCTCGTGCTCGTGCGCAGGTCTCCCATCTCTGCAGTCTGCTGTCTCACCTTGGCTCTGCCCTGCAGGAACATCCACTGCCGCTGTCACAAGTCGCCGCACGGCCAGCGGGCACGGCGGATCAATAACTGGTACATACGATGCTGCAGAATATCGTGAGCGTGCGATCGAAACACGCATACGCTACTCGTCGCACGCCCCCCACGGTGCAAGCGGGGAGTGTAAGTTGCATCAGCACACCGCTGCTATTGAGATGCCCATCAGCAACCCGGCTGGCTCGTCGATGGCGGCCTTCATCATGACGTTTCACTCGCATGCCCATCGAGGGCACACATCGCTGCTGCCTCTCCATTTCGCTCCATTATCCACAGAAATATTATTACTTACTTAGACTGATGGGCTCCTCGTGCTTGGCTTCTCCTTGTGTGCGCGACGCGTAGCGCGCTTCCATGTCGCTAGCTGCGATGCGGAACGTCGGGACGTGATCTATCTACGCGCTCCTCCCTCCTGGTTGTCGTGCCAATTGTGCTGCCCCAGTGCAGTTCGTCTGCGGGTCGTAATATCCACAGCAGGATAAGTACTCGACACTTGCTCGACACGGTTAGGATTTGCCGACAGCCGCACTACCCCCGCCCGCCCTCGAGTGCGCGCGCCACGTCGTCGGCAGAGATTTCTGGGACATGGATCTTCTGGATCTACAAGGGCGGCTGTCCGGCCGGCCCATGCCGGTAGACGGCCACCGTTGATTGCCGGACGAGGCGCCGTTCCCTGCACAGCCGTAAGCAATGCACCTCACTCGACAACAGCCCACGCCGACGCTCTCGAACCTCGGACCATACACACCGCTTCGCATCATACTGAACTCTTCGCATTCCGAATGTTTTTGACGTTGCTGACGAAGCTCTGCACTGTCCAACTCGGAGGGAAGCTGTCGGAGGGAAGCTGTCGAAACTTTGTCCGCTGCTGACTCTGCTGCTCTCAGATCCGTGCGTGGCCGCGGCGGCTGTGCATTGCTGGCGTGCTGTCTCTCCCCGCTGCAGTCGGGAGGCTGCTTGGAAGGTGTGTAACTCGGCCGGATGCAGCAACAAACAGTACACAAATGCACATTCGGCACTATTTACCCCCGACTCTGCAGAGTCTGGCGCGGGCGGGGCAGTTCCAGTGTACGCTCATCTCACCTCGCATCTGTCTTTGGTCTTGCGGAACCCCCGCAGTGCCGCGAGACCAGAGATTTCGTGATTCTGTCATGCAGCTGCGCACGTCCTCGAGCTTCTTGCATCTGGGTTGTGGCGCCGCGGTGGGGAGAATGTTTGCGCAGCAGCACCTCATGCATCTATCAGTGCGCCGTCCGACTGGCCTCGCCGCACGCGAGCATATGCGCCGCCCAAAGCATCCCCCGCACACCCGGCTTTTCCCCCTGATGCAGAGTGTGGCGCGGGCGGGGCAGTTCCGGCGTATGCTCCTCGACTTCGCGTTCGTCTCGGGGCTCGCGGCATCACTGACGCTGCGGGGCTCACGAAGCGGCGCACCCGGTGGGGACATTGTTTGCGCAGCAGCACCCCACGTATCTGTCAATGCGCCGTCAGACTGATCCCGCCGTGCGTGAGCGTACGCGTCGCCGTGCCGCGATCAGCTGGCGGGCCGTCCCTGTGAGCGCAGTAATCCGTGCCCTCTCAGACGTTGCCCGCTTGGGAATCGTCGCGCGCCTGGACCGCGCACGCTGATACCCCCGCCCCGCTCTCGGGAGCACATTTCATTCTGCCACGACTGCTGCTGCCGCCATGTTCCAGTCACCCCGCCCGGGCTCAATTGTTTCCGCGTCCTCGTCGAGAGTGCACACGACGCTCGGCGCTCGCCGCAATCACATGTATTGATTTCCTGTCTTGTGAGCTCAGCTGTGTCCGCACACGCCCCGTCCGCAGTGGTAGATGACCTTGTCGCACCACGCGCATGCTGCACCGCTCCGTGTGCTCACTCCAACATTCATAGGATAGCGTTTGATCGGAGAGGCTCCGAGCTCTTGTTTTCATGTCCGTACCGTGTTCCCCTCGATGTCATCGTGGTCACCTCCACTTCGCGCTCCAATCTTCCGAGTTCCTTGCGCAAAGTCGTTGCCGCTAGACGAGTGGGGCTCGGAAGTTACCGCGTCTTACGAAGACAAGCACCTTCCTACTTCGGCGAAGGCGGGCACTTTCCCAGCCGCTTCTTAGTCGCGAGATTAGAATTTGAGAGCACCTCGCGAATTATGCCCATCGACTCGATCGTCCACGATCATTCCGCGACGGGGCGGCTAACTTTTTTGCGGTTGCAAGGTGCGTTTCAGCCAGGTTTCACCTCCGCTCCCCCGAAATAGTTCTCAAGGCAGACGTGCAGAATTAGGAGTCTTGACATGTTGTGATATGTTCCAGCAGTCCTCAACCTTTGTAACCCAAACCAACGCCGTGCACTCACACCTCCTGAGATCCCGATCACATACAGCACACCCGCCGCACTGTGCGCCAGGCAGAACGCGCACCCGCCTTCGCGCGAGACCACTGCGACACGGTGACATCACCCGCTGCGGAATAGCGCGCTATCCCAATCGGGCGCGGTGTATTCCATTGGACCGGGGTCAGTAAGCCGCACTCACCGCTCCATGCTCGCAGCTTCGCGGAGGCGCTGACAGAGCCGCTGCCCGTGTCGCTTACGCAGGTGCGGACGGCTGAGTGGGGAGTGCGCGTCTCCGGCGTTGGCGCCCTCGGACCATGTCGGACGGTGAGATTCCCGTCCGCTTCTGCGATCTCGGACCTCTTCTTCGCGCTGCCATGTGCGCGTGGAGGCTGGCGTGCACCGCTTGGTGCATCGCTGTAATTTGGAATCGATGTGGTTCGACGTCAAATACTGCAGGCCCCGTCGTCGGTCCCGCAGTACGGGCGCCAGCAATTGCAGCGGGCTACCGTATCGATCAGGCACTGGACGCGTTGTGGGTGCTTTGCGTGCCTAAGGGAATGGACACCCGACCGCGCACAAGGCTGCGACCCCTCGCTGCATCTTACGATGACGCTCACGCGTTCAACGTAGTCAGCTCGCAAGGCGAATTTTCTGAAATGACGTCGGCACATTGTCGCTTTGCAAGGTGTGTAGGTCCATCTTTGCTCGTACGCAGCGCTGGAGAGAGCTGTGCACGTCTGCGAAAGCAAACCACAACGGTGCGTCCGAGGGGTGCTTCCATTGAAGACATTGTCATGCGTCCTGAGTGCCACTGCGACCGCGGCGTCAGTGGTGGGGTTGCAGTGGACTTGTTGTCTGAGCAACGCGGACGAGCGCGGTCGTCCATATGGGCGCGAAGCCGGACGCGCACAGCTCTTTCGAAAGGAGAACATTGACTGCACCCACAACGCCCGGGAGAACAACAACACCTCTGCGATCAAGTCGGATCCTTAGTAGCTGATCAGCGAGATTGTTCTGGATCTTCCTACAGCCTCAGCTTGAGGGGTCCGCTTAGCGGTGGACTTGCGATGACGATCTCCACGCGGTTCGGTCGCATGCAGGTGGTTATCTGTATCTAGCCGAGGCATCTAAGTTGCTCAAGCTATCCACATCTCATCGCCGCGTCGTGCGCACAGACCACTCTCTCGTCCAGCCGCACCGCCGTCCCATTGCCTCCGAGTATCTGTCAAGCTCAAACACCTACCGTCAGTTCGCGAGAACGTGCCGTCGGCCTGAGCATATGCGTCCGAATCGAGGGTCCTGACAAGAGCATGCCAACATGTGAACAAACTCACACCCCGGCGCTTGGGCGGAACTCAACCAGAGCCCAGGGCGTGGCGTCTCTGCAGTATCGACAGTGTGATCTCACGCTGCAGTGGTGTCACTTGCAGCAGCCAGTCGGCGGCTTCGACTGGAGGATCCGGACGGGCACCTCCGCGGCCGGCGAGCTGGCCGTGGCCCCGCGGACACTCGTATGTCCGAGTTGTTCCAGGTGAGGGAGCATCTGCTTCCGTCGAGTCCCCAGCATGCGAGCCTGGGCTCGCTCGCAGTGGCGGCCAGTAACATCCCAGCGCCGTTACTGTAACTTCGGGCTGACCTCGGTGCCGATGGCAGGGTCTCTTCTAGACATTGGATTATGGTATTAGACCTACTCCTAAATCCTTGAAGAAATGAAGCGCATAAGTACGTTGTACTCGCTCCGATGATGTAGGGACGGTCGCGCCGTCACGGGGTTCTTACAGTCACCAGAAGCATAAAAATGGTAAGTCTGAAGGGTGTCCTGACGGCGACATCGACTCTGGTAAACGATGTTCCTGAGTTCGACTCGGGTCTGGCTTCTTAGAGGTGAGGAAGTGCGACTTTAAATTCTTCGTACGTAGTCGCGCACACTTCTCGCACACACAGAGAGATCCAGATGGTCGTTCTCCGAGCCCCATGTGTGCATTGCAGCGCTCATGGTGTCAACGCACACACCGCTCGAAGAGTGGAAGAACAAGAAGATCCAGAACTAGTGATGAGACTGCACGAACTTGAGCCTTCGAGTGTAAGGGGGACACCGCGCTCACATCACAGTCCGTCCCATAATAGGTCGCACGCACATGACCGCGTTCCGGTGCAGAACGCGTTCTTTACTTGTGTTTCATTTCCGTCATTTTCCATTGTTCATACATAGTGATCAGAAGTGGCAGCTCAGACTCGGAGTGGCTCCCTAGGTAATTTATATACCGAGTAGTTCTGATCTGGCTACCAAGCCTCCGAATACAAATATTTCTCCCACTCATCTCTCGAGCCTGATATACACTCGCTTCGGATTCTTCCCCTGTTTATCTCACTCCTCAATCTCTTGTCTTATCAGACTCGCACTACTGCCTGAGGCAGTCGGATACTCGCACCGAGCCACATTTCCAGGGCTCCGGTCAGGATTTCTCGGTGGTGAGTTGATTGTCTCTGGTCATGTTCGTGGATATCGATTGTCAACCTCACAGGAAATTTACCAATGACGAACTTGACCAGAGGTTGATCCAAACACCGATAAAGCGCGTGCATGTTTTAGTACGTAGATGATTGGATCGCGCCGCTGCGTCGACGTCTTTCAAGCGTTTATGTCGTTACAACCTCCGAATACATATAACGCACTCCACACGTCTGAGATGCTTTATGTACGCGTTCCTGTGCACGCGGTTTCAGCGGGGATCCCATCTGAACTCCTGTGTAAAGCAAAGGGTGGCTCCCACAGGCTTCTAGTATGCGATGCTAAGCAGGAGGTCAACACTTCCATTACGAGAGGAATGGCATCGTGGGGGAAGAGGCGTGGGGGCGCTCCGTCGCGTAGGGGAAAGACGCTGAGGACGACGCACAAGCTATATTTACCGCCAGAACACGTTTAACTTAGAGCTGGTGAAAACTTACAGAGGGTAAACTTGGAACTGGACAACGTGCAAGTGCATAACAGACGAGTACAAGGAGGCATCAGCGGCTCTGTATTTTCTGCTGGACATATGGACCCACATGGACCCACATGGCGTGCACTCACATACGCGCAGTAACGTGAACAAAATTGCGAGCACGTTATGCCAAATGCCTGAGGGATTTTCTATGCCAGGTATTTTTCGCAGTTCGCAGCTAGACTTGTGAATAATTGAACATCAGCGCGCCAAGCGCATGAAATACGGGGAAACCTCGTCAGCGCCGCTCTTACCCAGTCCGTCTTCTCGCACCACCATATCACGAATCATGATGAATTCCGAGCCGACCCACGAGCGCACCAGGCGCCGTCGCATCACCGCGTCCCATGATGAGCAACACCCACGACACCTAAGGTATCGTGAATGTTCCTCACCAGCGGCGCGGCAGGCAACCGCGCTAAGCTAACTACGATTCCGAATACATACGCGTACCGTAGTCTAATGCTGTCATCCCCATGTACCCCCGGCAATCCAACTGTGTCCACGGCCACGCGTCCATTCTCAAGCTGTGACGGACGTGCGATCGCTCTTGCGGCGAGTAACAGGGCAACGACGCCTGCCGGTCCGCGCCTAAGAAGGCTAATCCATCAGAGGGAGTGCATCCGGTCGCATCATCGCACGAAGAGTCGCTTGGAGCGTAGCGGACGCGCTGCACCCACGCGCCCGGTCTCCTGCTGGTACATTCTGTATGCTTCTCGCAGGTGGTCAGGCGACAGTGGCCCCGTGTCCCCGCGACGTTCTTGCACCCTCCGCGCTGCAGGAATGACCGTCAGCGCGCGTCCTCATGATCGTAACGAAAAGGGCAGTGACGCACCTTTCTCGATGACCTCACCGACGAATACTTTGGAGAAACCGGCGACAATCTGGGCCACGGGCTGTGAGACCTGCTGACCGAGCGTTTGCTGAATGACCTAGAAGAACATGACCCGAGATGAGACACCATGGGCGTTGTGACGACATACCTTGCGAACCGCCTGCTTCGGGAGCGCGTGTCGGCGATATGCCTCGAACCGGTCGTACTGCGAAGGGCTGAGATTGTCCATGAGGACTCTGCACGGGAGCATATGACGTCAGTCTGAGGAGCGCGACGAAGGTATGGGTAACCGCACTTGAGATTATCCTTCGACTGACTCTGGAAGGACAATTGCGCAGAATAATCGTCATCCGCCATCGCAGGCAACAGCTCGTCCTCCCCTTCTCCCTCGTCCTCTCCGGGCACAGCAACACCCGGCGCGCCCACAGCTATTGCGACGTCTGCAGGTGGCGGAGCTGCCACAGGTGCTACCCCGGGCAGACTGAGTACGGTACCCGTCTCCGTTGCGAGCGGAGAGGTTCCCTGCTGCATCTGTCCCGCGGTAGGAGTTGTACTGTCACTAGTGGCGTATGGCGCTGTGGCCACATGCGCATTCGCGCTGCCTGGTGCAGGAAGCCACTGCAGCTCTGTCGGCTGGCTGGCCCCTGGACGTGGCGATTGTGAAGGTGGACGTGAGACGGTTGTGGACGGAGCTGCTGTAGCAGCTTTCGGTTTGCGTCCGCGCTTCGCACCTGTCCCTCGCCCGGCACCGCCTCCTCGCGGGGGTGCTGCTGGATTGGATGCGATGAACGGTCGTTCTGGCGCGGGATACGTTACAAATGGTGAACCACTCATATTGAACGAATTTCTTTGTGTCGCGGTGATATCCCGACGACTAGTGTCTCTACGACTGAAAATAATCAGTATCTTCCGCTGAATAGATGTTCCAAGACCTGCAATTGCAGAGAAGGTTGCGTAGACGTAGAATAAGATAAAGAACGAGAGCCAAATGTAAGCTGCCATGCAAGAAAGTGTCACGTGATTACCGGTTGTCGACAACAACTTGGAGACAAGTGACAAGGTTGACCTCAACTTGAAGTATAACAAACCACTCAGACGGCGGCAGCGACGACAACAGATTCTGCGGCACCAGGATATAATTGTGGCACGCTGAGCACTCAGGAGTATCCGCATTTTGAAGCAGCCGCTATGGCACACAGCGCGTACAGCCCATCTCCGTCTCCCAGTCTCGAGTCTTCTCAATCATCGGATTCGTCTGGCATCGAGGACTTGGGCCCTTATGTAGAACCGTCAGATGTCGCTATGTCTATCTCTCGCCCAGGATCACCCGAAGGCCAGGCGCCGGATATCCAGCCTGGGGCCGACACCATGGCTTGCAGATGGGAGGACTGTGGTAGGGTGTACAGCCACCTCCCCACTCTGATCACTCACATCCATAATGGTGCGTAATTCGGAGTGAGGCTTAGGAAGTTCTTTATCTACACCCTCGTATAGATCATATTGGTGTACACAAATCGAACTACACATGCGAGTGGACTACATGTTCGCGTCGCGGTATCGCGCAGACCTCTCGATTCGCTTTGATATCGCATATTCGTTCCCATACTGGGGAGAAGCCTTTTACCTGTCCAAGACCTGGTGCGTGTGTTACCGTTACTTGGGGACCAGCAGGAATAAACTCACGCGCCGATTTCTCTCAGAATGCGATAAATCGTTTACGCGTTCCGACGCGCTCGCAAAGCACATGCGTATCCAGCACAACATTTCGCCACCGCTCCCCGGTCGCGGAGGTAATCGCAAGCGAAAACGTGAAGAGAACGAGGCAGCGCACGTCGGCGGCTCGGAGCCTTCGTACGGCTACAATATGTTCAAGGTAGAGCCCAACAACCATACAGATGGGCACCCAGATTTCGACGACGGCCGCATATCTCCGCTTGACGCACCCGTTGAGCACGCATCTACACCCTTACCTCGTTCAATCTCCCCGGACTACGGAGACGATGACGACGACGAAATTCCGCCACAACTGTTGGCTGTCATGGACCCTGCCACACATCTCATCATGGGCCGCACGCCCGCGATGGTGCGATATATCCTTATGAAGGCGAAGCACCGATGGGTGCTCGAGCAGCACGAGGCGCTCGTGGAAGAACTACGTACTGTAAGGTACGAGGAGAAATGCTGGAAGGAGCGCAAGGAAGCGCTTTTGGACGAGCTCCTGCGGATACATTTTGGGTATGAGGATGTTTTGCTACGTAGCTTGTGTGTGTGCTAGAAATTCTATTTTTACAGGCCTCAAGCAGAAGAGCTCACTAATCCGATGGTGATTGCCACTCAGAATCAGTACGACCATGTACCTGTGCCAGACCCGGAGGGCGACGATGGCCAGCAAACGACGAGTATGCAGTGATCTGCCTGATATCGTATAGTTTTTGTGTCTGTCCTCCGAGTGTTTTATTGTACTTGTGCGTTGTTCTGTCGTTATTCTTTAGGATTTTACTGAGGGCATAACGTGTTGTTTACTGGGCCGTCACCAGCGGTTTATCCTCGTCGCGGCTTCTATACATGATGCTGTCGCTTTCGGTAAACATCCTGATTTGGGAGATGCGAACATTTCGCACATCGTCCGTGTTGTGCGCCACACTGCTGGATCAGAGTACCTCTCTGCTAATCGCAGAGTTATGGGTCCATGAGGGTCCTCAGAGCCCTCGTATTATTAAAGGATGCCCTTGACGGTACAATCATTCTACACCACGACTTTACCGTCTTATCCAGTCTTCCGCCACCTCGATTGAGCCGATCTTACACCAGAAGGAAGTAGCCGTGGAACGTCCGCACACCTCGCAAACATGCCGCTTTTCGTGTAGCTGCACTCCCACCGTGGTGTGTTCCCGTTCTCATCCCTACTAAATTGAGCTCATTGGAACAATTTTTTGCAGGATCAGCGAAGGGCTGCACGCGAAAGAGGATGAGGAACGCCAGCCCTGATACGAGACGCCACAGAGCCAGGTTCTCACCTGGGACAAGCGTTTTGCGAAGTTTGTGAGTAAGGAGCTCGAGGGTGATTCGAGATAAAAACCAGGACAACGCAAGCTACCAAACGGAATTGGCGGTGTTGCGGAAGATGCTGAGCAAGAACTATCTGGAGCAACGACGGGGCGCCGAAGGTCTGACATAAATGACAGCGTAAGTTTCAATGTGAATAGCGTTTTAGGGGGGACTACTACTCCGCATCCTCACAGTGAAAGACCAGATATCAGACCATCTTACCACCTGTGACCTTTAACAGGCTGGTCCACAATTTGTGCTACTCACCGGCGTATCATGACGTCGAAATCATGCCGTACGGGTCTTTTGCGGGTGCACTTACAGATGGGTATTACCTCTGCATGAGTTGCAGAGGAAGGACAAGCACCTCTTACTTCAGGAGCATAAGCTGGTGTCAACTTAAATAAATGCAATAAAGGGTCTACGCCCTTCAGGCCCCACTGTTTGGGTAGCTCAGTTGGTTAGAGCGCAGGTCTCATATGTGATCCCGTAACAGGGAATAAGCCTGTACGTTCCGCAGCCTGAGGTCGTGAGTTCGAAACTCACCCCGAGCACGTTTTAGCGTTTTTGACTTGCTCTTTTTCTGTACCAATAATGGGAAGCTAGCAGAACAGGCATGTTTACAATTAGAGAAGAAATGCAAAGTGGCTATATTCGCGCGACGCGCAGGGTTGCGTGGCACTGACTGTCGGATGTCGGACAAGCGATCTTGCGATATATATCGAGCATGACATTATGAAAGTGTATAATACAACCGCGTGCAACGACGATAGATGCAGAGTACACGGGTATCCAGGACGTCGAGCAAGACAGAGTAAAGTCAATGCCCCGTGCAGGCCCTCCGAAACCAACACAGTAGTGCACTAAATCAGCATGCGCACCCCCCTTCGGATTCGGCACTCTGAGCCTGGTTGAGGTCAATGCCCCCACCGGGCATGCTGTTCTCTGCCACGCCCCCACCGCCGAGCCCAGGGCGGCCCTTCTGGGTGACAGACGCCCACAACTCTGGTGTGTCGAGGATCTTCTCGACGACTTCTATAAAGGCCTCGCGCACGCCGACAGCTGTCTTGGCGGACGCCTCGATGAAGAGCGAGTTCATGCGCTGCGCGTAGTGCTGGCCTTCGGTGTATGTCACTTGTCGGGAGAATTCCTGCGGAAATGGTTTGACGAAGGGACGGTATGCGTCAGAGGAGTTAGTGCGTGGGACTGGAGGCTTGCGTACCTTGTCGACCTTGTTCCCGACTATGATCTTCACGACAGCGGGCGATACGTAGGTCTCCAGCTCGGAGTACCATCGTGGTAGCGCGTCGAAGGACTCCCTGTTCGCGACGTCGTAGACTAGAATGATGCCCTGCGCTCCACGGTAGTACGACGACGTGATCGTGCGGAACCGTTCCTGCCCTGCGGTATCCTGCCGGAGTAGCGACACAAGCAGTGTCAACACCCCACCTAGACAAAATGGGATAGCTTAGACCTTACCCATATGCTCAGCTTCACCTTCTTCCCCTTGATCTCCATCTTATGTACCTGGACGAGCAGTTCAGATAAGCGTCTTATACACGGAGGCTCAACCGCGTCCTGAAGCCACATCACACTCACCCGAAAGTCCACACCAATAGTGGCGCTGGCCTCGTCCTCTGGGAGCCATTGTTCGTCCGAGAATCGCAGCAGCAGACTGCTCTTCCCCACAGACGAGTTCCCGATCAGCAAGAGCTTCACATTCACTGGCGGCGCGGCGGGTTTGTCATGGGACATAGTGGGCGGTAGTGAAGAAGAATAAAATTACAGTACTAGCGCCTGCTGGAGTGGGTGGGCGGGCGGTGTGAAGAGAACGATATCTGAGAGTTGTGCGGCATGCGAGTCGTCCATAAATGCGTGCTATACTGACATCACTTGTGTACGTAACTTGCAACTACTAGACAATATTCTGTCTGGGTCATCGACGAAGGCTCGGCACACAAATTCCACGTATTAGTCTATAATGTGAACAGATACTGTAGTAGTACATGAACTAGATACGTGTCTACAGAGATACAACCACCGTCCGGGGATAGAGGCATGTGGAGTCATTAGGATGGGGAAGCAAGATATGGCGTCGCGCTAGATCAGATATAACGACGGTGGAAACTCTCACTCTGGCTTCTTGTCGACACACTTCGCCGGCAGCGCGTAATCGTTGGTGCGCACACCTCCGCCCCACGGCGTGCGCCCGTCGACGCGGGCGTTCGGGCCCAGGCCTCGCGAGGCGAAACCGGCGTAGAGGTCACAATAGTTCTCGCCGCCGGTAAGTACCTCGTCCGCATCGAGAATCGCGTCGCGCGCGTCGAGGAACGACGGGCGGCACGGCTGCATCTTCATCCCGTTCAGGATGAGCTGCACGATGAGCGAGTTCCCGTGCTTCGGCACCAACGGTTTGCGGTCGCCCGTGGCGGTGAACTCCGCGGGGCGGTAGAAATCGCCCTCAGGTACCGTGCCGTTCTCCTGCGGCATAGGAGGGAAGAGCGTGTCGATGAAGCCGTACTTCGAGATCAGTCGCTGCGACACCACCCAGAGGATCTCCGCATGGACCTCGCCGATTGCATGCACACCCCAGTAACCAGGCTTGTCTAGTGTCTGGTATGTTGATGGGTTGATGGTATCGTTCTAAGAAGATGTCAGTACGAGTGGCACGCGCAATCGTGCGCAACAGACGTACCAGAGAGTAGGGGAAGTTCCTGATGCCTTTCTCCCGGTTTGCAGCCCAAGAGCCCATCGCGTAGTCCGAGTAGTTTCTAGTGCTCCGGATCGTTGTAGCCAAGAAGTCTGCGCAAGTCAGTATCGAACTGTGACGCGACGAATGGTGATACTCGCCTCCCCAGCCCTCACCCATTCCACCGGACTCACCCCAGCCGAGACAGCCAGAGTTCGCGGGCCCACCCGTCAGACGCGTGCTCAATCCATGGCTCAGCTCGTGGATCACGATGCCCGCCTCGAGGTCGCCATCACGGTAAGGATTCGCAGTATTCCACAAGTACATCCTGCAGCGCCCGTTCTGACCGTCAGGTGGTGTCATGAAGTTGGCTGAAGGTGCGAACGGTCAGTACAAGGTAAGCAACAGACCACGACGGTACTGACCATTGTTATACCCGCTGCCGTCCTGCGCGTTGGCGATGACAGCATCGCTCTCCTCACCGCCACGGCCAAAATTGTGCTGCTGGAAGTTACCCGACACCTCGTCGAAGCCATAACGGTAGTAGAGATCGTGAACTAAGTTGGAAGTGTAGAAAAGCTGCGTGACCGAGGCGTTGATGTACTTCCTCGCCTCGTCGAGCGAGTCCGTGGAGTCCGTCTTCTTAGGAGCGTACGTGTGATTGAAGACCAAGTCCACGCCAGCATCCGGGCGATAGTTGGTCAGCCAGCTGTTGCGCCCTTCCCAGTTCTCATGGGCGAAGACCTACAAATGATGTCAGCCGCGCTGGAATTCATACGATCAGTTTACCCACGTTGTTGCCCCACGTTGTCGTGGTGTTCCGGAACTTCCGGCGATCCTCTGGTTTGAAGCCAACTGAAACAGGGTCCACGTAATAAGGCAATGAATGCCATCCAACGGGACTGGCAAGTGAGTCGAAGTTCTCCTTCTGAATGGAACGGTTGCCAACCGAGGGGTCGTTGATGCCCCACGCAAAGACGTTATAGACACCAGTCGTGCGCTCAGCGGGTTCCTTTGGGAGCGGCGCGACTGGCAAGGGCGAGTCTGATGCCCAGTCGACAACAGATATGATACGGTGTGGAGCTGTAGCAGAGACAGCAGCCTCGTACCAGTTGTCCTCCATCTCAACCTCGAACTGCAATTTGTCAACTCAGATGTACCAGAGTAGCCATCAGATCGCTAACCTTCCAAACGAGCTCCAGAGAAGTGGAGTCACCGTCGGGAACCTGGACAAACACAGCCTTCGCCTTGACGGGGTTGACCGTATCAGGGACGTTGCTGATGAGAGCACTGAGGGTACCGTGACCACCGACGAAGTGTGACTCCCAGGTGGAGCTCATCTTCTCCAGATATGAGCTAGGGTTGGCAATCATATCCGCCGAAAGCTGCTGGCTAGGTGTAGCCGCGATCATGAACTGCAACAGTGCGCGAGAAGGGTTGCCGAAGTCTTGACCGGAGAAGGCGGTATGCTCAGACATGAAGTATGGCGTATCCACGTGCGCGCAATTCCATTCGTATAATTGAGGTAGTAAACCAAGGGTCTCCTTCTCTCCTTCGCGACCATTGAATGCGACCTGGTCATTCTGAGAGGCAAGCTGTTGATTGAAAGTTGCAATACGAGATTCGATCTCGTAGTCTAGGCTGGCGCAATACTCTGCATGTGGATCATACAAGCGATGCGCCAACAGCTCCATTCCTTGGCCGCGATAAAACTATCACGGGATATAAATCATACGCAGAGTCAACAAGGTGCGAGCGCTTACCGAATCGCCGTAGGACAGAACAATACCGTCCTTGATATTAATGTTCATGTCGCCATCGGCAACCTCGATACCTTGCGTGTACTGACGGACGTAGACATGCGTCACACCGGTCGCCTTGTCGGTGTAGGAATCCTTTCGAATAACGAACGAGCCGGAAGGTGACGAGCTTCGTGTAAGCTCCTGGACGAACCGCTGAGCGACCTCAAAGGGGTCATTGCTCGCAAGTAGCGAGCTGGTCGTTACCGGAGCACTGTTATAGACTGCATGAGGGTGCACAGGTCCGAAACCGAGCGTCTTACGACGACGAACTTGGTTGTCACTGTGTGATGAATGAGCGAAAGCGGATGCGAGACCCGCCGCAGCGAGCGAAGCGACAATCAAACCACGCATGCTGAGATGATAGATACCCAAGAACCCCCCGCTATACAACGAAGGAGGGGTGATGGTGGTTGAGGAGAGAGATGGCGCTGGCGTACGCTACTCTTATCTTGGGCACGCGACCCAGTTTGTCTGAAGATGCCTTTTTGGGAAGCCGCTTCACGTGATAAACAAGCGCCGTCAGGACCCCGTGCCAAAAACATACCTACGCATATTTCCATTAATTTACCTACCACCCTCATTCGTCGCCGAGACTAGATTGACTAGGGGTACGGTAAGTACGGATACTCATAACTTATCACCGGAGATTAGATGTTCCAATTTTGAGAGTTGGACTTAAAAGAGAATCGGCAGTCTCCCGGGTCCTCTCACGCAGCGCGCCAGAACGACACACTCCGCCAAACGTGTTTTCTGCTGATTTCTCCATGGGATCATTTCACCCCGCATCGTGTCCACCTACTTATTTCAAGGAGAGAGGAAAGCTCGCAGAACGTGTAATGTCCACCCTAAATTAATTTCCACGTCGTTGCCAGACCTATCACACGAGGGGCAGATTGTCTTGTCTTGTTTTCGCGTGCCAGTGCGTGTCGCGCCAATCTAGGGTCCTGGGGCGTTGAACTGCCCATCGCGCTGCTTATCGGACCAATTGCGTTCTTTCCAGCTTGCGAGCAATTGATGGAGTCCGAAGAAACGCGCCCACATGCACCGTTTGCGTCGCGCAGACGCCGTCGTGGCGCTCTCCAATCCTCGAATCCTGAGGAGTGCTGGTACTTGGATTACCTTGATCAAGTGCCTAATATTCTCACACCTTGCGGCTACAGAGGCAGATAGGCTGAGATAGCCCAGAGCACAGACCCTGCAGATGAAATCGCAATAACATATTACAGGACGAATGCCAGTCCTGGAAAGTAACTCCTGCTGAGAAGAGTCAGCCTTTGGTGTTGTCTGTAGGCCAGCCGTCGTTCTGGACCTTTATCCTGGTATGCATGCGGGTTCACACATGACTTAGTGCTCAGACAACAGCCGGGTCGCCAGTGGTGGTGGCGAGCCTCGCCATCATGAATATATCGATACTTCATTGCTACGCCGTGCAGGCGTAACTCTCGCCACTATGAACAGGGAAAACCCTGGCGCTAACTGGATCATCTGACTGTAATTTTAAAGCTGCAAATTGGAGAGGAACGCAAATATGCGCATGTGGAACTCACAGCTAACTTAGTTCAGCATGGGTTTTGCAAGGGCACTGGTGTCCACTTAAATCTGCCGTCCTAGTAGAGACTTCGGTAACTCCAAGATAAGCCTCAGTATTCTCATGGATACCGCAAATACGAAAATGTATGTTGCATACGAGTGAAGACTGCATGCTTCGTAAAGTAATTCCTGACTTGGCAGGTCGACTTCATTCGGACAATTCGACATGCTGCTTTGCGACTTGGCCACTGAAAATAAATTTCGAAGTGCTGTGCGCTGAATATTGAATGCTTGACTCTGGTTCCTACGCTCCCTCTCAAAACACATTACTGATGGCAATCTGACAATGCATAATTGGGTCAACACTGACATCTAGCTTTGAGAAATTGCCCGACACTTCGCCCAGAAATATGTCCTTGAGTCACAACAATACGGCTAGACAACTTCGATTCAGTACCTACAGAACTTGTGCGCACTTTTTGTAGCAACGCTCACCGACATTGTAGATCCCCTTATAAAGGATGATCGACAGGACGGGGTCAGTTCGGTGACCAGGCAATGTCGAAAGGCTCACCACTTTGACCGTAACATTCTAACAGCTCTAACGACGAAGTTAAGCAGGCTTCTTCACAAATCTGCCCACCCTACGCCAGAAAAGGTGCTCCTCAGGTTCACCTTCCTTCCCCCATACCTCTCCCGTATGCCATACGCCCATCTTGCGGATCCAAACATGGGTCGGCCTATCAAGACAGCATCCGCCAAACACTCTCTTCCACAAGGGTGTCCAGAGGCGCTGCCACCAGGCAACGTCGTCCCGCGGACTAAGCACGTGTTCGTAGAAAAGCAGCTGCCCCCCAGGCTTTAACACATTTTCGACGAGTGCGTTTATAGTTTGCTCTGGAGAGGGGACGGAGCACAGTGTGAGGATTGACACGAGCGTGTCCACAGAGTTCGGCCCCCCCAGAGCGGATATAATAGCACCAGTATCCTCGGCGCCATAAGAAAGTATGAGAAGTGTTCCGTCGGCTTCTGTGAATCCTGCAGCGGTAGCCGTCGTACGTATCTCGGCATGCATGTGCACATTGGGTTCAAGCGCAACGTATTTCGTGACTTTATTCCGGCTCAAATAGTTCACAGTGTGTCCATGTCCTGAAAGAATGTTCAATGAGGCAAGGCAGCATGGTGAAAAAAAAATAATCTTCTTACCCGCACCGATGTCCAGCACAACACCCTTCGCGTTAGCAGGTATAAGGCCTTGCTTCTCCGGGCGTCCGACTTCGTCGACACCGTTCCCGTAGGCGACCCAGACATGGGACATGAACACCCGCGAAATCTCCTGCGGGTGCAGTAACATCCATGGAGAATTTAGTACTGCTAAAATTGTCGGGAGCAGGGCATTCTGGATGATATATTTCAGGTCCCCCAGAAGCGCAAACGAAGTCGAGAACTGCATCCCAACGGCGACGTTGAGTCGGGAAGGTGGGAGAATGTCACTGCGGTGCCGGCTGCGGCACCGCTGCGGCTTCGGCGCTTGCGTCGCTGCGATTCTGCTGGGTCATCAGCTTCAGGTCATTGCTTCAGACCTCCCTCTCTCCTAAGTTACCTCTCTACTCCCTCTTAAGTCACAGCAATTTTGGTGACACGACGGCCACGACGAGCATTCGCCCTGCTTTCGGTGACCACGTTGACGGTTGTTCACTGGGACCGTTGTTAGTCGCTCTGCCGCAGGTGCTTGTTTTTTTTCTGCGTTCGCGGAATTTTGACAGAACTGCGGAAAAGGAGCATTCGCCAGTTGTTGGACGTTGTGGAGGTTCGTCGTAGCTTCTGGATCTGTTTTGTACAAGTACGTGGTCATACCTCTAACGTCCTGCAGCAACTGTATAATTCGGAAAGTCCAACAGTTTCAGAATTTATCATGAGCATACAAACATCAGTTACACGCTCACTCAACGGCGTGTGGTCCGCATTTCTCGCCGCAGTCGGACGGTTAGACAAGTCTCTTTCACCTAAGGATACCCTCAGACGTCTCCGCAAACACTCATTCACGTTATCGGACACCGTCTATGTGTTCCACATCCTTCTCGCCTCTTTCTGGCTCTACGTAATGCAGTCTCCCGGCTTCCCGCTGAAGCTCATGATACCCATACTCTACGCAGCAGCCCTGATCATACCCCTCACCTCGCAGTTCTTCGTACCCGCCACACCGGTATTCGCGTGGCTCCTCACGTACTACAGCTCTAGATTCATTCCTGCAAATTGGCGTCCGTCAATATCGGTTGTACTTCTTCCCACTCTGGAGTCTGTCCTATACGGAGCCAACATCTCCGACATCCTCACTCGGTTCACCCATCCCGTCCTGGACATTCTGGCATGGCTGCCGTACGGTGTCGCGCACTTCACTCTTCCGTTTGTGGTCGCCGCGTTTCTCTGGATGTTCCGGACCAAGGAGGTGTTGCATTTTTGGGCATGCGCGTTTGGCTACATGAACCTCATCGGAGTGCTCATCCAAATCCTCCTTCCGTGTGCCGCGCCGTGGTACGAGCTCATCTACGGCCTGACGCCTGCGAACTACTCCATGCCCGGCTCCCCCGGCGGCCTTGCGCGCATCGACAAATTGTTCCATTCGAACGGTTACACGGTCGCGTTCTCGAACGCGCCGGTCGTTTTTGGCGCGTTCCCGTCCCTGCATTCGGCGTGCGCGACCATCGAGGCGTTGTTCATCTCGCACTTTTTCCCCCATATGGCGAAATTTATCTGGTCGTATGCCGCAGTCCTGTATTGGGCGACGATGTACCTGACGCATCACTACCTCATCGACGTCGTCGGGGGGTCGTGTCTGGCGATTGCGTGTTTCTACTTCTTCCTGCCGGAAGAACTTAAGGGCGCAGCGGCGACCGCCGCCCCTGGCGGCCTTCAGAACGGGTACGCGAGCAGGCGGTCGAAGTACGAGATCTATGACCTGGAGGAACCGCATGGGCTCGGCCGTAATGGACGGAGCCCCAATGGGCACATCATGCGGGATGCAGCGGACTATGACATAGAGGAACTGTCGGACAGGGACTCGGAGGGCGAGGAGATGGATATCACGTATCGCTCGCCGGTGGTACCCGACGGACCGAATTCTGCGACGCCTCTAATGAAGCCAGGTGCCGCTGCAGGGTTCCAGCTACCGCCAAAGAAGAACCATCGACATACTGCGAGCATCGCGAGCTTGATCCGGGCGGAGGAAAGGGCAGAGGACGGCTGGAGCCCTATCGGCGGGTCGTTCGTGTTCCCCCAGCCGTCGGGACGCCCTGTGGACGATGCGAAAGGCTCGCGAGTTTAAGTTGTCGGGACGCTTTGATTTCGCGGGACTGGAACCTGCGGTGGAGGAGTGTGCATGCTCTTGCTCTGGGTTTGTCGGCCATAATTCACTGTATTTACGTATCCTCTATTCACCCCCCCTATATCGCGCTCCTTGTCCTTGCCGCATCCCACAAACATCCTACATACATTTCACGGAACTATTGCAAAGTGCTGGCTTGTCTGGTTTGCAGTGTCACTAGTTGTATCGCGTACCATACTATCGCTGATCTAACACGACGCACGTTGCACAACTGACGCTCTCTTTGACTTACGACCACCACCTTCGTCTCAATCGTTCACAGCGGCCACTGCTCTACATATCCCTGGATGCGCAAAACCGATTAGATTTGAATAGTCTCTCGAGCTTGAGTGTGGATTTATTGACCTTTCTGGCACGTCCATATGACCGCCACTGGTCTGCTGTCGAAATTGACAGTGGGGGCGGTCGGATTGCTCTGCAAAACATTTCTGAAAATTGGCTACTGCTCTTCTGTCACCGTCAACGGTATCGAGAATCTGCTCGCAGCGTTGCAGAGCGAGGAGAGGAACCAGGGTAGGGGAGTGGTGACAAGTGAGTGCGCCAGGCTGGAACTCAAACCAATTCTGAGCGACGTTGCACAGTCTCCAACCATATCTCCACGTATGCGGCGTTTTACTGCTGAGATTCGACGCTGCTCACTAGTAGATGAACAGGTTAGACGAGCCCGTCGTCTGGGGTATCCTTCCCGCACGATGTTACTTCAATTCGAGGATGACCCGATGGACTCTCGGGGCATCGGATATCATGTTCACGAACCCGTACGTCCGCCTCCTTATCGCTATTGACTAGCTTGTCTGCCCGCGTTCTGCTTCTGACGACCTTCTGCTAGGTAGTGCGTTCTCGTCCTTCTTCCGGAACGGTCAGGTACTTGAAACCTTCCGTGGAAGCGGGATATTCCAGCCTGCCGTCGATACCGCGGCCAAGAAGCTCAATGAGGGCGAGTGGGTGAGTTCTCATCGACAGTCCGTTCCGCCGGGTGCTAGAAAGTGCATAGGTCCACCTCTTCGGCGAAGGTAAAGTCAACCAGCCTGTCATTGATGGCTTGCCGCACCTCCTCAGATTTAAGTGGGGCGTGTAAGCGTTTTTCTTTTCTCTGTGAATAGTACGACTTCCTGACAGTGGGGCGGTCAGTGGTCGAATATTGATGGAGGCGGTCATACCTCCGGTAATCATTCCAATGTGGCTCGAAGGTTTGTCGCGTTACTCCTACCTTTGTTTATTGTGTACTCATTGTGCCGCGGCTGCGTACCAGGTTTCGACAAGCTAATGCCTGAAGGCCGTCCCTCCCCGCTCAAGTTTTTTCCACGACCGGGGGCGGATCTCAGCATCACATTCGGCAAGCCCATTGACGACGACGAGATTCGTACTGCACTGGGATCCCTTGTTCGCCACCATCAGACCCCTGTAGTCCCCAAGAGCTCCCACGGCGGGATGGCTGATCCTGGTCGGCCCCAAGAGGAGCAGAAGAGTGCTGAAGTCGCCTCGCATGCATGGCTGGGAGATGCTGCGTTCCGGACGGATCGCCAGAAAATCACTGAGGCAGCGTTGCAAATCGCGAGCGTTCGCAGTGCCATCACGACTCTCGTGCAACGCAATGTGGAGGCGTTGGGACAAGAGGTAATGGCGCGGCGTAAGTACTACTAAGTCGTCCTAACGTTAGTAGGTGAGGTTGCCGCCATGGAGGATTGGTCTTATCTGATTTATTCTTTGGGCAACTTCTCTAGCGGGTCTTGCATTATCTTTATTACTGCAGACAATCTAGCGGGACTTTTGCACCTGACTCATTCGCTTACCGACCTGTAAATCTGACGAAATTCGTGAGTGTATCTTGTCACGCCCAACGTTGCATCCGCCCACCTTCATTTCTGTCTCTATTTTCGACTTGATCGGCCTTCCTATATTGTGCCAGTGAGTTTTTATCTAGAACTCAAATAATGACGGCACGGCCCTTACTCCTTAGGGAGAATGAGCCTGTTCTGGGGCGGGATAATTTGGAGCCAACAGCTTGTCCTAGGTTCTGAAAGGAAAGAACGCACAGTGTCTTGTGAACAACCGTCGGACAAACCAGGAGTCTGTATCTTCGTAGTAAGGATCTCAACTTGTTCGCGAAGTGGTGAGTGGTTCGTTCTTCACTCGTGGTTCACACTAACGTTGGGATGGTTTCTTCCCATTTTCGCAGGAATGTGACGGTAATTATGGAGTGGGCCTTGACTTAGCCTCGTGGACGTGCCCGCTGCTGACTGTGTCTAGTGACTCGTCCATTATTGGTCGGAAAGAGGGTATACGAGACGAGGATGAAACACTCGACAGTTTATCGTTCTTTCATAGGCGAGCGAGCGAGGTTACCACTACTATATGCAGTATGGCCCGTACACTGCCCTTGACGCGTCACAATGCGGAAGCCGATGGTGGTGGCGTAGGGTCTCCCTACGCCCTGATTTTCAAGGTGGAGGGATGCAGTTGATGCACGTCTCGGACGATATGGAGGACGACAGTCGGGCCATTCTTCTACGTCAGGGTTGTCGACATCCTGTCTGAACCCTCGACACAGCGCTTCGAGCCAGGTGGCGTCGGCTTGGTGTCTTGCACGCGAATCATGCAATGCGCGATCCTATGGTGAAGATGTTCCTATACATGATGTGGACTCTGTCTATTCTGGCGCTTTGGATTACCGAATGGCTGACACCGACCAAGACCGAAATTCCCACTAGATCGCCGCTTCGGGGGAGTGAAGACATACGCGGTGACATGGTCTCTCCCATCACTCATCTCATTCCTGTACAATCCATCGCTTGATGTCGCAGGCTTCCTGTTCTACCACGGCGATCTCCACTCCCAGAATATCATGGTCACCCATACCCCCTCGAAGCTGTGCACCACTGGTATCATGGACTGAGAATTATCCTCTACCATTTATAGCATCCAGGTTCGCGACGTACCCTCTGTTCGATGGCGACCCACCCCCTTGTGTGCGCGCAATGCAGGGGATCAGGCGAGCTTTCACGAATTTATGTGCCAGGAGGAGACCAGACCAGACCTACAGGATGCCCACCCCTTCTCTCCTGCATTCGCCCACTTCTCGGGAGTATACCGGACGGACTATAAGGCAGGACAATCCGTACTCCCAATTTTATGTTCCAATATTGGAATACGTTTATAGCGCGAACGAGGGGTTCAAAGGCAACTGCTTCTTGCAGCTGACGAGCAAAGGCTTGCTGGAGGACGTCCGTCATCAACTCGAAGAGGAGTAGAAGGTGCAGACGGAGTCCTCGGTGACGGACTTGTCTCAGCAGGAGCGGATTCGAAGCATTGGTACTGGACCATGTAGATCAGTTCGCTGAGGATGGACTGGTACGGAATGGCTGTATACTGCAGAATAACCTGTTTGGCTCTGTAAGCTCGCGCTCCTCCACGTCTCTTGTATTGTCTCACAGGCTAAGTCACTGTCCCTAACTTCAGCCTGTATCTTGGGAGCTATATCGAGAGAATTGGGATGGAGTAGATAACGCGCCACTGAACGTCATTCTTCGCGACTGCTCTGGGTTTCAATCATGGACTTCGCGTACCGCTCCGCTGGACTAGACTGTCTTCACTCTGAATCTGACGTTCCGCAGCCACATGCTGGTCAGCTGAGTAAACCTTGCTGAATGAATGGCAGCAATCCAAGGGACGCTCATTGGCCCGCCCCTGTCAGGCTCCTATTGCACATTGCTTTTCCAGACGAATGCTGGATTATGTCCATCGGCCTCATTCCATCGCGTCCGCCTGCAATCTGAATACTGACGCTGTATCTGCTTAGTGTATCGCGATGAAGGAGGCCAGAATACAGCAAAGTAAGTGTCCATTGGCATTCTCTCTATCGTTGCTTTCACTGTATCAGGCTTTGCAATGGAAGGGGACTCAAGCTTCTCTACTGGAAGTGATGAATGGGTCGAGCTTTACCGTGCCATGTCGTCTTCCAGAGGCACGAGGGCAAGGATGGATGATCACTCCCCGCAACAGGGCGGACCTAAGTGGTCACGGATCGGCCTAAAGATCTGCGTGCAGGTGTTGCGCTGGGATAAGACATGCCGTCGATGCGGCGTGAAAGTGTGCTCCAGTGTCGCCGAGCGATTCCGCGGGAGGAGGCCCGCGCGCGATGAGGCCGAGCTGCGAGAGGAGCAAGATGCGCAGATGGCTTGGAAGATTAATGATGAGGAGTATGAGTGCACGGGGGACGGTATCGAGTGCGGATGTTGCTTTTCGCCTGTACCTTTCGTATGTTATAATCCGCAGCCCCTTCCCGTGTTACGTTACTGAGAGATTTTGAGCAGGAAAGGATGGCCCAGTGCACCGAGGGGCACCTCTTCTGCACCAACTGCATGACCTCGTATGCGTCACAGATGTTAGGTTCGCTTGATGCGAATATGGTCTGCATGGACCGATGCGGCTGCGACGCAGCATTCCCGGACTCAGAGTTCCGCAGGTTCCTCACTCCAGAAATGTACGTGCTCTATGCTCGTGTTAAGCAGCAACAGGATATAGAAGCGGCCGGATTGGAGAATCTCGAGGAATGTCCAAATTGTGACTTCAAAGCTGTGATCGAGGATACTCTCCATCGACGCGTGTTCTGGTGCTTAAATGAGGAGTGTGCTTCTGTAACCTGTCTGGATTGTAAGAAGCTTGTGAGTCGTAGCTATAGCCTGTCAAGCATATTGACGGCGTATTGACGTATGGACAGGACCATAGACCGAAGACCTGCATCGAAGGTAGGCATCCCTCCAATTTTGTCATCATCTTAATAGCTTAAACTACGTGTAGCAGCACAAGCTACGCAGACCAAGTTAGATGTGCGACATCATATCGAAGAAGCAATGTGTATGTTTGGCCGTACTTCCGCGCGTCGTGGACTCGTGAATCACACTCATCGACCACAGCTCAGGCGCTCATACGGACTTGTCCCAATTGTGGCAAAAGTAGGCAAATGCTTATTGTCACTTTGCAGCTTCTGAATGCTCACGCGCCTTGGCAGCGTTTGTGAAGCAGTCTGGGGTGAGTTTCCATCGACATTCAATCCAGACAGCCTCCTCACGGATCTATAGTGCAACAACATGAAATGCCCGAAGTGCTATACATATTCCTGTTATGTGTGTCGTCAACAGATCGACGGTTATGATCACTTCGACAAGCCTAGCGTAAGCGGTTCACGAATCCTTGCATCGTTTGATCCTGACCGGCGGATATTAGACATGTCCATTGTGGGAGGGAACAAAGGATAGACATACTGATGAGGTCCGTGACCGTCCTTCCTTGGCTTGTTACGCGTTTCTCACTGTCTTATCTCTGCACGTTGAAGGTGGCACTTGCAGCGAGGAATGCTGTTGAGGAATGCAAACGGAAACACCCAGGCTTGCGGGAAGATGATTTTCGTATTGTTACGCAATCGTAGACGGGACATATATTCTGTTGTTGCCGCCATGAATTCGCTCCGAATACAATCTATTTCTGGGATTTCTGACGATTTATCCGTGCTCCTTCACGATGTATGGACACGGTCTCGAATGATCACGAGAAGTGTGACCTTCGCGTCGCGTCCGGGTGTCACACTATTAGGGTGCAGTGCCGGGGTCCACCGGGCAGTTGCGTTCTCCCACCATCCCACCTCTTAATATTCAATCCCTACAATTCGCACAGAAATGAGCTCTCAGATGCCCTGGGATGTGCTCCGCGCAGAAACTGTGCGCTCGATATGCAGGGATATCGGTCTGCATGCCACTGGCAGACGAGAGGAGATGATAACTTACTTAAAGGAGGTAGAGCGAGATGGCTGTACGTATCATCTTCTCGCAAATATAGGGTCTACGATTGATTTCGATGCACAGTGGACACTGTCAAGAACAAGCTGGCAGAAATGCCCGCAAAACGCAAAAGTGTGGGGCAGGAATCTCGCGCGAAGCGTGCGAGGAAGGCCCAGCCAGCTGGTGCTGCAGTTGAGGAGGTGTCAGCGGGGAAGAGGCAGACCCGTTCTCGCAGGGCCCCTTCGAAAAGAGCAGCGAGTCACAGCAAGGGGATTTTTGAAGGGGTGGTACTCCCCGCTACGTCAAAGGGGCGAGCTCCTAGCAAGTCCACGCCCGACCCCGCAATGCAACCGGACGTGGAAGTGGGCGCTGCAGGAGAGAAAGCAGATGACGTCGACCCAGGCGAGGAACCCGCAGACGCGGAGAGCTCTTCCTGACTCCCATGTTCTGCTGTACCAGTACATTGTCAATTCAGCAAAAACTACTCCCGATTTTTTCTGACATGTTCATACCACGCCACTTGTTTTAATTGTCCTCGTCCTCGAGCCTTGTACATTGGTTTACGATACAAATACGCCTGTTGTCACTCCGGTTAATTTGTCAATGAATAGCCAACGTCGCCATTCACGCTCCCCTGCAACTTGACAAGCCGGTCGAGCATTGCCTTGCCCCTATCATTCAGCCCGTCGCGGAACTTGGCCTCCTTCATCCACTTCAGCCCGTGCTGCAGCACGTTTCGTGAGCGGGTAGCCCCACCACGTGTGTCGCCCATGCATGCGTGCAATGTCGCGCGGCGCTCCTGTGGGTCATACGATGCACAGTGTAAGATATTGCTATTGTAGAAAACTGTTTCGCCCGCTAGCAAAATGTCAGAGATTAACAAATGGAGAACAAGTGAAGTAGAGGGTGAAGCTTACGTTGTAAAATTACTCGGATCGCACCAGGCATATCCAGAGGATTAGCAGGAGCATCCAGCGTCGAGGAGAGTGCTCGCTGCTCTGGAGAGCGCGGTACTTTGTGCGAGCCAGGGACAACGTAGAGACATGAATCTTCGTATAGCGCGCTGTACGAGACCCACATGAGCGACCTAACGAGCATCGTACCGTAGATGAGCCATACGTATTCCACTGGACCTATTGTCGAAGTCCCAAGATAGATCAGGATCAGGCATCGGATAAACGCGAGACAACCTACACCATGGTGCCAGATACTCAAGGCTTTAATCTCCTCGTCATCCGAAGCGTTCTCGCGCACGTCATCACGATGCCAGCGCAGCGCGAACGCATACGACAGTGGGTTGATGAGTAGGTTGAATAGCTCTGGAAATGCTGGTCAGTCCATGGTGCTCCCCCACTTCATACGGCAAATCGGTAGTCGCTCACCCATCTGAAGCTCTTCCTCCTTGCACCCAAGGAGGTTCTGCGCGAAGCTAACCAAAGGATCGGAAGTGTACCATTGTGCGAACACAGGCTCTCCTGAGATATCCGGGCGACAATTAAGATCAGTATTCGAACACCTAACACGGCTCAACCGTTTCACCTACCTAGATCTGGATGCATCAGATGCTGTACACCCCATGAATCCGGATTGTCGTTATCGAACGGTGGGAACTGCCTGCCCACTGTGCGACGGTGGGTCCATTCCCCCGAGCGCGTCCGCGCGATGACCCGCTCGCAGGCATCCTCGAGAGCCTTGTGAGAGTCAGTGGGAATGAGGTTAGGGACGACGACAAATCCTTGATCGTCGAATATTTGTTTCCGTGTTGCATCCATGTTCCTCTGTAGGCTTGATCTTCAACAAGGATGAATTACAAGCGCAGTAAATTGGGTTCATGCGACTCACTAGCACAATGTCCTCATGATCGGCCTTGACAGGCCCATGCTATCTCAAATCTGGTGCCAGCTGCCCAAGCTTTCCGGGGGGAGACATGTGCTACACATGATATCTAAAGGAAGCCATCAATTCCAATTCTATCGAAACATCGATGCAGGATTATATCACTGTCTGCGTCGGGGAATGCAGCGAGACTATTTCTCAGAATCCACGTCTGGCGCTCATTCTGCAACCATGACCAAGAAAATAGCACCTTACGGGACTTGGACGTCACCCATCACAGCGGACGCGATCTTGAAGACAGTGAGTGGATCATCGTCCGAGCAATGACAGACAGTAATGACAGGCAACCGACGTCTCAACTGGATCGTAGCCACCTAAAGTTGAAGAAGTTATCGTCGATCCGGTAACCTCTACGATCTATCATATCGAAGCCAGGCCGTCCGAAAAGGGTCGGAATGTCCTAGTTGAGACGGAGAAGAGTCGCGATGTCGTCGGAAGGGAATGGGATGTAAGGACGAGAGTACACGAGGTGAGAGATTCAACGGCCTTTCTGGTGCGACTGTTTTAAAAGTTTCTGGACAGTATGGAGGTGCTCCTGCTATCGCGCACAATGGAATTATCTACTTCTCGAGTGTTAACGACAACAGGGTATATCAGGTACAAGACGGCAAAGAGCCCGAAGCTGTTACACCAGGTGAGATCGGTGGTCATTTCAAGTCGTCCTCGTTCTAATTTTCAATCGGTCTCCGCAGATAACTCGAACCATCGTTTTGCCAGGCTTGCCGTGCATCCCATACACACACACCTCCTGGTGTCTATCCTAGAAGATCACACGAAGCCCGCCCCGCTAGATGTAGTCACAACTCTCTGTGTCATCAACACCAAGACAAAGACTATCTCCCCACTGGTGTCCGGCGCAGATTTCTACTCGTCTCCGTGTTTCACCCCGGATGGCACTCACATTGCCTGGCACCAATGGTTCCATCCGGACATGCCATGGGAAGGCGCCGAGATCTACACCGCCAAGGTGGCTGCGGACGAGAATGGCATGAGCTTGAGCGAGGTCAAATATGTAGCAGGTAAGAAGAAAGAAACGAGTGTGGCATACCCTTTCTGGGTGTCAAACGATCTCTTGCTTTTCATCAACGACGTCTCTGGTTACCAGAACCCGTGGAAATATTCTGTGTCATCTGGCAAGGCCTCTCCTGCGCTTTACACGCCAGTGCAAGAGGATTTCAGCCAACAATCGTGGCAGCTGAGGCACGAGGCTGGTGCCGCCTTGGACAAAGAAGGGTCCAGAGTCTTGTTCCTGGCGACGAGGGACGGCCGCACCGTAGTCTACGTCCTCACCCTGCAGAGCGGCGCGCTGGAAGAGATCGCGTGCCCGTACATTTCCGGGTTAGTGGTCAGGCATGTTGCCCGAGACACGGTCGTTTTCATCGGCGAGAAGACTACAGAGCCCCAGAGCATCGTGCTGTGCTCGCTCAAGGACTACTCCATGCCGCACTTCACCATCCTCCGACCCCCATCGGTCGGTCCGAGCTTCCCGGCGTCCTATATCTCCGTCGCCCAGCCTATGACGTTGCGCGTTTCACCCGACGACAGACCTATACATGTGTTGTACTACCCGCCTACGCATCCCGAGTACATCGCTCCCGAAGGGGAGAAGCCGCCGTGTGTGGTCAATGCCCATGGCGGTCCTACCGGTATGGCCACGCAAAGTCTAGACTGGCTAGTACAGTTCTTCACGAGCCGTGGTTGGGCTTGGTCTGTGCACACACCTGTCTCTATCGACCATGCTTACTGATCCTGAGCATGGCAGGCTGGACGTCAACTATGGCGGAAGCTCCGGGTATGGCCGCGAATACGTGTGAGAATCTCGCTATTCCCAGCTTTAAAAAAGCAATTCATGGCCCGACTTGCAGTGAGCGCCTCAAAGGTAACTGGGGCGTGGTCGACGTGGAAGACTGCGTCGCGGCGACACAGCAACTCGCCAAGCCTCCTCTCTCACTGATTGATTCGCAACGCACTGCCATCAGAGGCGGTTCTGCGGGAGGTTTGACGGTGCTCAATTCATTATGCTACCATCCCACTGCGTTTGCTGCGGGCACATCGCTCTATGGCGTAGCAGACCTGAAGAGTCTCGCTGAAGATACGCATAAATACGAGTCGCACTATCTGTTCAGACTGATTGGCGGTACTGTGGAGCAGGTACCGCAGGTCTACCAGGAGCGGTCCCCGGTGAACAACGCTGAGAAGATCAAGACACCTTTACTTGTGTGTATCGCTCCGCTACGCATCTCTCAGTTGTGGCTCAGAATACGATTTTCTCCAGGTACTTCAGGGCTCGAACGATGCCGTGGTTCCCCCTAATCAGGCGGAGAACATCGTGAACACTATCAAGCGTGGCGGAGGCCGCGTCGAGTACGTCGTTTATGAAGGCGAGGGTCATGGATGGAGAAGAGCCGATACCATTAAGGCTGCTCTGGAGAAGGAACTCTCTTTCTACGAGGGCATGTTCGGGCTGACTGGGAAGAAGTCTTGACTTTAAACTAGTCGTGGGAGATCCGGAACAGTCGATGATTCGGCCAGCGATTATGCCTTCTCCGCAGAAGAAAATGAAAATATAATACTAGCATTGTCCAGAGAACAGTGATCCCTGTCTCTCCATTTTCCTAGTCTAGGTTCTGACGCGCCTCCTTGTCGAGAGGTCGGACAATTTAGACGGAGTTGTAATTTTACTAGTGGTTAATAACGCTGAGTCGCAAAGTTTTGTGATCTCACGTGATGTACCGATTCCCACAAATCTGCTGAAGACTTTCTGCGGTTATTCTTCACTGCAATTTCCCCATTTGGCATGTACGGTGGTGTGTGGTAGTGCACAGGTGATAGCAAGATCGTACCTGCTAGAGTTGATGATGCAGAAGGTGTAGAGATTTCCGTGTAGGAGACTAATCACAACAAATCTCAGGCTGCTCGGACTACCATAAAGCATACGACATAGCTGCGAACACAGAAAAAGTGTTGACTTGTCTCTATGCACCTCGGGGTGACATACCGTGGCAAAGCAGGTGAACGGGGACATTGAAAGTACAGAAACACGACGCGCTCGACGCGATTTACAGACGCGTTGTGGGAGCACATGACGTGCCGGATCGGCAATCACAACCCGCAATGGACCTCTTAGTAAGACCCCCCTAGTCTCGGAACCAGACGTTCGGTGGTAGCAGGGCATCACGTGAAACTGACAGCGGAGAGCGAAAAAGAGATGCACAGCTACCACCTAGAACGTCTGGTGAAATTCGTATAGGCGGGGGGGGGATTGTCACACTTCGTGACCAGCGCGTCAGGGCGACGTGTCCTACGGGCGATGTGTAGTAGTACGCGTCTTCTGTGTAGTGTCTGTAGCAATCACGATACATCTTCCCCTCATACATATTCTGCTTCTATGTCCTTGAAGTTGCGTGTGCGAATCTTGTGCGGTGGATCACTCGGCTCTCGTTGGCGCCCAGGTGTATTGTCAGTGTCTTCGTCTTCGTCATCAGATGAGTCCGCACTATGCTCATCCCAGTCCGGGTCGTCAAGTTCTTCATCATCCTGCACGGGATCTCCAGCATTAAGCTCTGATAATAGGGTATAGAGGTTTTCAGAACTCATAGGACTCTGGTGTAGCAAGTCCGGGTATCATGCAGAAGGTCCGGGTATATTGTGTACTACGACATGGTACCTGCTACCTACATCTCTAGACGCGACGCGCGACACGCCTGACGTGCAGAAAGACGCGTCAAGATCACGTGAATGTGACAATCCCCCCCCCCCCCCCCCTATACGAATTTCACCAGACGTTCTGTCTGCGGGCTGTGCAGGTGTTTTTCGCTCTCCGATTGGGGGCCCGCACTGACAGAACGGCTGGTTCCGAGACTAAGACCCCCCCTATAGATACTATGCCAGACCGCTCAGTCGGCTTACCTCCCTACTCGGCGCACCATATATAGGCAAGAAATATGCGTTACGCGAGACCAGGCGCCCACATCCAAGCCCAACGGTGCTCTCTGATTGGTGGAAACCCTGAAAGTGCCGATTAGGGGGGTGCGCCGACTGAGCGGTCTGGCATAGTAGCAGACGTCAGACACGGATATCCGAGGCACGAAGGTTGAAGCAGAGTGGCTACAACTGCCTTTGGGAGACTACATTTTCCAAGCTCTGCCGAATTTCAGTCGTGCAGCGGAACGTGGACGTAAATGCGCTGAGCGACAATTCAAGCGCCGAAACAGGCTTCCGCTACTAACTGCTACTAATTAGTCTCGTAACCAGACGTTCACGTGAGCAACCTGGCGGTTACCAAATTGGGCGTTTAAGATGTTGGGTCGCTCCCGAGAACGTCTGGTGAAAATTGTATAGAGGGGGGGGGGTATGTCACACGGGCGTGACCTCAGCCAAAAAAACATCCGAACCCGAGCGTGGCACACTCGCGGGTCACAATGCCTCGAATATGGTCCAAGGTACACATATGGCAGCATACATGAACAAAATTTTCCAGCGGAGGTCAGGAGATGCACAGGTACATGCGGGATGACAAGCGTGACACGAGTTGTGCAGGAGCTACAGTGGGGAGAGCGTTACATACCCCCCCCCCCCTCTATACAATTTTCACCAGACGTTCTGACAACCCTTCCACCTCAATTCCCAAAAAGGGTCGAAGGTCAGAACGGCTGGTTCCGAGACTAGCTACTAATGGGTTCGGCAACTTCGGAGTTTCAGTGAAGACTTTTGTCCTAAAAAGTCTTCCCCACCCGGAAACTTTGTTTTGCAGATATCGTCAGTGTCTTTACGGTAGGTGACGTGTGCTGACAACTTCAACGTTCTGAAGAGTTAATCAGAGGTTGTTGCTCGGATCCAGACACTGGAAGCGTTTTTACCCAAAAAGCATGCAATGCATCTGTTGTGAGTTGCCGTTGCTTCACGTTTGAGCTTTGGACTCAGCTGGGAATTGCTTCTTACTTAACGCCAGAGAAGTCTGTGCCGCGCGCATCATCGATAGACTCATAGTGACTGCCCCGAACAGCACCGCAGCAAGATCGCAGCTGCATCCCACGCCGGTCCCTCTGACTCAGAACCAGTGCGTGCCGCCATTCGGAACTCCGACCATCACTCAAAACACGTAGTTTAGGGAACGAAGTTTCGGCTCACCGTTCACCTTCTTTCGTGCAAAACACCTCACCCACCCGGACAGAGAGCTGCAAGGCTAGGTTTGACGCGTTGCATTACCCCAAGCGCTCTGTGGCTGAAACGGGCATCTGAGAGGCTGAAAAACCATCAATAGACGGCTCGGCGCTATGGATGACGTTCGCTCTCTTCCTACCAGTTCCACGTCCTCCCAGGAGGAGCCGTCCAACAGCTGTCTCTTTGCACTCGTAACAAAAAACTTGATGATGTGCCAGGACAGTCTTTCCCTTGATCAATTTCTTTCCCCCAGACCTGCATGTTCTGCGCCGCAGCAAATACAGGATGTTGCAGCAACAGCGAGATCCCCCGTAGACGAAGATCCTTTCGTAGACAATTTGCCAAACAGTTCGGAAGCCACACAGTCAAACGACGCGGTTGAACTTCCTGAGTCGATGCCGGCATCCAAGAAGGACCCAGTGACATCACCGGATAATACCTCCATCCTTTCTCCGAAGGAAGAAGTCGCAGACGATCCGATACAGGAGATTGAGCGGTGCTGTTTGACTTGGAGAGCTGGAAAAGTCAAGCCTTACTGGTTAGTTATAGACGAACCCAAGTTCGGACAATGTGCGTTCCAAACCACAAGACTTTTCGGACTTTTCTCTGAATGGTCTATCTTAGTACAAGGGTGTGCTCTGCGCATCCAGCTCAATCAGCGAGTCTTAAAAGTATACTCCGTTGATACCATCTACCCGACTCCAGACGATGCTCGGAAGGCATGTGCGCTGGCCGCACTTGCAGACGGTGTCTTGGACTTCATCCAGCACGGTGACGGACGGACTGAAACCGTTCCCATATCAGACGAGCCATCGAATGAAGTCAGCCCGTCCGATGCTTTTGAAAACACGACCTTGACCGTGCAAGCCTTCTACGAAACTTTGCCGAAACCGTTCCCGGAGCACATGGACGGCAAAACCGCTCAAGAGATTAACGCTTCTTCCTGGCTGAACATGATGATCCAGTCGGCGAGAGGCAGTATGCTTAATGCAAAGTTTATCTGGACCATGGGCCCCAAGCTCGGACGTGCGTACGAGAAAATTTCTTGGCATATCATTGGACTGACCTCGTGGGCAGTCCACGGCTGTCTTCTTCGCCTTGAACGACCGATGGAATGTAGATCCTACTTGGTAGATGCCAAGTTTACTAAGCGTACAGAAGCCAAGGCAGCGGTATGCCTTCAGGCTATGTGGCAAGGCATTGGCGACTACATACGCAGGGCTGCGGGGGAAGTAAAAAACAAGATTCCGGTGGAGACGAGAAGACTTGTAACAGACATTATTTATCCAACCATTTTGTCGGAATATCGGAAGGTCCTGCCTGGCAGCAGCCCTTCATTCGAGTGGATCTCCGATAAGGATGGTAGGTACTTCTTTAATCCGCGCAATAATTTGCGTTGCTGACTTAATGGATCACAGCCTGTGGATGTATCTTGATTGTTCAGCTCTCGCCTTCTCCTTCTCCCGAACAGGTCCGGAGGTACTCAGTACCGGTGGAGTACCGCAACAGAAATGACGCGAAGACTGCCGTCATGTTTTTGGCCGCACAACAAGGTGTCATAGATTTTATCAGATTTCGCGGGCAGCCACCTCCCCCAGATTATGTTCCGTTTGATCCCTACTTTGTCAGCCCTACGAACACCGCAGGTCGGAAGCGGAAGTCAATATTGGAGCAGAGCTTCATGCAATTAGGGGACGGAGGCATGAATTCGAGCCGCAAGAGGTTCAAATTGAGCGGTGGTTTTCAAGGTAACTTCTGGGCAACGAATCCTCAAGGGATAGCTCCTTATAATTCCATGTGGAACAACCCTGGTAGCTTATACCAGACTGGTTCTTGGTTTTCTCCACGCACCCCCGGTCCAGCTGAACTTGGCAGTGTTGCTGGATCTGCCTATATGGGTCCTCCAGCAGGTCATCTTCAGCCGGCGCTGGCCGTCGGGATACCTACGATGTATAGTTTCCCTCAAGCCCTACTTCACTTTGACTCCGGCTCGAGCGGTGGTGTGTACTTCGGTCACGAAGCCCCCGTCAACGGCGGGGATAGAGCAGTGTACTACGCGTCTGGTGCGCCTCAGCCTCCACCGTCCGCGGTGCCTCCGGCAGAACCGTACCATATTCCATCTTCTTCTGTCCGCGGCTATGGGACTACTCCAGCCAGTGGACTTAATTATCCGCCATATCACTCGCCCCCCTCTGTCGCTGGCACTTATATTTCACAGTTTCAGCAACCGTATCAGATGGAGCCTGTTGTTACTCCCAGTTATCCTTTCTATCCTGGGCATACTGTAGCGCAGGGATTCGTTCCTTATCATGCGCCTCTCGCTCAAGGAACGACTATTCCTATTTCTGTCTCCCCTGCATCCAGTATCTCGAGTGCCGCATGCCCTCCTTTAATGGCATCTACACTGACTCTCAACTCCGTCCAACCTGTACAGACGGACGCTGCCACCAATCCCACCGCTACGGTCATCCCATCCTCTCCAATTTCTGCGAGTGTCAGCGTTTCTACAGCTGACAAAGACAACGGTCGGCAGGCCGTCAAGACTGCGACATCACCGTCCACGTTAGTTCAGTCGACCACTGCCGGGACATCTACCTTGGTTGAGCAGAAGAGTGTAGCCGATCGTTCTGGGAACGACGCTAAGTCTCAAAAGTTTCAGTCGGCCTTCGACAGGAACTGCTAAAATCACTATCACCGTAGAATCTGCACCAAAGACCTACTTGACGGCTTTGTATGGTACGTGCATGCGATCGTGACGCTCAAAGCAAGTGCGACTGAAGCTCTTACATGTTCTTATCTCGTAGACTATTGCCGACAGGATGACCCGCCGACTCCGCAATTTTACCACGAGATTGTTACGGGCTCAGGCGACGCAAAGCACAAAGTATGCGTGGTTATCGGCAAACAGAAGACTGAGTCACCTACCGGTCACGTTTTCGAGTCTCATCCAGGGACAAGAGTACTAGTGCGTTGCAGAAAAGGTTCTCGACCAGCTGCGCTCGCATTCCGCCTGGTCAACGGCCGAGCCATAGCCACGTGCTTCCGCCCGCGCCGTCGCCGTCGACGGCGAGGTGGATACCCCACGTCCCTCGATGCATTTTATCATAATGAGCACTATCTACAAATATGAATATTGAATCTTGGTGCGCTTACGTAGAGGGACTAAATTGTACTCACGAGTTACTTACTTCCGACATCTTGTCCGACATACCGCCGCACTGTAGTATTTACCATTGTAGCGCACATCTGTACAAGATCTCTTGATCAATAATTGTAGGCGTCGACCGTGCTCATCCAGATCCCGGTCAATTTTTATTGCAGTCTCTGCCGAATATTGTATATAGACACGATGTTATTTTTACTTTGCCCAGATTGCCCCGCACGATCTGTATATCGATCTAAAACTGGTGCCTCCTCGGCAAACAAGCAACGTCGGCGCTCCTCACGGTATCTCAGCGCTCCTCACTCCCTCTCCCTGGTTCCCGTAGATGACAGTTCCGTTTCTGCAGTGCATGACACCCGACAACCTAGCATCGAGCCTAGTAAACTCCTGGACCGTCAATCTGAAGTCGCGAAGATGAGGGCGGATGGCGTGATCGTGGGCCCGCGGCAATAAAAAGGCTACTGCCGCACACCCGATGCCCCTTACAGCTTCTGCGGCTGACTCTTATCTCCCATGGCATCTCAGTTCTACAAGTCTGTCAACTGTATTTTCCCCGAATTTGGAGCTGATGTCTAAAACGCGACAGGGAGCCCGAATTTGAGACTCTACAGCTTCATGCGGGTCAAGAGCCTGACCCGACGACGAATGCGCGGGCCCCTCCTATTTATGCCACCACTAGTTTCGTGTTCAATAACTCCCAGGTAAGATGGCCACTCTACACGTCTTTTGGTAAACGAAAATCATGAACAACGGTATTTCCCCGCAGCACGGTGCGGATTTGTTCGGGCTGAGGTCAGTAGACCTCTAGTATCGAAGCCGATCTTTTCTGAAGAGGATGTCAGGGCCCTTGGGAACATATACTCCCGAATCGGAAACCCCACTCTAGTATGTTGGGAAACGAAACCTTTGTTTGTCCATAAATACAAATTTTGTGAGTGCAGGAAGTGTTCGAGAAGCGTATGGCCGCGCTCGAGGGCGGTGTAGCCGCGGTCGCCGCGTCAAGTGGTCAAGCCGCTCAGTTTATGGCAATAGCCACTATTGCTGGTGCAGGCGACAATATTGTCTCTACGTGAGGGTAACGACTTACGCAGAAATGTGATGGTGTACTGACTACCGGGCCATCACCTCATCACACCGCAGATCTTACCTGTATGGCGGAGTGAGTACTGGAACCTATGATCTTACTCTTGGCGAAATTGAAATTGTCTTTCCAAGACCTACAACCAGTTCAAAGGTACGAACTCTCACGGACTCTCGAAGGACCGAAGTTCATATTCCATATCGAGATCAGTCTTCCTCAAGAAGTTTAACATCGGTGTGAAGTTTGTTGAAGGCGACGCACCCGCGGACTTCGCTAAGGCTATCGATGAGCACACGAAAGCCATCTACGTTGAGAGTATTGGAAATCCGAAGTACAACGTAGCACCCTTACCCGAGCTTGCCGAGGTATGTTTCTTGATCTGATCGACTTTTCGTGGCATATATCGAATGCATGGTGAAGGTCGCACATGCGCACGGTATCCCCCTGGTCGTCGACAATACGTTTGGAATGGGGGGTACGTTTGTGAAACCATTGAGGTCTCTAAACGTAGTCAGAATGTGAATTGCAGGTTACCTCGTCCGACCGATTGAGCACGGTGCAGATATCGTCGGTATGTGTGTTGATCCACCTGTCGTTTTTCCCCTGCTGACATCGAAACAGTACACAGCGCCACAAAATGGATTGGTGGTCACGGTACCACGATCGCAGGGGTGGTCGTCGACTCTGGTTAATCTCCTCTTCATGCTGCGTTCTCGTATATTATCCAACCATTCTTGTCACATAGGAAAATTCGACTGGGCGCGTTCCGGCAAATTCCCCTCCTTCACGGAGCCCTCGGAGGGCTACCACGGCTTGAAGTTCACCGAGTCATTCGGACCCCTCGCGTTCGCGATCAAATGCCGAGTCGAGGTGCTGCGTGACCTCGGTTCGACGCTGAATCCGTTTGCCGCATTCCTCTTGCTGCAAGGCCTCGAGACTCTCAGTCTTCGTGGCCAGAGGCATTCGGAAAATGCCCTCCTCTTGGCAGAGTATGTCGTGACTTCCTCTTCCTGTGGATTGATGACAGACTTGCGCTGAACGCGATGCGGTATTTGATAGATGGCTTGAGCAGCACCCGAAAGTTGCTTGGGTCTCCTACCTCGGTCTCGAGTCTCATCCCTCTCACAAGATTGCGAAGCGCCTCCTGCGACCCAACACATACGGGGGTGTCCTGAGTTTCGGCGTGAAGGGTGACGCGAAGGTTGGCAGCACAGTCGTCGACAACCTCAAGCTAGCGAGTAACCTAGCCAACGTCGGTACGTGGTTGTTACACCACCGGAGAATAATCTTGCTGAACTGCTGTATGACGTGGATGTAGGTGATGCGAAGACCCTGGTCATTCACCCTGCTTCTACGACGCACCAGCAGCTCACCAACGAGGAGCAGCTCGCGTCGGGTGTCACTCCCGACCTTATTCGCGTACGTTTTTGTGAGTCTCGAATTTGTATCATACTGACGTGATTATATACAGGTGTCAGTTGGGATTGAGAACATCAGTGATATCATTGCCGACTTCTCCGAAGCATTGAAGCACGCACCTGCTCAGTAATACTCGCCGGTACGATGTGAGCATGGGACTCCGTACGGGTTGGTCGTAACGGAAGTAGAACCTAATTGCGTAGAACGTAACCTGCGTAGCACGAACACAGAAAACGGGAGTCTGTTAGAAACATCTTGCCTATCTCGAAAATCTCAGTTCCAGGGTAGAGAGGATGAAACATATCCGGACATGCATATCGGCTAACAGTAGTTGATACAGCACCGTAGAATAAATTTACGCTCACCCAAATGTCTACATGTCCGATGATGGCTCTGCCTCTCTCTCTTCTTCCTCCTCTTCCTCACCATGTTCCTCATCTTCGCCGTGTTCAGTTGCTTCTCCGCTAACATCCTCGGCCTCGTCCAGATCTTCCATGTCGGCATCAAGGTCTTCCTCCGACTCTTCACCCGCTTCCTCATCGGAGGCCTCGTTGGACTGACTTAGATTAGTCTCAGATCCAACGCTGGCGGAATCGTCGTCGTCATCATCATCGTCATCCTCGTCCTCGTCGGCCTGAGAGAAAAGAAATGAGCATATCTGGCACAAATATTGCAAGTAACGGTCCTGACGTCGTTCTTCTCCTCATGCTGGGTATGAGTGCGGCCAATAGGGACAATGAAGTTGAATCCGCGTTTTTTTATCGCATGTGTCTACAGACTGTCGTCAATTTCAGAACCGACGGCCGTTCGCGCGTCCAGTCTCACAAGGGTGCGTAGTTCCTCTTCCTCTTCGCTGAGTTCGTCCATTTCGCGCTGCAGATCACGGCGGCTGTTCAGCCGCCCTGTTCGATGTCCATATGGTGGTAGGGGGGTGGGGTGCGGCTGTGGTGGCTGTGGTAGCAAGTTCGGGAACAGCAGACTGCGAGGAAGCACAGTCGGTGTAGCCACAGACATGGTCGTTCAGGGCAAAGAGAAAACACGTGCACGTTAGACGCGGTTGTGGCGCCCACCTCCTTGACATCGACGACCTCACGATAGGTATTTCTCAGCTCAACTGACTTGCGTGCAAACTCGGCGGAAAGATCGAGAGTGATATGTAGAATGCTGCGGGCGAAAATTTTACACGACTAGTGCATCGCTACATGATCCGCCGATTTTTTACAGCAAGTGCAAAAGTATTCGGACAGAACGATCCCCGACCAGTACAGGACTTGCTCGTCTATGACAGCAGGTGCATCAAATAAGTGGAAATTCTCTGCCGTAGGTGGTGGGCACTGAGACATGAGGATCTACCGCACCACTGGGTGAGAAACCGTAGCATCTGAAAAACAGACTTCGAGATGGTAGGCCCAAATTGAGAAACGCCTGCCTCAGTCATTTCGACTGCATTCGTTCCCAATTTTGTAAATGGTAAGGTATTGCCAGATAGTGGTACTGCCAGAAGGGTGGATCAAGCCTGAGAAGCATCTGTTTCACCGTATTGATTCACTATGTCGGCAGCGGTCATTTGTTTTGGCATCGGTGACGTTGATAGGGTATTACGAGAAAGGAAGCGGTCAAAAAAATACACTTACTACAGAGTAGATATCGATGGATGTCATCAGCGAACCAGCTGGCACCTGTTATACTCCACTGCCAGCGGATAACCGAGGTCGGTAGCGTTTTGTGCTACATCGCGGAGGTGTATGTGCATGCTTACTATGCGTAAGATGATGGTAGTTTTGGCGCTGACATAGCAGATCGTCGATTTTTTGGATGTGTGTGTGTGGGGGGGAGTGGGCGGAGGGAGGGTCTGTAAGGTCTCTGACAACCGTAGGATGGGCGTAGATCCTCTTTGACAGACAGCGAATGCTTACTATTGTAGTTTGGCCTCATGTAAACGCAGACTGTGCATGGTACCGCTTTGGCGATTACCCTGGTTCCGTTCGAGCGCAAGAAGATGAATGTCGTGTCGTGAGACCCTTCCGCTTGTTCATCCTATCCACAGCCATCATGAATGATCATGTGAGTCGAGTTGCGTCGTGCTGCTTTGCGCGCTAATTGCCGGAGCCATACCCTCTTTATCGGATAGCTATCACTGAGAACGACAGGATTGTTTACGGTAGCGCCCTGCCGTCACATATACGTGAGCCATGATGTCAGTTCAAGCATGATTTTTCGCATCGACCCCACCGTAAAATCGATGAGAATATCGACTAACCAGTATATATGGTGATCGCAGCTCTGAGGTAGAGCCATCAGCACAATACGCATGCCCGCAGAGATCGTCTCTACTTGTGGCAGCGATCGTCGTACTCCAGACCAAACGAGAGTGCCCGTATTATCGTGATGACACGGAGGCCGTCGCGAACAGGCAGCATCATGGCATGACAGCATACGTCCGATATACTTCGCATCTGAATCCCAAGGAACGGAAGCGGCTCAACTGCCGCGCGATGGGCGCATGTCAGACCATGCACTGCACTTTACAGCCACGATGTCACTGCCATCTGCTGCGACTGGGTGAACTGGCCTGTGGTTCCATAGGGTTCTGCGGGTCGAAGATGCGGCACAAACACCGAGACTACACCACATGTGACACAATAAATCAGCTAGGCTGGCCGGATCGAGCGATTACTTCAACCACAGACACCGCCACACAGGTCTGGGGGAGACGATCAGGACATGTATATCAAATGGTAACGACAACGAGACGGCATCCGACAGACCTCATTCGATGTACGTCTTGCATTGAACATATCCAAGAGGCTATTGTGGTGCGTCCTGGTACGCATCTAAAGGGGATTGGTGTTTGGGCTTCTCTGTTTCCCGTACGCGCTGTTGCAATAAGCGGCCTGATATCTCGCAAAAGTGGACAGCATGGTAGTTGATGCGAATGGATCTGACGCGGAAGAACATAAAGCGGAAGGATATAAGAGGGAAGGTGGGGCAATTCAACGCACCGACACAACTCATCTTCACCCTTCCAACTGACACTGTAGACGACAGCTACTCTATTCCTACTTCTCAGGACATCCCTCCGACCTCTCCTCAGAAACATATGGCTTCAGAAGCGAGGGTGTGCGCGTTTCCGAGATGCAGGGAGAAAGCGATGGAGGGAAGCGAATACTGCATTAAACGTGAGTGCCCACCGAGAATGGTCGGTTGATGCTCCTACCAAGTAGTACCTTAGATAATCTGGACATCAGGGCGCGCATCATACGAAGTTTCGTCATGAGAGCACAGAGCTGGTGGGAATCTTCTGCACAATAGCTGGGGGTAAGTCTTGATCGTCGCTTTTCGCAGACAATAGCTCACTGGTCGTTAAAACGCAGTATGGCTGATCCCGACGATATCTTAAGCTCGCGATCTCGCATCGCTACTTCTTCTCGGATGTAATTTTCTGACGCTGCCGTAGCAGTTGCTCTCAACCTCGCTTTGCGTAATCAGCTATCAGCATTGGCACTAATTCACTCACATGTATCTGTCTTCTTGAACTATACGTCTCGTGTGTTGCTAGTAAATCTGTATGAATCGACGCTAGAAGAAGGACAATTCTGCTGAGAGACCCGCAAAGAGCGAGAAATCCGGAAATCCCGCTATAAAACTTGGTGGGTTCCTGTTCCTTCAGCCGGTTGACGGCTTCCGGTGCGTCGGCGGGTTCGGCGTCTCCGTGACCACACTGATGCGAGGAGGTGAGTGTTGCAATTGCCATGTCGCCATCCGCGGGTGACTCTCAGGTGCCACAGTGCCTGCCACCATGTCCTCAAAGCTCACAGGATGACAATACGACGACACCCGATTCTGCGTCTTCACCCTGGATGAATGGCCCACTGTGAGCTAATACCCGCTTCATAGATATGCATGCACGCGCTCATTGGGATGCAAAGGAGGTTCTTACCGCATGCACGAGACTCAGTGAAAGCCTTTCAAAGGTCGGTAGACGCGATTGGCCATACGCCTATACTCGTCATGAAAGCAGCACCAGTATCCGGTGGGCAGGACGGGAGAGAGCGTCACACGGCAGGCCAGTTGTCAGGGCTAGTTGAGAAATCCGATTCTCGTATAGGAAGAAGGGCGCTCATGGGGTTTCTTGCGTTTCTCAATAGATTATCCCTAGAGGAATGCCACAGAGAAGCCGTCCTCCGAGAATTTGTTCCACGGCGGGCGTTTTGCGATTAGTCTCTGAACATTGAGATATTGACGGATGTGTGGGAGCAAAATGGCAGCGCTATACAAAACTAAGTTACTCTCATAGCGAATAGCCCTTGTCTGATGTTCATGCGCTCAGGCTCGCGATCGAAAGTTCAAAATCAGCGCTCAGCGCTTACACGCTTCGTCTGCGGAGCACGTGATCTACGCATCGGGAAAAGTCAAATCTGCTTAAGTAACCTTCTTATTTAAGGAGAAATAAGACAATCCTTCTTCTTATGCTTCCTTATTTTCCATATAAAGGAAAATAAGGAGAAATCAGAGTGGAGATCACCTTATTTCTCCTTGAATAAGGCAATAAGGAGGTTAAGTGGACTTGAATTTCCCTGATGTGACCGCGAATGTGCCGGATCAAATGACAGTTCAGTTGAGGTTCATTTCTAGAAGATGAACCGATCGTGCCCGTCACAGGAGCGATTGACCACGCGTGCGTGTCATTGAACAGGTGCGAACGCACAAACCACCTAATTACCTCGACGAAACAAAATGGTGAGTAGGTTCACTTATTTCACCCATTGTTCTGACTAAGATTATACTATAGCCATCCGCCGTCAGTGCGGCAGCGGACCCAGTCCCAATCGAGACCTCCCATGAGGACATGATTGTACGTCGCCGCTGCAGAGACAGACTGTTGGACTCACCCATGGCTCCAGCATGACGCGCAGCTGGACTACTACGGAAAACGCCTAGCAACATGCTCGTCGGACCGCACTGTGCGCGTGTTCGACGTGGTAGATGGGGAGCAGAAGCCCGGGGCGGGCCAGGTGCTCAAAGGGTGCGTGGTAGAGACTTTGTTCACGAGTTCTGGCACCGATGTTGTCTTACTCGTTTATGTTAGGCACACCGGTCCCGTCTGGCAGGTCGCTTGGGCGCACCCCAAGTTTGGTCACATCCTCGCGTCTTGCTCGTATGATGGCAAGGTTATCATTTGGAAGGAACAGCAGGGCCCCGGCGCGAGCGGGTGGACGAAAATTAAGGAGCACACTTTACACAAAGCCTCAGGTATGTCCTCACGTGTATTTACGCGCAGTAGCGATTGAGGACGCCTGCAGTCAATTCCGTTTCCTGGGCGCCACACGAGCTCGGAGCCATCCTCGCCTGTGCCTCGTCGGATGGCACCATCTCTGTCTTGACATTCAAGAGTAGGTCTATCCTATGCCGTGCATCCCGGTATTCCTAATAGATGTCCTACTAGACGATGGCCAGTGGGGCGCCGACGTATTCGAGGGCCATGCCATTGGCTGCAACGCCGTCTCCTGGGCGCCCGCAGTGCAGCCCGGATCGCTCATTGCACCTCAACCAAGCACCATCCCGGGCCAGCAACCCGTACTCCCTCAGAGTGTCAAGCGCTTTGCTAGCGCGGGGTGCGACAACCTTGTCCGGATCTGGGGTTTCCAGGAAGAAACGCAGGCGTGGATGGAGGAAGAAGTTCTCGAGGGTCACACAGACTGGGTGCGCGACGTGGCGTGGGCGCCAAATATCGGGCTTCCCCGCAGCTATATTGCTACTGCCTCGCAGGTGGGTCTATTACAATCCCTTAAGGTGCTTCCTTCACCTTGGTATGCAGGACAAGACAGTGTTGATCTGGACGAAAGACACACCGACCTCGCCGTGGGTCAAGACCGCGCTGGATCCGTCGTCTGTTGTGTCGCCAATAGGTGGGGCAGGATCGGCACCTGCGGGCAAGTTCCCGGATGTGGTATGGCGCGTATCCTGGAGTCTCGCGGGAAACGTGCTCGCTGTAAGCTGTGGGGACGGCAAGGTCACGCTATGGAAAGAGAACCTGAAGGGCGTTTGGGAATGTGTGAGCGACATGACCAGTTAGGTGCAGTTTGTAGCGTTCGATTTGTGATTTATTTCTATTGGACTTCTCCCTTGAAGTGATGCACCCAGATCCAAACAGATCGCGTATTTGAATCACTCAACGTATGGGGAATGACTGGGCGCGAGCTGTCGATTTGTTCAAGTAATGGTTGGCATTTCAGGCTGTGTCTTGTGTGAGGGCGCTGAAACATACGGACGGTGTGTCTCAATCGCAGCTTTTGGTGATGATGTTGGCAAAGAAGACCCTGACAGATTCTCAGACTGACAGGCTCTTCCTTGGCGAGGGAAATGCGGCCACCACGAGGCAGCAAGATGGATCGCACGGTGGATAACTCCATCGTGTCAGCCTCGAACTTCTCACTTCGTGCTACCATCGCCGTGACCAAATATCGAAAATATCGAAAATTTCAGTACTCACCTACCATCGCAATGGATGTGGAAGATGGACGAATTTCTGCGGAGGAGGAACTGAAGAGAGAATGCCGTTACCGTCGTGCGTCTCCGCTCGGTGTATGCTTCTAACTCTAATCACCGCGCTTCATTCAGCAACGCGACCGCATCCGGCCCTGTATCTATCGCTCAGGTTATACGAATATCAAGAAGCTTGGGTAAAATATGTGGTTTGTGATCGCCAAACATCGAGACCCGGGACACCTTGCGAAGTCGCGGATCTCAGCGGCTCAATCCGCCTGAAACGACTGTTTGATTCTGTGAAGGGTCTCTATATCGTACGGCTCCCTGACCTTGTGCCGGTTTCGTCAACTGCCTAGATGGATTTTCTGATCATTCTGCTTTAGGGAGAGCTCGATTTGAGTGGCAGGAGCACCGCACAATATGCAGGCCCTCAAGGTTTTCATGAAGGACCTTACGTCTATCATGGTACATGTGGTCAAATATACCAAGTCAGAAGGTCGTTATCTCGATCACTGGGGAAGGCCTGTTATCGAAGACGATGTTAAGGTCTTACCGATGCATTTGGAAAGCTTGAACGAATTAAAGAAAGTGGAAACTCGGGCACTGTGCAAATGTCTATGCAACCCAGCTTGCCAGCGAGTACTGAATGTTGTATGATGCGCTTATCTGATCGTGTATGGTGCAGATGGATTTTTCTCGCAGTTCCTACCAGCACATCCAACCATTAATATTCCAAAAGATACTGCTTCTTGACCTCCCACCTGAACTACTGCACGCAGTCATGAGTGTAGCTAGCAGCCATGATGCTCGTCGTCTTGGGGCTACTTGCCGCGTGCTCTGCAAGATATCTATCTGGTATGTGTACGTATAAGGTCTCTTCTCATACCTTGGCGTGCAGCATCTTGGCTAATCTCTTCAAGACCCACCATCTCACACTCTGCAGCCCGAGTTACATCGCTGCCAACATTTGGCCGACTTCAGAGGAAAAAGAAGACAGAATCAATGCAAACATAACGCATTCTCAGCAACTATTCCAGGCTCAAGTCTCCTTCCTGCTTGCTCAAGAAGAGCACCTGCTGCAGACTTTCGTTGTTCGCACTTACGCGACACCTGCGAATTGGTACGTTTGTCCGTATATGACACGCTTCGCTCCAGCTAGGTGCCACGTTATACGAGCCCATATGGTGAGGGCTTGGGGTGTCTGTAGCGTGCGCGGAATATCTCGGGCCTTTTGCTTCACGGAGATCGCGATTACAGACGAAGCAATCTGCGCGATGGCGTCATTGCCCGCTTTACGAACTCTGGAGTTCAAGATGTGCTATTGCATACCCAGTTTCCTGCAGCCAGGGCTACTCGAGCCTGGAAGTGTACCCTTGTCAACTCAGTCGCAACCGCGTCGTTCTGGGTTACCGACTCCATGCCTAGCCTCTACACGTTGGAGCTGCTTTCATTCGTTCCTCACCTGCGCACATTTGAGCTGACATCTACTTCTCGTGATCCCTACATTTTCACGTCGCTGGACGGCGCTGGCGGTTTTTTTTTTTGCCTCAAATTTATTTGTCCGCGAGGGCGAAGCCCTATGGTAGACATCGTACTAACGTAGCTAACTAGTGGGTAGAGCTGGTGAGGGGGTCGAAGAGAACATGATGCCCGTGCATAGCTTGGGCTGGTGAGGCTGGGAAGGGGAGAGGAGTCAGTAGTAGTAGTGTGTAGTATGGTAGGTTTCGTAAAAAGGGGGAGAAGTAGTAGCACAGAAAAGAGTGAGAATGAGAGAAAGCTGCTTCCGGCGGCTGTCCTTGGCACCTGAGCGCAAGGGACCGGGATCTAAACCTGACGCCCTTCTGAGTGGTGAATGCACCCCCCGGTCTTTGCCTCTTGCTGCTGTCAGGGATCCGGCCAGTGGTCCCCCACTAGCCGTCAAAACTCCCCCGATCGCTAGGACTAGGAAGGGAAAAGTCAAGTATAGTAGTAAAAGGGGGCGGTGGTAGCTTGTAGGGAGGTATTGATCTGTGGCGCGACGTCAGTCGAGGATAGTGTAGAATACAAGTTACTTCTCTGGGAGTGTGTTAGAACGCTTATCGAAGGTGTCAAGAACTCCGAAAGTGTTGTGAAACCGACCCGTCGCATGAATGTAACGGAATAGAGGCTGAACGGCCTGCGGTCGCGTGAGCGCGCCGGCGGTTTAACCCCTCCTACACGCAGAACGTGTTATGATCAGGTCTTTATGTGCTGCGGAGTTACCTAGTCTGCTTTCTAACGCGCCTCCTTGTCGAGAGGTCGGACAATTTAGGCGGAGCCTAAAGTTTGGTAGTTCTTTCTAATGCGGAATCTTAAACCTTTGTGATACCACGTGATGCAGGTGGCGCTGTAAATCCGCCGAAATTCACGAAAGTCTTCCTGAAGATCCTCTCCACCCTGGTTTGGGCACATCGCAGGTGAGATGAGGTGCTACAATGGATGAGTGATGGAATGGTGAATTTTGCTTGGGCGCGGAGCACAGAGAATAGAGGGATTCCTACGAGATTCAAACATGTAATGCCCTCTTGGACCAGTACAAAGCAGATAAGACTGCAAAGTCTCCCAAATCAATCTCAATTAATATACCCGTTGGAAAGTATTGTATACACATGCGGCACAGGACAATGGGTGCTTCTTGCGCTCGAAACGCGACGCGTTCGGCGCGATTTACAGACGCGTTGTGACAGCACGTGATGTGCCGGTTCGGCAATCAAGACCTCCTAGTAAGAGCCCGTAATAGAAAGCAGACGTCAGACACGGATATCCGAGGTACGAGGTTGAAGCAGAGTGTCTACCATCTGCCCTCGGGAGACTAGAGTTACCCGCGCTGAGTGCAATGATCTGCGCAGCTGCCGAAGTAAGAGATGGCGGGATGCTGCGGCTGACGCACTTCAAGTTGAGCACCAGAAACATGATGTGGCGTGAAGGAGTACTTGGTGGACGTGTTGTCTGCTCCCCCCTTAGATGTGCTCTTCCTGGACGGTCTCCAATTTGTCGGTGCCGAGCTGTTCAACCGGCTCTCCACCTCACTTCCAGGCCTGAGCTCGTTGATACTGATGCGGCAGACGAATAACAAGAGGTCGCCTAGATGGCCAGGTACGACGTCGGAGTATGCGCATCACCTTTCGACTCTCCATAATTTGCGCCACTTTGGGTGGAACTTCTCTCTTGACCCTATCAATACTAGCTTACCGCCCGATTTGCCGTGTGCTGAGGAGGGGTATCCGGAGGAATCGTGCTGTCATGGGCCAGTCTGAACATATACAGGTCTACAATTGGGTACGCCTATGGAGACTCTTCAGGATTAATTGCCCAAACTTGAAGTTCATCGCGTTCGTGCTGCCCGCCCGCCGGATGTACGCGGCCGAGGGTGGGAGTGTAGTAGCCATATCGTCGAAGTTCTCCGTGAGGATCAAGGAAAAGCTCAAATAATACGGAGAGTATTTTGTTGGCAAGCTGACCTAATGAACTTCCGCAGATCACATCTAATGGCTAGGCATGAACGATCTGAATTATTGTGCATCGGCAACATAGCTCGTATGGATCCAGCTATCTGTTGGGCTATCTATACGGTGCTATGTGCACCGCATATGTCGGTTCAGCTACACATGGAAGACAGATGGATAACGCACGTGTCAGGCTACTAGATCCTCAATACCTACGTATAATAATGCGTTCATCTACTAATGGGCACCCTTGGTATCAAAATACCACTGTTTCTCTGCCCTCATCAATTGGGATGCGTCGGGATTCGCTAGTGCCAACTTTTCCAGTATAGGTTCATCACACAACGAGATAATTTGCGTCCACGGCGTGATACGGATACTCCCCTTATCTCTGTCGATATCAAAACATGTCTGCGGCAACGACTGCGACAGGAACGCGAGATGCTCCAGCTGCGGGCAATAAGCCAAGAACAGTCGTGGAAGGCACTGCCACAACTCGCAATCCGAGTAGTCTAGTCGCATTCCGTCCAGGTCATCTGGATCCTCAGGATACCCAGCCTCCATACGCTCGAGATAGTGCGTCGTGCCGATCCAGAGACTGTTGAGGCGGAAGTTCCAGCCAAAGTAGCGCAGATTGGGGAATCCCGCCAGGAGCGGAGCATATTCCCACGTCGTTCCCGGCCATACAGCGGCCCTGTTCTCCCATTGCCGGACACTGTCGCGGTAAACCAACGTCAATGAGCGCAGCCCGCTGAACGCCCCAGCCAGCCTGTGAAACAGCTCGCGATCGACTGAGCGGAGACCCTCAAGCGCGAGTGTCTGCAAGGGGGCAGTACGCAGCCGGTCGATCATCTGGAGCACGTCATCGCGATTCATCCACAGGGCCCCAATCTTGAAGTGTGTAAGGCGCAGCGGGTCCAATCCCATGCGAGGCTCCCCGCTCATCCACATGCTCAGCAGGGGAACATGCATGGGTATCAGCGATTGTACGACTAGCCGCTCGACCGTAGCGAAAGTATTGAGGCCGCCAAAAAATGCGTCCTCTGGAAGTATGAAAGGGGGGCCGACGAGAAAGAGCGTGCGCACGCGAGGGAGTAGCGCGATCAACTCGAGGACCCTAATACGGTCCGGGTCTGGGGTGTCGCCGAGGAAGATTGTGACATTCGTGAGGGGATTAAGTACAGGTCTAGCAACTTGCATCCAGTCGTGATGGACATCCGGGACCAAGCGACAATCTTCGAGGGTGAGTGTTTGGAGTGAAGAGAGGCGGGTCATAGCACGGATCATGTCCCTAGACAGTGCTATCCCCTCTAGGTTCAAGATGGTGATGCCCAACGCGCCGCAAGACAGCACCTTCTCAATTGCGTTCCAGATGGGCATGTAGAAGATGGCATTCGGGACAGTACCGTGTTCAAGGCCTAATTTCCGCAGCAGCTCTTGGGGCCAGCGATTCCCAATATTTAACTGACGTATACTTCGAATGATGTCGGGGCGGGAGAAGAGGAACGAGACATCGTTCAACAACGTCTCCTTCAACTTTGACATGGTTTGAACGACATTTGTCCTGTTTGGTTTTTCGATCACTTGCCCGTCTCCAAGTTCAACTTGCTGAGAACTATCCAAGAAGGGAAAGATGATGTTACGGCGCTGTATATACCCGTTAGAAAGACCCGTAAGAGACAAGATGCATAGGCGCACCTGATATCTGTAGGAGCGGGACATGTCACGGAGGACATGACAAGTAGCCTCAAAATTACGGGCGTCATCTACGTCCATGTGGCTCAAAGACATATGGATAACCTCAGGGGGAAGACTGAAAAGTGAGATCTTCTGAAATATTGGTTCTGGGTACTTTTCGAAGAATTCTTGCAGGTCGTCTAAAAACGATTATTAGAACGAGGAGCCACTTATGTATTTGCACCGCAACGTGCTTACTGGTGTACATGACCAAGTTGTCAACGTCAACGCACACCGCCAATTTCCATTTCTTCCTGAAGTTCTTGAGAACTTCAGGGGATGAAACCATGGTACGTCGCTCGCCTTGTTCCTCTACCACTGTTACATGGGCAGCAACGCTGTGGAGATCAGCAAGGAACTGGGAGAGGCGCTTCATCAAAGAATGATACCGCGGCTGGCTGCGACCGGATAGGTCCAGCTGACCCTGAAATGACTGCAATCAGATAACGGAGTCCATCTGAGACGGTTGCACTACCGTATGAAACCCCCTCAAGCTATCAACCAAACGCCGGAGGCGATAGGTCTTGTAGAAGTCGCTGTAATTATCCTCGGACTCATCGTCGAGAAGTTCTCCTCGCTGCTGACCAATGAGTCTACTCTCCCATTCAGCCCATTTTCCATTAGCCTCTTCTATATCGTATAATCGCAGGGACAACTGCTGCCGCGGGGTATATCTCGCTGAATACATCGGGTTGAATAAATCTGTGAGCTATGAAAACTACACAAGACGCACGATGGTAGCAATCATTCTGCTTCATTTGATCCTCTTCTGCAACAATGCGCTCATCGTCCGAATCCATGATCCGGGGATTCTGTAGTCTCCCAAAGGCAGACTACAAAATCAGTCCTATGAGAGGTGGGAGGGACGGACTGATATAGAGGGATTCTGTACCGTGTCGATGCGCTACTACTACAGCAAGGCTGTAATCTCTACCAAATGCATCGTGCTTCTGTCAGAACGGCGTATATGTTTAAGGGATACAACTTCACTGACGACGGGAGGTTTCGAACATACTTGGGGTCGGTTTTAGGGAGTGACATGGGTTAACCCGGGTTATATCCGGGTCAAACCCGCAGGTAATTACCATCGAGAGGTCCTGACCGTACCCAACCCATACCCATAGACTTTCACCCGGGTTAACCTGCGGGTCGCAGGTGGGTTACCTGCGGGTAACCCGCACTACGTTCTCGTTATTATTCAATAAAACTATTTCTGTGTGCTACAAATCGACGTCCATCACTTCCCGCTCCTTGCCCTTTGCACTCGTTGACCGTTTTTTACCGCCAATAAAGCTGGCACATGTCTTTGTATCCTGCAATAGAGGAGTTCCTGCCCACGACCCAACTGCCACCTGAGCTTTGAATGACTGAGACGAGGTTTGGTGCTGAAGGTGGTTGACAGTCAGACGGCCTCCGGAAAAGGCTCGCTCGGCATCTACAGATGATGCTTGCAACAGGCATCAGATTCAGACTATGTATAGCTGGAAAGAAGATCGTACCGGGTGCAGTGAGGAAGTCGAGCGCCATTCGAGCAAGGCGAGGACGCGTTTTCGATGCTTGTGCCCAATATGCCAAGACTCCGCCAGCCTGTTTGACATCATCTCTTGAGACAAGCGGGGACTCCAGATAGGCATCTATGCTGTCAATGGGATGTGTGCTGGTTGAGGGCTCATTCCGGAATGAGCTTGCCCACTTTCCTCTCTAGTGGATGAGGTTAGGCCACTCAGTGTTGCTCTTCGGCATCAAAGAGACGTCATACCTTCGATGTGGATGCCATCACCGAAACAGTGGGAGTGTTCACAGACATGCCATTTGAGTCACCAGCATAAGATTCGGTCCAGCACGCTCGTAGGATGCGCGCTGCTTCCGTACGATCTTCTGCTCGCCAATCGGGGTTCTTGTTGAACCACTCGAGCTTCTTGTCAGGACACATGGCTGGTCAGTACAAATGAGATTAGTGATAATGGTCACAGCAACGCAGAGTGGACAAACCAATAGCGATCCGGTATACATCCGTGTCGTCGGTCAATGCATAGTACTTCCCGACGACAAGCAGGCTAGCCTGTGCTGCGATGCGGATGACAGACGGCAACTCCACGTCCACATCATCGCGGACTGCCGTAAGTTGATGTTCGAGCTGCTCCAGCATCGGGACTGTCTCGTGTATCAAGGGAACTTCGGCTTGTGAGAAGAGGTCTGTGAGATCTTGGAAGATCTACCTCGACGTCAGGTCTCAAATCCATCTACCGAGTAACTGTGACGTACCTCAAGAACTGGCCCCAACTGCTTAGCCAGCGACCATTGTTCCCTAGTCAGCGCGTACTCCTGTAGCTCATTCTTCAGGTCACTAGTAAGCTGTCGCACAGGAGTCTCGAAGTGGATGTGCGCATTCAGACATGCGAAATCACTGTTCCATCTCGTGGCTACTCGACGGTCAAGAGCCTTCTTTCTTCCGACAAGGTCTGCTTGGGCATCAACTAACTTCTCGAATTTCTCCTGCAGGGTGGGTGAATCGTGAAGGCGACGAGCGAGTCCTGCTACCTTGGTAAATAGACTCTGTGCATCGGATTCTTCTTGTGCGGTCATTGTAATATGGTAGTCTTCCCGTGCAATGCGAATTGCTTGAGCATGTACTGAACTTACCGCAGCCTCATCATGAGCAGCCTTCCCATCATCAAGAGCAGAGATATCATCATCTTCATGGGTGCCATCCACTGTCTCGTCAATGATATGCAAAGGGTCCCCGTAATCAAGCACCACCTCTTGAGTCTCGGGCTCTCCGGGTGGCGGTGCTTCAGGTGCAGATGCTTGCTGGCGTGCACCAGCACCACGTCGTTTGCGCTTCGATCCCGCGGCGACCTTCACGACCTTCTTCTTCTTGGGCTGCCTAAAGAAGAATGAGATGAATGCCTGTCGACAGCTGTTAGTGGTAAAATCAATGAGAACGTGCACCAGGCTTACCTTGGCAATGAGATTTACTGTATGCGGGAAGCAACGAGTGCGCGACATGGCACCACGGAAACTATCAACGAGTGGCTCCAGCTCAGTAGCGGTCGCATCGCAGTTACTCGCATTGTCCATGCAGAGTGTGTGCAGCTGAATACAGTATCAGTGCATGTGAATTTATGCAGCGGAGCATACTTACCTTCTTCTGGAGGCCGAATTGTTTCACGCAGTCCGCCACCTTCTGCGCAAGATACAGGCCAGTATGCCTTTCAGTTAAGCTATGAGAGTGGGCTGTGAGGATCAAGAACACTGGAGATATTAGGAATGACTTACCGAACGAACTCCAAGATGGAGCGCCAGAGTTTGTCGCCGTCAAACCAGATTACCACGATGCCAAGATATGACGCCACGAAAGGCGCCGTCCACCCGTCAATAACGAGGTGAACGGCTCCGTCGAGTTTCTGTAAACACTATATGTTAGCGTCGGGTAGAGATCGTTCAGCTGGGGAGTACTAACCGAGAAGTATTCTTTGATGAACTTAGAGCCTTCTTGGTAGATCTGCTGCACATCCCGTGAGACCATGCATGGTGTGGGTACCTTAGTTCCTGGGCGAAGAAGCTCCACTTCTTCAAGGTAATATGGGTCCACGACACTGTGGAAAGGCCGGCGCGATGCAGCGCAGCACAGCGCCACAATGGCTCGGTGAGCCCTTTCGGAATACCTGGAGATTGTGTTCATCAGAGTCTGCTGCGCACCCGCATGGGGGTCATCTGATGGCCCGACACCTCGCCGCTTGAAGCAGGCTTTCGTGGAGCGGTCAAGGTTCTTCGTGCCTTGGCTTGTCTTGCTCCGCTCGCGATACTGGGTTCGGTGGTTAGCGGGATCATATTTACATTTGAAGCAGAAGAGGAGATGGTCGGCCTTGCCATCCTTCATGAAGTTCCGCTCGAGAGTAATATTATAGTGATCATATGCATTCGACTTCCATGCACTACGCGTGAGAGCTTCGAACGCAAACTGTCAGCAATGTTCTGCAAGCATATTTTGAGGCATACCAATGATTTCGTCGTCAGGCATATCCCAAACCTCCAAGTCGGAAGAGGTATGACTCTTCCGCTTTCGCTGTTTCGGCGGAGATACAATGACCACGGCCGACGGTGATGACGTACGAGCAAGACCAGTGCGTGCTCATGTGTTCTTTGCAGGAGAGTCGTCCGAGGATGGACTTAGTGCAGTGGAAGGCCGCGCTCGCTTACACGATGGAGTGTGCGGCTCACTTGGTGCGGTAGAAGGCCATGCTCGCTTACGTGATGGAGTGTGTGGCTCCCTGCTTGGTGACGGTGACGAGGAGGGGTTGGATCCACCAAGGACACGTATGCGAACATGAACGTGAGACATCGGGCCCAACCCAAGCTCTCCTAGTCGTTCGTGGAGCCATAGCTGCCGTGTGTGCGGTACCGCCGCATACAAGTAAAGGGATGTCTGGTCAGCTGGAACCAGGCATCTCCGCTTCAGCAAGCAGATGATATCCTGCACGGATGTGGAGTTCGTGACAACTATAAAAGCACAAATCAGTTCTCGATAGGCAATGGCCCGAAATTTAAAGGATTCACTCACGAAGAGGAACAGAACGCCCGCTTCCTGCACCAAGGACAAATATGGTATACGGTGCGAGGGAGATGACTTTGCGATAATGTCGTGGATGCATCTTGGAGACATGGTGGCGGCGGTAGCGCACCCGAGCCGGGAACAGTCGATGGAGGGCAAGGAAGTGCGGAAATGAGAATCCCCCTTGTGTCTCGTCAAATACTGTGTGTCAGAAATTTAGAATACTGCTCACCTAGTAGCAGTGAAGCTACAGTGAGATAGCCATGAATCAAAGTGCCAATAAACGCAATATCATGATAGAAATCAGTAGTACTATCAACCAGGAGAAGATGCAGTGCAATGCAAGCCGGCACAGTCGAGATAATAGGGAGGAGAACAAGAATGGCTATGATCATATACCATGCATTGCACCGATAGCTGATACTTCGGGTTGTTGTGGCACGAAGAGCTGGAGAGCTCTTCACACTGGAACTCATCATGTACAAATGGGTTCCCTGGCGGTGGAGCTGCAGTCAGTCAAGCACACCATATATATACACCATAATATCATATTGGAAAATGCTGGGCACCAAAGCTTTGCAGAGAACCCGACAGGATTGCCAGGATCGTGAACTAGTGGAAAAATTGCCATGGTGAGGAATGGAATGAGGGCGAAAACAGAAGATACTAGGACAGAATTAGGCAGACCAAGCACATCGTTGTACTGCGCACTGCGATGAAAAGAGAATAGTGAAAGTGATTTTGACCACCGCGACTTGGCCGCGATAGTAGTTCGTCGTCTGCCATAGCAACAGGAGGAGAATTTCTGACGCTCCCCATAACAGGTAGCCACGGGTATACCCGGGCCTACCCGCCGTCACGGCTGGCATACCCGTACCTGATCCGGGTCTACAGGCAGGTCACCCGGGCTCTATACGGGTCACCCGTGCGGGTGTGACACGGGTCGGGTCACAGGTTTACCCGGGCAAGCACTACCCATGTCACTCCCTAGTCGGTTTACAGCGCTTTGCAAGTATATGCGGAATCGTCGTCGATGGATTTTTGGCCTCAGGCGCCCCGAGCTTGCCCCGAGCCCAGGACCCCAAACTGTTGTAGTGGCACGTTACTACCGGAAGTCTAGCGGAGGATACCGGGAGGGCCATTGGTGACGCGAATTTCCCAAAAGCAGTTGTCCGAGGCATGCCCGAAGCTTGTCTAAGCTCCTGCATTAGGATGCCATAGAAAACCCACGTGGGGCGATTGGTTGATGAGACACTCTGGGCACGGTCTCTCTGATTTTGGCTAGGCTCGGACTCTCGGATCTGATCAATTGGGCAATTTACCGGTGGCTGCAGTGGCTGAGCGGTTTCGGGTCCTGAGCGTGGCGCAAAATCCATCGACGACGATTCCGCATATACTTGCAAAGCGCTGTAACCAGGGATGGCAAGGTCACGCTCGACCCCTTGACCTTTGACGGGGTCAGTGACCTTGACGGGGTCCGACCCCCAGGGTCACGGAGGTCAGCGCGTCAAGGCGTGACTGACACGGCTCGGCAGCTTCGGCAGCGACTAAACGCTTGGTGCTTAACACTGGCGATGCAGTGTCTAACTTACTGTGTAGCACAACATATATTTATTCCTTCCCTCTGGCACTATGTGCATGCTTTCTGATATGTCCCCCACTCAGTCCGGAAGGGTTTCTAAAGAAGGCCAAAACTGGATGAACAAGTAGTCAATCCAAGGATGTGGTGTGTCTGCTGTATGGCTATGAAACTTCATGAGATATGCATGCAGGCCCTGGGGCTGGATGCTGTCATGGATGCAAGTCTCCCGGACACATGACCTTCAGAGGAATTTGAGGAGTAGCATAAATAGTCCTGTAGCCCTTAGTCTCCCAAAGCCAGACTACAAAATCAGTCCTATGAGAGGTTGGAAGGACGGTATGTAGCCTTTGAATGACTCGGAGAACGGGTTGTATAATATATCAAGATAGCCCACCATGACAATTTGTAGGTGACGGGATTCAAGCTAATTTTGTCTACTTTTTCGAGACGACAAGATCTATTCTACAAATGAACCAGTTTCGTACGAAATATATGTTGCGTGCCATTATTGAGTTGTGCGCGCGCGTCGGTCACGCGGTGACCCTTGACCTTTTTGACCTTTCGGGGTCGGACGGGTCATGACCTCTGGCTTGACGGGGTCAGACCCCGTCACTGCCATCCCTGGTTACAGCCTGTAACTATGAAGACTTCCAAATGGGGGGACGACTCAGAGCACAGCCACCCGCCACCAGACACACAGGAGCTCGAGCGCTATGGCAAGCGCTCCACACTGCCTCCATCGACAGATCAATATGATGCGCGCTCCAACTGTCCGAGACTCCTGTTTCTGTTTTCCATCCGCCTCACCGACTTCCGCTGGCTCGAGTTATAGTCTACCCGTATCCTTGCACTCTCAGTCCTCATTTCCCCATTCCAAACAATATACGATCGGGGTCTGATACTCACCCACAAAACAAAGTCATTAGCTCGTCTTTGACGCCCTACAAGTACCATCCGCATCTGTTCGAGTTGCGCACTTCACGCACGCCGAAAGGTCTACACTTCAATTATCACAATCTATCATGGCTGGCTGGTGAGACATTCCGCTAGAGGCTCATGTGTGAAGTGCTTACACTCCCCCTCTAACCAGGATTGACGTGTTGTCTTTGATAGTTGTACGATCTGTGTAGCGCTGGGACTAGGAGCTATGCTGACGATCTCCTCACTTCATATGTCAGACCCTCTCCTTGATTGCCGCGGTTGTGTTGGGAATCATCTATGTTATGCGAGCTATGTCCAGCGTGGTTGAGTCAACGAAAGAGTCGTGCGTATCTTGTGTGCTCGATATTGACGTCAAGTTAAAAAGTTCGCAGGCTCAAAACCAAGGGCGTTGACTTGTCTAAGGGCGGCATGTCAGTGAAGACTCACGGCCGGTACAACCGCGAAGATTACCTTGACGCCACGCAACGGTATGCATGTTTGCCCACAGACCAGCGCATTTGGAGTCTTATCGATACCGCATTCTCCAGACACTTAATGAAAGCACTGCATACATCCAAATTTGGGGCATCTGCCAAGGGCACCGAGGGCCGGACAATCTCCTCGCATTCTTCGGACTCGGATTCACTGATCGAGAAGAAAAAGAATGGAGTGCCAGTAAAGACGACGTAAACCGAGCCAGATGTACAAGATACACGAGGAAGGGAACTCGAATGCACGCACGATGCATTATCCTTATTTATTCGTTGATGATTCCATGTACTGCCTTTGGTTTGATTACTGCTGTCGTCGCTCTCTTGCACCCAATAAATCGCGTATCTCTGTTCACCCCCCCGCCATGCACCACCCTCGGGGCAAGTTATGTTGAGCTTATAATTACCAGGAAGGTGTTCGCATGTGGCTGCGACGAATCTCAGGCTGTGCTACGATGCTGGTAGACAGGGCTTCGGATTATTGTGAAATGCGGTGCACTTCGTTCAACATATCCACAATATGTGATCGTGACTAGGAGGGTTTAAGCCTGTCGCACACCGATATTAGTGAAGATAATTGCACACATTGGACGTTCTCCAAATTGATGTAAACTCTTCCCATACCATGGACTACATGCAAGAATTTGATTAGCAAATGGGTAGAAGGTACGTCTCAATAATGAACAATAATCGTAGTTGCACGTCACCAACAATCACAACAACAAAGCAGCCCATTTTTTAGTGTCTGTCCTCAAAGGCGAGGAGATAAACCGTACGACATGCTCGTCCGATAGTGTCCGCCGATCCCGGTCGATCCGCTGTAACAATGAAGTCTGCTCAACACGAAATGCCTCTGCCACATCCCCGCCATGAGCGTCGACGGTATGACTCCACCAACCCTCCCATGCACCTCCCTGTTGCGCACCCTCCAACACATCTTCCAGCGTACACGCTTCGACGTACTTCCTGGCTGCGTTCACCCCGCCCGCCGTGTAGTAGAGGTAAAGGATGTCGACGCAGACAAACACGTCATACGGGCCCGAGTTCTTCGCCGCCCACACCGCCCAAACGTATGCAGGTTTGCGGTACCGCGCCATCAGAAAGCATGCCAGGTTGAGCGCGGGGCGCATACCGTCAAAATGTTGGTGCAAACGGATCTCCTGGCTGAGCAGGTACGCCACCAGGGCCTCGTCTTCGCGCGGGGGACCCAGCTCAGGGTCTGGGCAATGAAAGTGGTCAGCATGTAGCGCGAGCATTGCTTGCATGCGATTGGAAAGATTGGAGTCGGATTCAGCGTCAGAGGAATCGATGGGAGAAAATGATACGAGTTCCTCCCAGCTCGAGGGGTCGCTTCGTAGCCGTCCCAGCAAGGCGGTGTCGGGGTTGAACGCAGGATTCACGCTCGGGTTCACGTCTGCCATTTATTCGTCTTTCAACACAATCTTTCTAAGCGAGATTCGACGAGAGGCGATAAAGTGAGCTGACCTTGACAGAGAAGTGAGTGCCGGCGGAAAAGAGAACATTTGTCAATGGAAATATCATGTTTTGAGAACGAGAACGGTTTAGACTATAACTTGAGTCTGGCCCAGGCCTCGGACCTGCCGTTTTGAAGTTGTCGGAGCTCACAATTAGACTACTACATTTTAATCGGAGTATGTAGCGAACTTCTCAATTTAACGGTAGGGTGGCTAGGCCCGAGCCTGCTCATATTATCACGTGACGCAGTCACCGAGGGTGCTGCTCGTCGCCTTCGACGATGTGCTCAAGTCGTCCACGACGATGGCGCCTCCACGGCGCAGAGTATCCTATGTTATCGCGCCGCCCACAGACCAAGTCCCGCGACTCCAGCTCCCTCCACACGGCTTACCCAGACATGGCAGCAGTGCACCTGTTCTTATTCCGTTCCACGAACCTATATCTTCACCACCACATTCGCCGTCGTCAAAGGCGGCCTCGCACCCACGTCATCGCCTCGGAGTCGCTACGCTAGCACTTGACACGTCCACCCATCTCGTCGGTCGCCCTGCGCCAGAAGGTATACTCTATTCCGGCGGGCGCGATGGTCAGGTTATCTCCTGGGACCTGGGCATCCCCATGAAGCGTCGCGCGCAGCGTTACGGAGTCAGCGCAGGAGCCACACGGAGGTGGGAGATCATGACGAACTGGTCGGACGACGTGATCGAGGAAGAACTGGACGAAGGCGAGGAGCTGCGCAGCGACGGTGACGTCCTGGGCGAAGTCACTGGGAGGATCAGGCGGAGGAACGTTGGGATCGAGCAGGAGATTCCGTACGAGGAGCAGTGGGAGACCGACATCGATGCGTACGAAGCGCGGAAGGTGCGTGAAGTCCAGCGGCGAACATTTTAGCGGCGAGTAGTCCAGTGTCAAATTCACGCTCGCTAACCGTCAGTATGGACCAGACGACGCCACCGTCAACTCAATTCCGCCAGTCCGCGCAAATACATTCAGACTGGGTGAATGACATCTTGCTGTGCAACCAGAACCAAACTCGTGCGTGCTGCTAGCTCTTGATATCAGCAGCGGCTGAATGTGCCTTACCCACACGTAGTGGTCTCCGCGTCGTCCGACGGAACAGTCCGCGCCTGGTCACCGCACGCGCACAGCCACGCAGGCTCACTACACGAACCGATGACAGTCGGCATGCACGCCGACTATGTGCGCTGTCTCACATACTGGTACGCATCACGCAGCTATTGCGCTTTATGCGTACCCGCTCACGTTTCGTAGCCGTGACCAGCGATGGGTAGCATCGGGCTCGTTCGATCGCACGATCAAATTGTGGGACTTGGGAGCGATCGGATCGACAGGGTCGCCGCTGACGACACTGCACGCGCCCGACGCGTCCGGTCCAAAGGCTTCGGTGTATGCGCTCGCGGCGGACCCATACGGCCATATCGTAGCGTCGGGATCGCCAGAGCGCGTAATCAGAATGTGGGACCCACGGACGGGCCGGCGGATCGGGAAGTTGGTGGGTCACACGGACAACATCCGAGCGATCCTGCTCTCGGAAGACGCGAAATACGTGAGTGCGGATGGCTTGTATGTCATAGGATGGGTTTGAATGTTTGCCCTAGCTGCTCACAGGTTCAGCAGACGGTACTTATGGCTGTATATTTCTGTGTTTCTCGGCTGACGGTGATGTCAGCGTCCATCAAGCTCTGGTCTCTATCGTCGCAACGATGCCTTCACACGTTCACGCACCACACGGATTCGGTGTGGTCCCTGTTCTCGTCGCACCCATCGCTAGAGATATTCTACTCTGGGGACCGGTCTGGCCTCGTGTGCAAGGTCGACGTCGAGGGTTGTGCTGACATCTCCGAGGGTGAGTGCATCGTACTGTGCCAAGATACGTGCGAGCGCGAAGGTAGGCCGGCTGCGACGGAAGGGGTAAACAAGATCGTGGCCATGGACGACAATCTACTGTGGACGGCTTCCGGCTCGTCCAGCATCAAGCGATGGAGGGTGCCTGCTCGAAAGGCGGTTCGGGCCGCTGCCCTAAGCGAGGGCAAAGATTGGCAGGCGGAAAGCTCGGTAGTTTCGCCGATGACGGTGGAGTACAACCAAGACCATCTTCTCCCGCGTTCGGCAAAGCGGGGATCGTTCGACTTTTCAACTGGTAGAGCGAGCACGCCCCCTCGCTCGGGATCTGGCATGGTGTCTTGTGACATCCCGATCAGCAAGCAAAGAAGCACGTCTCCGCGCAGGAGTCCTCGTACATCTATCGCGACTTCGATACCTCCCTCCATCCATTCATTCATGCAGCACGAGGTAGAAGTCGACGTAGAGCGTGAAGGCGAGGACACATGGTACGGTATCCCGTTCGAAAGCCTTGTGCGACTGATGTCGCCAAACGAAGCACTGGGTGGACCCGGGCCTCTGGTTCGCGGGCACGATCCAGAGATCGCGACGCTGTACTCTGCGGCATCCATCATGAGTATACCCCGGGCCACTCGTGCCCCAATACACTCCATGATTCAGAGCCAAAACCAGAGCCCTTTACAGGGTCAAGGCGTGCGGGGAACCAGCCCAATACGAACTGACACGCTCAATTCACATCGCTCATATGTGTCGCGCTTGGGGGAGGAGAGTCAGACGTTGCATCCTGGCACGCGTGTACGCGCCGCCTACGACGAACGCGAGGTCGTTGTTGACGCAGTGCCATTGCGGCGGGACGCAGACGAAGTCATCCATGGCGAACACGGGCTTGTGCGCTGCGCTATGCTCAACGACCGCGTGCATGTGTTGACGGTGGACACTGCGGGTGAGGTTGCGGTGTGGGATGTGATCAGATGTGTGTGCCTCGGGCGATTCCCGAGTGCAGATGTTGCTGCAGCGAGCTTCTGCGGCAGCGTGAGTGGTAGTGTCGATGGGATGAATTCGGAGAAGGACAGGGAGAGGGAGAAGGAGCGGAGTCCAAGAGAAGCGTTGGAAACCGTGCGGGAGAGGATTGAGGGCGAGGCTGTTGTGTCACCGTGGTCGACGGTAGACACTAAAATGGGTGTGCTCAGCGTGCACATGAACGAGAGGTGCTTCGAGGCGGAGATATATGCTGACGAGGCTGGATATGGCCCTGATCGGCGCTTCAATGATGAGATGCGCTGTGAGTCCTGTCCGTCTGTCTGCATGATAGTTCTATCTAACCTCCACCAGTAAACATCGGAAAATGGGTACTGCGTAATCTCTTTGTGGGTTTCATACGTGAGCAACAGCGAGCTGCTGCGCGGCGTATGCGCGATGCCGAACAGAACCAATATCGTGCTCCGCGAAGCACTCCCCCCACGCATATTGAACTAAATGGTGATCATGGGCGCCATGGTCATTCTCCAGACCGCAGACGATCATCTTCAGACGCCTCCCATCGGTCCTCAATGACATCGACCACGATGAGGAGCGCTACCATTGTGATGTCACCCAAGATGCTCCCGGCTGTATCCCCAATCGTCACCACTCCTCCACGCTCTCTGACGACACAGTACATTCCGCTTAACACAGGTGTTAAAGACTCCTCGCTCTCTGCCATTCCGCAGTCCCCAAATGATACCACGCCAATGCCGTTGCCGTTGCGCTCGCCACAGCGCTCGCAGACCGATTCAGGTGGTTCAGCCTCTCCATCAGACTACTTCTCGCTCCGAACCCGTCGGGGATCGCTCTCCACGGGAAGCATGACGACGCCGGACGATTTGGGGTGGGGCGGCAAGTCGCAGGATAATGCGCTGCAGACACCAAGCACACCTAATACACTGATGGGAAGGCTCAAGGCGTTCGGCAAGAGTACAAAACGCCACGCGAGTGAGATCTCCACGCCTGGAGGGGTCCTAGCTGCCGGAGAGGCCTCTCAGACACATGTGAGGACAACAGCGCCGGATATGATGGTGAATACTGACATTTATGTATATATAGGATATTACCGCCCCCGCCATGCCCAAAACTGCAGTCCAGGTGCTATTGTCGAGCCCCTTCAATCCCCCTACATCGAACGACACCCCGTCACTCTCCATACCTCCAGATACGGCTGTCGTCGTTTCAGAGGAAGCGCCTTCTGGTTGGACAACACGTTATAGAGGACACGTATCGAGCACAGGTCCAGATGTGCACGTATTGGAAGACGTTATGCCGTTATGGTTATTGGAATACCTTCTGGTGAACAAGGTTCCCCCTGTACCAGTCAACAAGATTAGTTTCGTCCTACTGCCCCTCCCAGCAAAGGACCGGAAGGAGCAGCTCCCGGACTTGTTGAATACGTACGTTCTTGCACTTCCTCAGTAGGATGTTTATCACATTTTACATGCCTCAGTGCACAGTCGAAGTTAACTGCGAGCCGTTTCCTGCGGGTCCGTAAGCTCACCTACCATGTATGTTGACAGGCGTTACACAGGGCGTCTTCTCGATATTTATATTGATATAAACAGGTGCAAGACAAGCTCGACAGGCTCACAGGGTCTCATCTTCCCACATCTACCAACAACACACCACGTTCGTCATTCGACAGCCGATCACGCTCACCGACCACCAGCCGTCGCGAAGCCGACCCGCGACCCCGAGCCGAGGATCTGTACGAGGTTCTATGCAACGACGTCGTCCTGCCGCTCGATATGACCCTCGCTGCTGTCCGACAGTACATATGGCGGCAGTCTAGCGAGCTCTGTATGTATTATCGCCGCAAAAGCGCCGCACCGCTGCAATGACAACCTTATTGTATTATTCTTGAAGTATAGAGGGAAGAGTATCTACCTGTCGTAATGTATGTATTGGATTTAACATCCTTGTAGAACATGTCGGAGTGCTTGCTTACAATGCATGCCAGTACTACGTACTACTTGTGCGGCGTGATGGAATCTTGCATTGTGTTGAGCGCGCGATTACTATGAATACTCGAGAGATCTTCTGTGCCACCTGCTTGTGGTGAGTACCGACAAACACTCAATTGTCCGTTGTGAAACCCAACTGGCAATCACCGACTCGTATCTACGTAAGCTTGTACTAGCATCGCCCTGAGATTACAGTACCAAAGTTGGTAGTTCTTCCCGTACTGACGCAGGTCACTGTCCAGATGATTGGCGTCAAGCCGCAGGATGCTTGCCTGCCGCACAACCGACTCACGCCAAGTGACATTCGTCCGCGGGAATATCTCTCAACGATCAACTGGTCAATAAAGCAAAAGATCGCCTTTTCTTTTTGAACTTATTCAAGCATTTCCACCTTATGTAGGACCCTTAATCATAGTCAATAACTCGCAAAAAAAATTATTTTGAGACCTTGATAGAATATAGCTTAGAGGCCTTATGTTCTTATTGTCTTATTTAAGGCCCAAAAGTCAGCTAAGTTATGGGATAAGAAAGAGTGATCTTTTGCTGATGCAATCTAAGATGAGAACGGATCTGCAGGATCAGCCACTGATCAGCCACATGAAGATCGTCCGTACCTCTGTATGGATTGGTCCGTGTGTTCAGATACGACCGTCACCTCGCGTGGGACAGAGAACACGGAGGATGCGCTGTGATTCTCCGCTATCCGGCTCCAGACTTAATGCTCACCGGTCACGACGGCGCACCCACACCTCTACCTATTCTTGGTTTAGTAGCCAATCGTCGCTTCTTCCCAGACTAATGCAGCCCTGAGTAGTCAGTCTATGGAGTGGCCACTGTCGAATAGTAAACGAAATCTCCTCTGTCTATGACCATGTTCTTACCTCGTCAGTCGCTCGAGCTCGACTACACAGAACAGACTGGCCTGGAGATCGTACATGTCGGCCTTACGGGTACTATTGGGGCTGCTTTGATCGCCCACATCATCTCGCTTTTGTGAGTCCTTGCTCGGTCTTCTTCGTTGCATCGTGCGCTATGCTTCGAGCGCTAGGAGCGTAGCATTGGACTCATGCCAGTGATTTTTTCAACAACTAGTTTGAACGCCTTCACGTGGATACAGACGGTCATTTACTTTCAGAAGAACTATGCCGACTGGATACTGTTCAAGGGCGTTGTGAGTGCCTGTTTTTACCATAACGCGGTCGGCAGTCTGGGATCCAGAGTCCTTGAGGGGCAGTAGATTCCGAATCGGTTCTCGCGTCTTTGTAGCTCGATGCAACAGCGTGGAAAGCTGACAAGTATACAGGTCGTCGTGATATGGTATATACTCCTCTGAGCTAAGGTGTTCCTTGGATTGACCACATTCCCTCCATCCTGTTACAAGCCTGCTGGGGATCGCCCACGAGGCGCTTGTTACGCAAGGGTTGTACGTATATTTGGTGACGTTCCGTGGGAACTCTGCGGACGTGTTGCGCCCGCAATGGTCAGTACGTTTAAATCACTCCATGTTTGTGTCTCTCACGAATATCTTCAGGGCATTTGGCGTGAGTGCACTGTATTCTGAACGATCGAACGTATGAAAAATGTACCGTCTCACCGCATCAGGCTCAAGTATATGTGACGGTGAGGAATATCGCTGCTGAATCCTGACCGTCATGGCATTGACTGCGTTTGTAGGAGCTCAATAATGTCATCATTCGGAGGTAAAGAGACACTCCCACCTTATCAAAGTTTCGATCGTAAATTGCTGATTCCGGCTCCAGCGTGTACGCATATCGAATCTGGAGGTGTAAGTGGCCACCTGTGTGCCATCTCGGAGAAACACCTGACAGTCTGCACAGTAAGCATAGGCAGACTGCAGCGTGCTGTATCTCTCGTTATAGTCAGTGTTCGTTCTATCCTTGTAAACGCTGCTCCGATATGACCCCGCAATCTGTATCACTAGGTTGTGCTATCGTGCTACGTGTTCGGTATGTATTCTCTAGGTGTTGCCCATCTGAGCATTGAGGCCCAATTGATGTATGCCGCACAGGATCCAGCTGCAGTACGTGAGATTCGTTTCTTTTCTCTACTTCAGGCGCTTACGACTCTCGATGGCAGTTTTTGGAACCATTGGGTAACCATACACATTATGACTACATTTCGTTCTTTCACTGATCATGATTGGCATAGAGTTCGCACAATCGCATGGTTAGACAATCAGAACGCGACAGTGAGTCAAAGATACCAGTCAAAATTCCGAATCATCGCAGATCTAATGGCATCGAATGACCAGTGGACTGTTTATTCTAGCTATGGCGTCGAGATCGTCACTGACTGCCTAATCGCGACGTCGATGTGTTTTCTGCTTGTACGCTTGCGGACTGGACTCACCGGGTACGTATTGCTTGCGCTGACATTGCGTGTGCCCCAGCTTGACGTTCGACCGTTGCCTTTCTCGTCTCCCCAGCTCAGACTCCATCGTGCAGAAGTTCATGGCGTACAGCATTTATACTGGCGTGCTCACGACGTATGTTCCTTCACATATTTCTTTAGCTATTCGCTGAACTCTCCCAGAATATGCGTTGCAATGACTCTTGCCACGGTATGCGATTCGTTTCGACATTGTTAATTGACAATAACTGATGTGAATATCAGTACATAGCTGACCCGAGTTCCTTTGTATACCTATCCTTCTACTTCATCTTTAGCAAACGTGGGTTCTGACAGGTTGCTACAAATTCCGCGCATCCACTGATCATTTCTCGCCAGTATACACCATCTCGCTACTCGGCTCTCTAAATGCACGGACACTTCTCATAGGAGATAGTCAACGTACAACACAGATTCTAACGACCGCCGTGATTCTTGAGGGTGGCTCGCAGCCAAGTCTGCTTAGCGCGGCAGAGGAAGTGGAGGTGGGGCGCTCGAGGATGAGCATAGAGGTCGGCGAGGATGTGGAGGCTTGGAACCGGGAACAGAGTTGTTTGGCTCTGGAGTCGGTGAGCGTGCAGGCGCGTTGGCCCCTCTCTACGCAATCGGTTGATCTGCCTGCTGAGTTCGTGTTACCATTGGTGTACAGGCTTCGTCCCGTCGAGAAAACGACACTGAATCTGTTACCGCGAGACATGCTACGCATCCTCAAGTGCACATGTCGTCGATCACGGAGGTATGCCTGTCGCGTTTTCACACTCGAACCTACACACTCATGAGATGTCAAACTCCACCCTCAGGGCGGGAAGTCCTCGTTTATCAGTACATAGTTATTTTTGTTCAGGTGATTCGGAGACCTGTAGATATAGTAGATCCCGTCTCATCTGTACCTCTTGTAAGGTAGAGAATTCGTGCATGGGACTCACAAGCCATCTCGTTTTCAGGATAATTGTACTTCGATACAAATAGAGCGCTACATCTTCGTGTCCTCTACGCAGTTCGATGTACTTAACCGCCAATATCGCCATCTGTTATTTGCTCCGATAAATCGGCATCTTCCTCACTCCCGCACGCAAGGCTCGTATGAAACATTACGTGTGCGGTGCATCATGGCGACTGGAAACGTGTCTACCTGACTCAGTATGGGATCATCTCGTAGTCTGCTTAGTACAGGGGAGAAGCGGCTGGCATGTATGAGGAGGCACGACATAAGCCATTCAAATAGTCCGGGCTAGTGAGCTGGCTTGAGTTGAGCCTTGAAGCCTCTATCTTCTTGAGCAGAGGGAGAAGACCATTTGGACAAGTTGCATACGAACTTATGGCCACGTTTGTTTCCTGTACTCATTTGCTATTAGCTTGCATGCGGTGGCTTTAAATTAATGCACATTCATAACACAAGGAGATCTGGGCGGACAGGATACGATACCACGTGCACAAGTACGTACAATTACATTGACTTTGGGGGCCCACGGCACATACTATCGCTTCCTACCCCGCCTGCTGGAACGAGTATACCCAGGAAGCAAACGCCCCATATCCTGCCACGTAGTCCAAGATGAGTTGGGTCGCCGCAGCGATAAGATAGGGGTCCTGGATCATGATGAGTGACTTTCCCCAACATGAGAGGGGAAGGAGCCACTCCCCAGCGAGAGACGCTCTAGTAGATGTATTCTGTGGAAACATAAGAGGAAAGGCACCACGTGAACGGGGAGTTGGTACGTACATTGGGCTCAGAGCCGGCAATCATATTCACAAGATGCATGAACGGGGAGGCCCATCCGGCAAAGCCGCCGAGGAGCGTCAGTCCAACGGGCTGGTAAAAGGGGGGTACAACTCTGGCGGTGCAGCGAAGGTTGCTCCCACACGTGATAAAGGAATTGTATGCGTTGAAGAACAGCTGTGAACGAGTTTAATTTGTTAACGCCGAATTTAACTTCCGTGACGGGTTCTCACAGCCATGACCCAACCAACAACAGTACGCCTGTATGCTGGATCATCCGGGGCCTAATTCCGCTCTGAGTGTACGCTCCCGTCAGAAACCAGTTCACTCACGGGGTCAAGGAGTGGGTACAGAGAGAGTGAGAACTGCAGAAGCGGGATTCCAACCGCATACCCTAGATGACGATAATTTTTAGGTTTCATTTCTCCGCGTACGAAAGAAAAATGAATACCGACCGTTCAGCATGCGCTCAGCAGGATACTCGAATGCAACAGCACCAGGAGCCTCTCTACTCCTGATGAGGTTTATCAAGTCGAGTGACCCATCTACGAAGATATATAATGCCGCGATGATCCCCTGAGATAGCGTAACATAGTCTCCGAGGCTCCTGCTCTTGGCTTTCGCGTGGAGAATATACAGACCATCCTCGTTCTGAGTTTGAAAGGGGGCAGCACCGGTCAGAACTTTGTACGCGATGGTGAAGGGTATAGCTATTGGAGTGCACACGATAGTCCAGAGACTGGCACAAGATTCAGTGGGTCGCTCTGCCAAGATCGCTCAAAGACTCACGTGAAGTCCTCCCAACCCAAGGCATGAAAGATGGCCGACAGGATTGGCATCTCAATGGGAGTATCGAATACCCGAAGTATTATATCCAGGACTTGAGACACGACAGTCAACGCTGTATCAACAAGACCTTGCGCATAATCAATGAGCTGGGAAGGATATTAACACGATATTTCATTGTCCACTTCAGTGTATCTCTCACCAATACGAGGGCATTCTTGCAAACCTTGAGAAGTGCAGCAATAGTCTGCCCTTCAATGATATCACGGCTATTCAGTGTCTTAAAGAATTCAACCACGCTTTCGAGGGCCTTCTTGAAGTCGTCCGAGATACCAGTATCCAGCATCTTTTTCAAGAAAGTCTGCCATACCTCGAACAATGACTCCAACCCCAGAAAGCTCGGGGATAAGGAACCTCCTGAGCCCCCATTTGGAGCATTTATAACCTGGTATAAGCAGGCGGTATAAATAGCTGCACAACAACAGGGGTGCTAACTAACCTTGTTGAATAGCCACGTAGCCGACGAGGGAAGATCATCTATTGCATCGGTAGATGTACCAGATGCTTTGGGATCCAGAGTCGTTGTGGACGTCTCCGTGACAACAGAGTCATAATTGTCCTGAAGATAGGCCTTCGCTTTGAGGAAGAAAGGATCGATCAGGGAGGGCAGCTGGTTGTTGACGCAATCTGTCGATCAAGTCAGCACAGTTTGTCACTATCCCAAAACAAATGCGCGAACCCTTTCCATTCTCGATCAGCGCGACGAACTTCTGCCTGAATGCTGCTGCTGTCTGCTTAATATCATCCCAGTTGAAGATATACCCCAACCAGTTTAAGAGCTTGTTGAAACCGCATTTGAACTTTCCGAACAATGCGCTGACCAAATCAAAACCCTGCGTGGCCAGACCATCAAAACACCGAAGCCAAGACGCTAATCCAACTTGCTTACCTGCTTGACGAACGTCGCAGCCCCAGTCCAAAGGTACTCTTCGTTGGCGAAGGACGTCAACCTTACATCACGTTGCCTGAACGCTGAAGACTGCACAGCTTACCTACAGTATCCTTCCAGAAAGTGACTGTAGCATCCACGGCATTACCAACGGGATCCACAATGGTCGAACTGATGGTCGAGAAGCCATTTTTTACACTTTCCCACAAGTCGCCCCACGATAAATCGAGACTGGAGTATTAATGTGAGCGAACGCGCTGCAATGCCAGTCTCCTAATAAATACCTGGGAAGTCCCGACGCTCGAATGGTAGCAGCCAATTTCGCAGCCTCTTCATGGGACACAACATTGACGGAGAAACCAGATCGGAACGAAACGTGCAGGGCGACATGCGAACGGTTGTGGTGGATACGCGCGAGTGACCTGTCGCGCTTCATGCGTGTGCGTGCAACGGCAGCGTTTGTCTTGCCGTGCATGTACCTTCGCGACAGCGAGGTCGAGGGGACAACCAGCGGAGTATTAGAGAAGACCTGCATGGTCTTGTTCAGCGACGTAGCTAGGTCGGAACGCTGTGTATCCGTGAGATCCGCGAAGAGGTAAGAACCATCGGTCTGATCTTGTGCATTCTTGAGTTCGTCCGACGTAATGCTGGCGAGTTGCGCCTGGATGTTGCCTGAAGGTTGGACGTCAACGTGATGTTCAGCGTTCATGCCCTCCACCCAGATGGTAAACGTTGGACCTGTCCATCGCATTAGTTCCACAACATGATGGTCATAGACAGAGACTGTCGCACATCCTAACTCGTTATCAACGGGGGTGGTGATGCATATTTTCCCTTGTGGATTGGTGAGTGTCGAGTGAGACCGCAACCCATCGAGTGTGGTCGTAACACTGTACGACAGCGTCAGCAACAACTAAACTACGGTCACACCAAAACTTGCCCGTTGATATCAACATCTGCATACTCAATTGCGCTGACAATGGCCGAAAGCCCTGGCGGGAAACAAGGGTCAGTAAGTACGCAAATACCTGCTGAGTTAACCCTCAGGATCACCTGGCATCTGAATCTGATTCTCGTCCCTGCATGTCACTTCAATATAATACACGGACCTCCGCACAACATCTCCAACCTGCATGCTACTTTCTGCCAATCGGGTTGTGGTCCAGTCAGAAGTCGTAGGATCTTGCACAATAGAGGTCAAGACAGTGCTCTGGGAAGACGTCGACGTCGCAACAAGGTAGGAAAATCCTTGCCCTGAGTCACTCAGAGCAAAGCCTGTTATGGCAGCGGATGAGATGATAGCAGGGGACCGCCATTTTGTAACAATAAAATCCCCATTTGTCGCTTGGGTGATGGAGGATATCACCATAGACGGAGAAGGAGGAGTATCGGCAGACGGGGCGGATTCCACGTGCCACAGGTTTCCAGAAGTGTCCATCGCAAGTACCTCTGCAAGTTTGTTAACATACAGAAACATGAGAGAAGTAACATGTACAGACCGATCCATACCATAGATTGGTTTTCGACGTTGACTCCCTTGCGGAGCACAGCGTCCAGCTGAGTGACCTTGACAGTCTCACCCAGAGGATAAATAGATGCATATCCTCCCCTTCCATCTGCTTTGAAATAGGTCGCGCGGTGGTACTGGTCAATAGCAAAGATAAGCGGTGTTGAGGTCGTCTTGTCGATCGAGACATGTGCCAACGAGTTAAATGTACCAGAGGCAATGTTCCTCTGCTCGCCGGTATCAGCTTCGATAGGAAATATGTGGAGGCACAGCAAGACTGCGTACCACAGTAGGTAATTTTCCACAACTAGTGACGATAGCGAGACCAGATGAGAACGAATTGGACTCGTCGAGGACCTTGCCGCTCAGCAGATAGCCAAATGTCGAGTCGTCCCGTAGCCCACCAAAAAGCCCCGAGACTTCTAGTTCGATGACCGAGGAACTGGCAATTTTGACGGAGGCATCCTGGCTCCAGGTGCCTTTAACAGGGTTAATTTTAAAAACCTTGCCGTCAGACATTAGGGCGGCAATGAGGAGAGTCCCATCGTTCGTGATGAGCGGCGAAAGGGTCGAGGGCTTCCATGACGAATTGGACTTCTTCACAGCAGACCAAACAGGGTAACGAGCGGTAGTCGATAACGTATACACGTTGTGGTCGTTACCAAGAGCTACAACGAAGTCGTATCCGGAAGGTAGCAAGATGGCGCGAACGTACTGGGGAACAACGGTAGTTGCTGAGAAAAGCGTGTTAGACCCATGTTCGATCCGTCAAGGTTCAACGTAGGCAACGTGGGTACTGACGAAATCCGGTATCTTCGACGGTCCAAGTCTGAGCAGTGTTGCCGTCTGGTTCAAGAACTTGAGTAGCATTCATGATTTTGTTGTTGGTGATGTAGAAGACGTTGAGTCGCCCATTGCGATCCGTGTTGAGTGCAAGGCCGGACGTGGGCTCGCCAGATATTCCCAAGGGGGCCTGAACAGTGTAGTCCTCTTGGAGTTCGGTCTGGACGAGTATCTGAATGTTGCCTTCTGTCGCCATGATTAGCGGCACAGAATGAAGACATCTTGGTCTACTAAGGGTCGTTACTTAAATCCACGTCCGACCTGTACGCCAAATGCCGAATTTGGACCCTAGACCGTACGGCGAATCAGCGGTGCTTGACAAGGGGAAAGGAGAAACAAGGACCCCAAAGAACACACCTAAAGTCAACCAAAAACAGTATACGATGCAGAGGCATCCGGACATAAAAGGCGAGGTCTTTGAATGGGTAGGGTTGATATTGAATAGTTATTGCGGATGTTACGAGGCACCATGAAGTTGTGTCCTAACTGGAAGTCAGTCATCCCAGCTCCCCGCTATCTCAGTTTCACAACAATTGAATCTCTCCAGGAAATTTGTGAAATAATTGAGGCACCTGGATCCACGGCTCTGCTTCGAGGAACCTGGGAAGCAGCCGAACATTGGTTAGTGCCGTTTCGCAATCCGGACAAAGTGCGGGCAAAAACAATGGCCTATGCCGTGGGGGGTCAAGATCTTGTATGCCGGGACGCGTCTCCGGACGTTTTGGATAGACCACACGCCCATGCCGGTGTTTCATACGGACAAACTCTACCCGCGCCCGTGCCAACGGCAGATCGGCAGGGGTCAAAGTGACTCTACGAGCACGGGGACCACTGAATCGCATCCGCTGGGCTTCCGGCGGGCGGGATTGAAGAAAATAACTTTGAAGATATTTTGAGCCGGTTGATCAAGCGCCCAAGAAAGTTCCGGACAGATTTTGAAAACATGGCCCGAGGCCGAGTTTAATCCGGACATTTTCGCCAAAATTTGGAAAATTTTATCGGACATTTTTGGTCGATTTTGGGAATTTGTGAAACGGCATTGCCATATTCAGGGGTCCTGGGGCCTCTCGCCGTTTCGACTTCCCTTCATCCTTCAATCGTGCACGAGCTAGTGCTTTCACATTTCTTGTCCTATTCCTATCTTGTTGAATCAGTCCCCATATCTCGCTAGCGCCCTGGACACGGGACGTTTACTTCAATATAAATGATTCAACTGCGGATTTCCATCACACTGGCATAGCGCGCGTATACACGTTGTACCTGTATGGAACCATGGAGGGATCCTCATCCGCCCATCACCGTGAAAGAACCTATCACGGAGCGCTATGAATTTAATCACTTTGCTCGTAAGTAAATTTCCCCGATCGAGACATGGGTTTTCAACACGTTTTAAATACACATGTTTTAAACACGACCATTTTACACGCAACACTAGACATGGCTTCAGGCTACTGTTGTTCTTCTAGTCACCACGAAATGCTCCATTGTAACTGTCAATGAGCTCTACAAAGTGGATCAGTATCGTATAGCATCGGTATTATGTGATGTTGTAATGGTTCCTGAATTCCAAGTGTAAACGGCGTCATGATCGTCCTCCCCTTCACCAAGCTTAAGGCCTAAGGTCGTGTTGGTCTTCTTTCGGGAGACTGAAACGGCGTGGCCCGCAAGACCATCGCGGCACCGCTGTTTGGGCGTTATTGATGAACCGATTCGTCTGTTGCTGACGCCTTCGAGGTGCACCGTGCCGGCATCGAAAGTGCAATGTGTCCCAGAAAATTTCAAGTAGCAGGTGCGAGTTTCTATAATGACGGCCTTTTCACCTTCGATTTTGACGCGCAGCAACATTGTCCATGTCAGTGGGTTGTTCCTGCTTTCCTCCTCTCATCACGGTGACTCGTAGAAATCTCTGCCGGGAATCCGGGCCTTGGCAATGACATAGTGTGACCACTTGGAGGTGCCTTCGCTCTCCGTTGTTCTCATGGACAATTACACCAATCACCCGCTCTCTGTCAACTAGTCTTTGATCGAAGCATTTACAGCGCGTCTCTTTTTTCACACTGTTCATTAGTCTGGACATCACCCTTCAGTGAATTAACACGTTGAATCCGCAGCCCCGACCTATCTGCGTGCTGCACTCCGGCGATAGATCCCTCTGTGGCGATAGACCTCTCCGTGGGTTCAGACCATTCATTTTGGACCTAGTCATTGGCCTCGACATTCCCACTGACGTATACTCGTTCATCCGGTCCACTTACAAACGTCGCTTGGTTCTTCTGCTTCCATTAAAGGTTACAACTATGTTGCCGTAGTATGCAGTCTGGCCGAACGGCTGGCGGCACAGTTACGATGGAATACATATTGCCGTCAGCTGATGGCTATCGCAATCCATCTGTTCTTGTTCAAAATCCATGTTCCTAAAGGGTTTGCAGCTGAGGACACCAAGACGAGCTTGTATTTAAACTACCACTAAGTGGAAGTCCTCAGGCAACGTCCCCCCTATCTCATCTGCAATGTCACCTACTGGAGTCTTCATTCGGTCCAGTGAGCACTCCGAGCCGCACATATTTGTCCTGAACTCATTCTGCCCTCATGTAGCCATCAACGAAACTCCAGAAAGTGGGTCACATACTCTCGCCGCGTTCGTGAGTGAATTATTAGCGGCCGCTTGACTCGTCTACCATTTTCACTCTTTCTTTGGTAGAGCCCCGATATTGTCCCGCTTGGCGACACCCATGTGCCCACCGCTGATATTGCGGTGACCTATGACCACTTCATCGCCCACGAGGTCGAACCGAATGAGCGCAGTTCATTGATTTATGTCCGCGGCAGAGCACTCAAGAGTACTCAAGTCGACACCGTCATCAGCCTCAGGGCCGTTCAGAACGAACTAATCCTTTGGCCTCAGATTTGGGAGCAGGCCCCCGTCGTCGGCGAGACTGTGCTTCACGCTAAGCATAAAGATGAAGGTATATTGGATCCTCCTGACGTGTCGCGGAGTATTTTCTCAGAAGTCATTGCAGTTGTTGTCTCCGATCATCCTATCAAATATCGTCATCCTCGGGACCCTCATCGTCACGATGCCTTCGTCGCGATATCCAAGGATGCACCGGGTCCTGTCACTCTCCCTTCCGGAAGGGTCGAAAACTGGCGTGATCTGGTGAAGGTGGTTGGCAACAATCCATCCATTACCCTTTACAACGTCGTCTTCGCCGACCCTCTTTCTGCGCACGTCACGTTGAATACGCGCTTTAGACTCTTCGAAAATGTCCAGAAAACCGTGAAGTTGGCATTTGTTGTCGAGGCATGTACCTATTTTCGTATGCGATTTCGCTCTCACCTGATAGTGCGACAAGGCCGTAGGAACTCCTCACACTGGTCTCGAGGCTTCCCTGTCATTCATTGGAGCTTTGCCGGACAATTCGAACTTCTCATTCAAACGCCCTCGCGTTCCTCTGCACCCATCCTCCACCGACACCGAGACCACCATTGACGTCCCAGCCGGGGTAGACGGCACCCTGACGCTGGAAGTCTTCAACCCGCAGGAGCTCAACCTTGGCAATGATACATCCGTATCTGTCGCCGTCTATGCTGTCATCTCTGTGCAGGGTGCAGAAGACCACGTACTTCTTGGGGCTGAACATGTCATATTCGACGCCAATACCCGTGTCAAGAAACTTCTCCGCCGTCATGAGGCACGGGCTGTTAAGGCGTCTGCCAGAGTCAAGGCGTCTGTGTTTGCTAAGGCCTCTGCGCAGTCAAAGGAGTCGACGGATACATCGTCTGATACTTATCCTTTTTATTTCCGGTGCTCAACCTCCGATGGCCCAACCTTCCCGAGGGAGGGAATTACCTGGCATTCTCCTGGTGAATCTTGATCCATGAAGTACCTCCTTTTCCGGACCAGCTGACTCCAATACCAGATATTCAACCTCTGGGTACAGCTCCTGATGGCAATATATTGAGCGATCTTGGATCCAACAACTACACGGTTGACGTGTCCAGCCAGAAACAAATTGTAAGTGGTCAGTATCTGGAGACTCGCCTTATATCTGATGACTCTTCTAGAACACTGTACAGGGTACATCTAATTACATCTACATACGTGGTACCACGACGACCACCGATCACACCTCTGGTCAGATCCGCTTGTTCGCAGTGCCGTCCTCGGTGCTCCTCCACCCGTCTCAGTACGTCAACTACAGCATCAATGACTACGATGAAGATGGGGAGCCGTACAAAGCCATTCGCAAGTACTCGACGAGTGCTGCCGAGAAGCCCCTCATTATCACCAAGCCATTCAATCACAACAACCCCACGCCACCCTCTGGTGCAGACCACTGGTGCTACATCTCGGAGTGCAGGCCCGATGGGGAGGACGAGAACGGTGACGAGTACGAGTGGCCGCACGAGTATTCGGGCGACTTCGCCACGTGTGACGAGTTTGCGACGTGGATCCGCAACCAGCCATACGTTATCCAGAGGAACACGTCCTTCGTGACCAACCCCGATGCCGACTCGCAGCATTTCAGGACGTGCTTCACGATACCCAGTGAGCCCTCCGCCGCCTCAGCGATTGCGATCGCGTTGACGTAGTTTCAAACAGCCAAATTCAGCAAGAAGGATCAATTCGCCTTTCAGGTCAGAGCTATCAATTGCCCCGTTGGCTCGGAGTTGTGTGTCTTTTCGTCATCATGCAAATTTCTCGCCTTAATTTCCCACTAGCTCCATGGATTCTGATGATGCCGACATACAGCTAGGCAAGACGACTGTTGCCAATTCGGACGTTGTGAGTATAACATTGGCCCACGAATGAACCGGCAGGTCACACATATTCTTTTAGTCGTCCGGTCCCAACTTTTCAGGCAAGGAGCCGGGCTATTCCTGCCAGGTGAACATTCACTGGTACGCGAAAGGTACGACAGTGAAGAGCGGGCAGAGGCTCGAAGGCAATCTTGTACACAAGTCCAAGGTGACAAGGTGAACATTCTACACTCAGCGATAGTCCATGATTTTGAAACTCTCGCCTGTCCAGCGCGGCCGCGCAGAAGTCAAAGAAAAACAATCTTAGCACGTCATCTAAGGCGGCGACCTTCACGGTTGGCCATGACTATCCGAACTTGAAAGCCTCCGAGACCAAAGGTCCGAAGAAGATCGGTGGTGCATTCGTGCAGCTTGCAGCAGGAGCCATACACTCCCGCAAGGCGGCGGTCTACGAGGAGATCTTGATTGGTAGCGATATTTTGCAGTTCAAGTCGTCTTAGAGTTGCAGGTACGACATCACAGCGAATATCTTCGTCTTATGTGTCTCGGTTGTCCGTATTGCTGATGTACCTTTTGCCGGATGTTGCGTGCAGTGTAGTTGCCCCGTTGAAAGCTGCGATGTTCTTCCTGGTGGTCACGATACCGCTGCGTACTACATGTGTTGTGAATGCAATCCAGTTGGAGTATCGCCTCGTGCCTTAACCTTGCATGACACGACGTTGTCCAATATGATGAAGGTATGATTGCCCATAATACAATATGTTAACTTCTACGAAGATCTCTTCACGAACACCGCCTCAACCGACCATACTACGCTTCCGACCTCTGAGACGGACTGCAGAGCATTGTTGAGTATCAATACGCGGAGATCACAAATCGACGCACCATCATCTAGTCTTCTAGCGATCGGAAGCCAATCCTTTCCCATCTTGACCTCGTACGCCTTTAGTACCGAGGCAAAGAGGGACTCGGAAGCCGGATGTGTCGAGGAGAATGCGCGCTCGAGAACGTACAGATCGACAGCTTTGTCTTCAACCAGAGCAGAGGTGTAGGCCAAGCCGAAGTCAATTAGCACCTGCGTGTGCGAGCTGAATTTAATACAAAAGAACGAAGTGGTCGAAGGGATCATACAAGCTGCACACCCTTCGGTGAGGACGGATGTCGGAGGAGCATGTTTGAGGTCGTGAGATCACCATGGACGATATCCGCCTGATGCGTCTTCGCGATCTCGGTGCCGATCATCTGCATTATATTGTCTAGGATGTCCTCTTTGTCAAAGACAGGTCCAGAGAGCGCAAATTAGTCGTTGCACCTTGGGTAACACCATACTCCAGGAGAGGATCGTCTTCCACTTGTTCGTCGCCTTCCTCGATCTCTTCTGTTTCGTCCTCACCCTCTGCGCCGCGGCCAAGCAGAAAGCGCACGCTCTGTCCTTCTATCCATTCAATGCCTAGGATGCCTTGTGCAGCATCTACCATTCGTATACCAGGCACGTTGACGCCGTACCTATGCCGAGCTCTATTGGACATTTCATGTTACGACATCTTGAGAGAACGCACCGTAAACATTTGATCAATGCGCGAGCTTCACCCGCAACTCGCGATTTCGTTAGAGACGCATCGAGTGTCGGATGGCGATAGAGCTTGTGAAATCGATATTTCAGCAGCACAAAATCAGAATTTGGTTCACATTCCACGCCTACTGTCACATCTGTGCGAAGACGGACCGGAGACGGGTGAAGCTGGACCTTGTAGACTTTCTGTAAGGTGCGGTCCAAGATTCAATGGCGTTAGACGGTACAGAGGCGATCAGACTTGCTGCTTCAGCGCCTTGAGATATCGGGACGGCCGATTCCAGGAGTCTCAGCGAAGGTGAAGAGCTCATGGTGAACGGAAGTAAACCGCAGGCCCCGGAGTACTTTAGACTCAAGATAGATGTCCGTTTTTCGAACAGACAACCCGACAAAAATGTAGAAAACTTGTCAGATCGTACTCGAGCGGTAAATCTTACGCCAAGAACCAGCGCATTTGGTCTATATTCGCGTTCGAACGACGAAGACTAGTCTCCCAAAGGCAGATTACAAAATCGGTCCTATGAGAAGTCACAGAAGCGACTCGAGGGACGGACTGATAAGACGCGATTGTCCATGCCAGCCCTCACATCAGGTCTGGGACTACTTACCTATAATAGACCTTTCGTCTTTAGCACCAATAAATACAAATAAATTTCCTCCGACTATACTGTACTATTTCGACCAACCGTTCAACCGTTGTGATGCGTGACCCGCGTTCAACGGTTCGGAGGCCGCCGTGAGGACAAATGGTTCAGTTCAATTCACGCCGGGTGCTAACCCGCTGCAGAAGGCGTGAGAAAACTGTGAATTAGCCTTGAGCTTGAGTTCGGAGACTCTTGTGACGCGTGACTTTGAACTCAGAGGCTTGTGTGATGCGTGACTGAACAGTTGGTCGAAATAGTACAGTACCTTCGTTCAACCGGGCCTATTACATATGGGAACTAGGACAGCGCCTATCTCTGCCAGTGTGAATTTTCGGCGCCGACGTTCATAGCAGTCATTATCCACGCTCTCTCGACGCGGCCACGACGCCAACGACGCCAACGACGCCAAGACGACGACGCACTACACGATACTGACGACGTCAGAAGCTCTTTTATAAGGTACGCTCAAAATTGTGAGTCCGCACGTATCTTCTCTGACCTCCACCACCACAGAAAACATGGCACCGTACTCCAAGCCCGAGACGGTGTTGAAGCAGGCCGAAGGTCTTGTCTCCGTCGGGCAGAACCATGCAGCTCTCCAGTCTCTCACCGAAATGTTCTCCTCCAAACGATTCCGCTCTACCCCGCTTGCCTCCCTTGAACCCATTGTCGTCCGCTTTATCGAACTTTGTGTCGACATGCGCAAGGGTCGTACAGCCAAGGAGGGCCTCATGCAATACAAAAATATAGCACAAAACAGCAGTGTTGCATCGATCGAAGTCGTCGTAAACCGATTTATCCAGCTTGCCGATGCCAAGGTGCAGGAAGCGCAGGAAAAAGCAGATAAGGCAGTCGCACTCGACGTCGATGATCTCGAGGCTAGCGAGACCCCGGAGGGCATCCTATTGGGTGCGGTGAGTGGAGATCAGAATAAGGACAGGACTGATCGGGCACTTGTCACCCCTTGGCTCAAATTCCTCTGGGAGAGCTATCGCACGGCCCTGGAAACATTGAAAAACAATGCGCGGCTGGAGGTTATCTACCAGGTGAGTACATTTAGTGCGAGCATTCGCGGACGGACGTCCATTTTGACATCGGTACAGCAAGTTGCACAGCAAGCGTTCAAGTTTTGCCTGAAGCACCAGCGCAAGGTTGAATTCCGCCGCCTGTGCGAAACCTTGCGGCTGCACCTGTCAAACGTAGCCAAGTATGCCCACCAACCCCACGCGATCAATCTCTCGGACCCGGACGTCCTGCAGCATTACCTGGACACGCGCTTCGCACAGCTGAACACGTCCGTCGAGCTCGAGCTATGGCAGGAGGCATTCAGGTCGGTCGAGGATGTACACAATTTGCTGACAATGGCGAAGAAGGCGCCGCGGCCGGCCATGATGGCCAACTACTACGAGAAACTCACCCGCATCTTCCTGATGAGCGGCAACGCGTTGTATCATGCGGCTGCCTGGAATCGCTACTACGCAGTTGTGACTGCGATCGGCGGTAAGTCTCCAGAGGAGATGGGCAAACTTGCGGGGCAGGTGCTCGTGAGCGCTTTGGCGGTGCCCGTTGGGCTACAGAGTGAGGAGAGTGCGGTAGAGGAGGGCAAGGGCAAGAATGCACGGTTAACCGCGCTGCTTGGCCTGACCAGGCCGCCTACCCGAACAGGGCTACTGAAGGACGCTGTACGTCCAATTTTTATTTACAATCTTATAGACTGGCTCATGGACGCTTTTCTAGCTCGCACGCAACGTACTTAAGTTGTCGCCCAAGCTGGTGAAGTCGTTGTACAACATCCTCGAAGTGACGTTCGATCCTCTTATGCTCTGTTCGTCTGTCGTGCCGCTGCTCAAGGAGCTCCCGCAAGATGCCGCATACGCATCTTACGTCCCCCTCCTGCAACGCGCGCTGCTCTCCCGTCTGCTTTCCCAACTTTCCCAAGTTTACTCATCAATCACGATCAGCAACCTGCTTGAGCTCGTTGAACCCCTGCGCAACACTGTGATCGAGGGCTCCGCCTCGTACGATGTCGAACAAGTCGAGGCATACGTCATGGGCTGCGCCCGGCGCGGCGAGCTCAGCGTCCGCGTGGACCATAGCGAAGGCAGCATCACGTTCGTGGACAACCCATTCACGGCTGTCGAGGATCCCAGCTCGTCCACGCCCATGGCCAGCGTCAGCGCAGTGCAGCCATCAACGTCCGAGTTCATCCGCACACGACTCAGCTGCTTCGCGACGTGTCTCCACAATTCGCTCATCACGTTGTACCCACCCGCTGAACTCAGCGAGGAAGAGCAGCAGGCAAAGTTCGCGGCACTGGTGGGCGCTGCGCAGGCCGAGCGCAAGGCGCTGCAGCTGCGCCGTGCACTCGTGGCGCGCCGTCGCGAGCTCCTCTCTGAGTTATCCGTCCGCAAGGAGAAGGAGGAGGCGAGCCGGCGTGCTGAGGTCAGTCGACGGGAGAAGGAGGAGGAGACCCGCAAGGCGCTAGAGGATGTCAGAAGGAAGGAGACGGAGCGCGCCAAACGCGAAATAGAAAACATCAGGAACGAGGAGGCGAGGAAGCTCGCTCAGAGTCTGAAAGAGAAAGGCAGCCTCAAGGTTGATATCAATGTGAGTAACATACCCACTTACATTCTCGCACGAGTGTTTAACTGACCCTCTGCGGTAGGATATGGAAAACCTGAACACGGACAACCTTATGCGACTGCAGGTTGAGCAGTTAGAGAAGGAGAAGAAGGAGCTTAACGAGCGCATGCGCGTCGCAGCGAAGCGCCTCGATCATACCGAGCGTGCCTACCGTAAGGACGAACGGCCTCTCCTCGCTCAAGACTACGAGGCTCAGCAAACAAATGACCGCGCCGCATTTGAGGCCAGCCAAAAAGCTCGGCTTGGGGGCCATAGACTTGCTCATCAGCAGGATCTAGAGACGAAGAAACGCCTAGCTCGTATGACGGAGGAGTACGATGCGAGACGGGAAGCCATTGTGAGCAAGCGAGGCGAAGAGTTTGCCAAGAGGCAGGAGCAAGCGCGGAAGAAGATTGAAGAGGAAAAGGCAAAGAGGAGAAATGCCGTTCTCAAGGCACGCGAGGAGGAGAGACAATTACGCGAAGAAGAGGAGCGAATCAGGAGAGAGAAGGAGGAGGAAGAAGCAGCCAAGGAAGCAGGTTTGTGTCAAGCTATCTGCGTTTGGATCGGTCTCGTTGATCAGTTCTTTTGCAGAGCGTGTCGCAGAGCAAGAACGGCGCGCAGCGGAAGAAGCCGCTGTCCATGAAGAGGTAGAAGCCAAAAAGCGGCGAGAAGAAGAGGAACGTGCAGAAACACGGAAGAAGAAGGAACTAGAACGAGCTGCGATGTTGGAGACGGTTCGTCAAAAACAGCAACGAGAGGAAGAAGCCCTTGCGAAGGCTGCCGCTCGCGCTGCGGAGCGAACCAATCCGCCATCAACCCAAGTTCGCTCTTCTGCTAGTGGAGAATCGGGTGCTTGGAGAAGGGCGACTCCGGCCGCAGCCACTCCTCCTCGCTCGGAATCCCCTGCTCCTGCGAAGTTCAGACCAGGTGCCGCCCCAGGTGGATGGCGTGCAAGAGAGGCAGCCAGGAAGGGCAGTGAAGCCGACGGAGGTGCTGCTCCTGCTCGTCCTGCTTCTCCTTCGATCAGACAACCTCCTGCTAAAGAGACTCTTGCTCCCTCGCCCAAGGACGTTGATGGCTTCCAGACCATCGAGAAAAAGGGTGTTTGGCGTCCATCAAGAGGTCGGGGCCGGGCGTTGTAATGTTGCACTCCATTGTATTTCTTTTCTTTGTATCGCGTTCGTCACGCTTGCAATCACTATGCATTCTCTGCTAACTCGTGTAGAATGGATGGATGATAACTTATGAAGACATGGTACTGTACAGTACTGTAACGATGATACACCGGCTCTACAAATGAGTGGAAGGTGGAATGTCCCAAAGTCTAGGCCTATAATCTAATAATGGTCCTGAGCAAACTTACATCAGGCCAAAGCTACGTCACATCTTCCTCTTCCGCTGCATCCATCATTTCTGAGGAGCGAATCAGTCAAAGAACAACTAGGATCAAAAGTAAACGCACCTTTCCACATGGACTTCTGCATCGAAGACATAATATGGTCGGGATCCTCGTCGATCCGAGAGTCCCGAGCAGAGAAATCAGATCTGTTGGACAGGCTCATCATGTATATCGCACGCCGCTCAGGAGACACGTACGATAACCGTGAGCCTATGTCTACGGAGAGCATGCTTAATTCACTGGTTCTCCGACTTCTCTGCAATCCAGGCCGGGAAGGCGTATCCAGAGTTAACGAAAGCTCCGGTAAGTTGCCTCCTAGAGGCGCCAGAGGAGAGTCGGAATCGACGAATCGACGCATTGTAGTGTCTTGTCCCGGCGAAGTGATATCACGCGTACTGGAAGGAGGAGTGGTTGGATGGCTATCGACAACAATAGCAGGGATATCTGACACAACCTCAGATAATTATCTTGACTGTTGGAAGCGCACTGACCTTGCATGCTCAGCTCCTTCCTCCGCGCCTGTTCTCTCATTGCCACATACCGTCGGCGGTTGGTGATCATAAGGAGCAGCGACTGCACACGATCGAAGTCGACGAGATCGGTAACAAGTTTGTTAGTCTCCGTCCGAACTACAAGGTCCTTCAGACTAAAGTAATGGTCAGCTCGGTTCTGAGAGGTAGTCAGAAGCAAAACTGACATCAGGGCCTCGCGGTCGACAATGAGCTTGTGATGGGCCAATAAAAGAAGCATATTCGTGAACGAAATGCCCTTCCCGGGTTCATGGGAGATGCGTGCCTCGTGATAAAGGCGATTATACAGATTTTTCCTCTTCTTGATACCATTGCGATCGATGCCACCTAGGACTGTGTTAAGTTTCTCCAAACTCATCCCGCCATCAAGAATTTTGAGAGGCCACGCAGTGTTCGGAGATGGCGTCTCTCTAGACTTGGCCATAACCTTTGGTATGGCGTACTCCGCAGGATAAATTCTGACTTCAAAGATACCGCTTAGTTTCTGTGATACAGATTTTAATCACCGACATTTATACAGTGTAGATGGCTACATACGCCGAATAAAGGAACGAAACGATTGCGTTCCAGGTATCCTGTTTTGGGGTTGGCAAACTCGGCCCATACTTTCTTGAATGCACGCATTTCTTCCCGAGTTACGGACTTAGCTCCTTCGGTCATCTGAAACACGTAGTAGAAGCTTTCGACAACGACACCTATTGAAGATCAGTCAATGCATGCCGTCTGATATAGGGTGTTATGCATACCAGTGAACAGATTGACAAAGATATACTGAGTAAGATCAGATATTATCAGCAGCTCTTAGGCGCTGTTGGGTAGCGCTGTTGGTATACAAGCGCCACTCACCATGCTGAGAAGATTCCAAGCGATGAACAGAGTGAAGGCCCAGCCTACACTTCCGCAATCTGAATCGCCGTTCGGCAGATTCGTACAGCGAGGATAAACGAGTGCACTGGGAATACGGTGAGATAGGAGGAGCGTACGCGAGAAAATTTACGCACAAATCGTGCATATATTGATTCCACCCCTCGCTGCAAAGGTCGGTATCTGAGTCGACCACTTTCGGGATAAACTGTGCGCACTTACCCAGTTGTCATGAACGCCAGCATTACCAGCGCTTTGGACATGGAAGTATAATTTTGATTCCGGGTTTCCGCTGAATTCCATTTTGTCAAGCTGAAAATCTCCACGAACAATATCGCGAAGAATAAAAATAGGATAAGCCACAGTCCTAGCAGACTAGCAATGACAGGTAAGCTGGCTCTGTGGTATTAGATGTCAGATAAGACAACTGCAAGGCGTGTGGATCTGCATACACTGCAGTCTTGAATAGTTTGTTGAGATTGTTCATTCGCTGGACCAATTTCAAGGCAATACAAGTGACGAAAACCTTCTGGAGCTGCTCTACAGCGAAGGTTGGTTCAAAGCGCGTGATGATCGTGGTGAAAAGACTGCCGCCAGCAACAACAATGTCGAAGAGGTTCCATCCGTTAGCACTAAAGCTTTTCCAGCCCAGGCCGTATAAACGTATCAGAGTGTCGATAGTGTAAATGGCAGTGACAAAGATGACGAAGTAGTCTATGGGGAGGGTCAGATAGCGATATCCGACGAAGTGGTTCACTACTGACCGCGAATGTTATCGAAGACCGTGTTAGTGCTTACACTTTCAGTCCTGTAGACGGCTATCAGGAAAAATATGCGTGTGTGTCTTCCTTACTCACATTAAAGCAACTACGTGAAACAAAAATAGCGTTGTCATCATGCGATGCCACCAGCCGTGCTTGTGCACTGCGCGGTCGAAGCACCATGACCTAATGTGCCAGGTAGGCCTTGTCTTCGGCCGCTTTGAAGGTCTCTGACGCTTGATCAGCTTTTGAAGATCAATCCACTCCAGTTGCTGTCGGGTCAACAGGGCGGTACCAGTCCTCGAAGTGAAATTACCGATGATTATACTGCACCGAGCATTAGCTATCCATAAAAGGTAGTGACATATGGGCAACTCGCCTGACGAAGAGTGTTAGAATAACGACGGCTCCCAAGAGGTTATATATAAGGAAAAAGATGGAGTTGAACTGTGATGCATTCATCTGGGGTTGCTGGCCCGTCCCTGTGATGCTGGTGGCTACTGTCATGACGTCGATCCATCCTTCAAGGGAGACAATTTCAAATAAGATCAGTAAGGAAGCTTTGAAATTGTCGAATGAGAATGTCGTAGATGGAGAAGGGTGATTCCAGACGCGCGGGACGGGGAAGCCGAACGAATTCCCGTATATGGTGTTACTATACTCATTGATACACCCGCTGACACCGGTGACGCCGGAATCATTACACTCGTTCATACGGCCAGCGAAGATGTTCAAGCCCCAGACAGCATAAGGGATCATGTATAGGATGGCCAGGAGCGCGGCGTCAAGGATACGCGCTACACCAGATATGATGAGAGATTCAAAGGTGAACCTCATCTTGTCAATCAGCGTGATCAGACGCAAGGCGCGCAGGGCCTTCAAGGCCCTAGTAAGACGGCTCAGGCCTCCGATGAAGATTAGTCCTGTAGTAACGTTGACAAGGACTCCGCCCAAGATGAGAAAGTCCAATACATTCCATATGCTGCGCGCATAAGCGTTAGGTGTGAACAGAAACCCATCTGCGACGATCTTGATCAGAAACTCCACGAATAAGGTCAAGCCAAAGGATGTTTCGGCCATGTCGAACCAAGACCCACGAACTAGACCATGCTCGATGTACCAGTTGCGACGATATAATGGCGTGGCAATAGTTTCCACCACGATACCGCCTATTACCGTCAGTAGTAACACGAGCTGGAAGATGGTGTGCGCGACAGGAGAATGTGGAGTGCCAAAAATCCGCTCTCCTCCCGCGGGAGCCACAAGCTTTTGGCAGATGCGTCGTAACCAGTTTTTCTGGGAGAATATCCAGAAGGTCATGTCATATGTAGGATGATCACGAATGAAATCTGCCTTCTGTGCACGATGTTCATACAGGTCGTCGGTTAAGTCTTCGGCAGCCGCAGTCTCGGAATTCAGGGCAGCGAGAACTTCACTATCATCAGGTTAAGAGTGGGAGCCGCAACCGCGGTACGATGAAGGTATAACTCACAGATGCCGTTCAGTCTCTTCATCGACTGGATCTTGTGGTATCGTGGAGTCTCTTCGCCCATTTCTAATTGTGGCCATTGGTACATCATTGGCATCGGTTTCACCTGCAAAGAGACGTTGGAGTCTTTTGAGATACGACCTGGTACGTTGCCTGGGTGGAGCCTTCCCTCCCGCAGAATCCTGAGGCCCATGTAGTCAGTGCATAACTTGTCACCAAATGGCCAAAGAAGACTTACATTGATGGCACTGAGTTCCTTACGTGACATGTTGTAATCATCGATCAAGGTTCTCTGCATTGGGAGGACGAGATTGGGCGGGAGTTGCTCAACAGCGATTGCCTTAGGTTGCGCTTTCAACCATCTGTACGGATTGAGTTTGCGAAGCCAGGCGATGCGAGTCTTCTGAGGGCGATGAGACGCCCAATAATGAGAAGCTTGTCTGCCACGTTTGGACTCTTCAGCAACCTGAAAGTTTTCGTTGATCACAGCGATGAACATCTGCAAAACGATGACTACGACGCCTTAGCATAGGAAATTGACGAGCGGAAAGCTACTTACAGTTGGCAAATAAAAACCATCCTGAGATGAATAGGATGACAATGGGGCTTTGCCTAAGAGGGATCTCAGGTTCCGCGGAACCGTAGAGAACATTGGTCCAGTTCTCGGAAGAGAACACCTGATAAACGGCGAGAAACGAGTTGTAGACTTGGCCCCAGTCGATGAGGTTGCCACGCGGGACATCACCGCGCAGTAGTTGGACACCAATAAGTGCCGCGATGAAGTTCATTAAGAGAAGGAATAGTGTCATATTGGCCAGACCATACATGTTACCAAACACAGCAAGCTAGAAGTGAAAAGTGAGGTCCATTTAGGTTTAATGATTAGCACATTGATACTCACCAGCAATGGTTTCATCCTTGGAATTTCTAGAATGACACGATAGAACCTTGCCAGCTGGAATATCGTCAACCATGGATACACAGAAGATGAATGTATGACAGGAATCTGAATGATGCTGGAGCCAATCGCCAGAATTAGGTCTAGCACATTTTGTCCTCCGCGAAAGAAGTTTCGCCAGTCTGGTAATTCCGCCAGTACTCGGATGATTATCTCAGAGTCAAAGACGATAGTCAGGACAAGTTCACCGATGTTCAGAATCGCATCATGTGCCGGGCCAACATCTACTGTGCGCGTTGCCTGCAGAACCACAGAAGTAAGTGCCAACGCAACCCAGCACCAGCGGATGCTCTCAAAAATGCTCTTGATACGATTGCGAGTGGCAACACGCCTGCCGTCAACGATCGCCCAGCCTTCGTCGCTTTCCTCTACGACAGGCGCAGCCCTAACATTGCAGGAAAGAATTAGCAAGCTATTGTGCTCAGTTTTCGACTCGGGACGCACGCAGCGGCGCCAAACGCGCTTTTCTTGGTGTCTGACCTGATGGCCGCGAAGCTGTTGGTGATCACGGCGACGAAGAGGTTGATGAGCCAGAAATTGAGTACGATGATGCAGACGATGAAGAAGGAACATGAGATGAAGAGTTCGGCGTCCATCATTGAGTACATGACCGGACTCCACTGCACAGATTGGAGGAATCGTCAATCACCTTGTACATTATCATCAGGACACCACGTACGCCGTTGGCAGAGGTTACTATGATAACTTGCAATGCTGCATAGTAGATGGTGTCGAAGCTTTGTATATTGTCAAAAGGATTCAAGGCAGTCTCCTATGAGAGATTCAGGTCGAGTCCTCATGCCTATGCGAAGTATGCACTCACCACGCAGACCTGGCCCAAAGGACAGACATATCCCTTGATAGTCCCATTAGAACCGTCAGCAGAGATATACGGCATCACTTCCAGAGTGTCTGGATCAATGTATGCTCCACAACGTTGTGTCAAAGCGGTCTCATTGACCTCCAGCACGGCCGAAAGTTGGCACGAGCGTCGAAACGAGCCCTTAAATGTTTGAATGCTGATGATACTGCGATGCGTAAGCCAAGGGACACCACCACAGATATAACACAACATACGAGAATAGAATCATAGCGAACAGCACAAAGTAAGCGACACTCGCAATCAACGGACGTGCGGTTTTCAGTGAACGCATGATGGTCTGAGAAATCAGGATTTATAACGACTCAAAACTTGGATTCTTCAGCTGACAATATATAGCTCACCGTTGTACCGGAGGTGATCGCGAGCAATCTGGCTATTCTCAGCACGCTCATAGCGCGGAACACGCCAATGTGATAGGTACCTCGTTCGACACCTGCCATTGAGAGAGCGAACGATATCCAGAAGCTCACGATCGCCACAAAATCAATTCTGCTCCAACTGTGTCGAAGATACGGGATGTTCTTCTGGGTCTGGACCTGCGCGTTCGTCACGCTTAGTCGGAAAGGGAGGGAAAGAACGTCCGCGTTCTCCGAACGCAATGCCGTAGCCATAAAATTCGGTTGTGATGGATTGCGCATGTGCGCGTACGCGTGCCGTGTCGAAGATATAACCTTCTCTATCATGGGAGTCTTGGACTGTACTGTGTCCGAGCGGCTACGAGCATTTATCCCCTTAGGCAAAGACACAGAAGACGCATTTGCAGGGAACGTGTGTGGCAATGCAAATAGCCGCCGGAGATTCGCTCGAAAGTGGTTGAGCCACTGGGAGAAGGCGAGTTTGTTCCGCGACGAAAACTGAGACTGAGATTGAGAGTGAGAAGTCGCGACTGAACCGTGGCGAGCGAGTGATGGGTCAGTAGAAGACGGTGGTATCGTTGCGTCGTGGTATGCTTTAAAAGACACGAAGGAGAGAAGGTTCGAGACGGGAACGTCGGGATCTAGGAGAAAACCGGAGACACTAATACGAGCGAAAGCTTCGAACCTGCAAAGAGTTAGCATGCAGAAAAGTATGGCTAGCAGCGAACTCACGTAAACAAGCAAAACAATACAAATAGTGCGTAGTCCTCCCAGCTGTGGAAGTAACCTTTTACATTTGGTGGCGATCCGCTACCGTCCGCCGGCAGCGCAGCAGAGTGGACAGCCTGGAGTGTCAGTACCACAGCGTTGAAGATGATCAGTAGCAGTATGAGAGGCTCCGTCCATCTGAGACGAATGATGGTTCAGCTGAAAATAATACGTGGCACGACTGACGACTTACGGATACACCAAGAACTTATACATAGCCAGCCGCACTTTGCTTGTCGGGCCCATACAAGCCAACGTCCTGCCGCGGATAGGCAGCGCTCTTCTGAGATCGGGCAGATCCTCCTCCTCAGTCAAGGTCTCATCTCCATCATCCTCCACCTCTAGCTCCTTCCCTATGAAGGTGCTCTGAGAATCACCCTCCATGTCTGCCAACCGCACATGCTCGTCTAGACCAAACCCAGCAAGGTTCACGACACGTATGGACGCCCGTCGCAGGTTCCGCGATACCGCCATCAAACGCGTGCCAGTTGACTTGAATGGAGACGACCCGTACCGTGCAGTCTTCCGCCGCAAACGGAGCGTCCCACCTGAGAGCTCGGGATCCACGTCCTCCCCCAGACTCCAGCCACTACTGGTGCCAGGACGCGACATGTTGCTTGTCAAGCGCGCCTCGTCATCCTCCCTGTGCCCTTCTGTCATGTCCCCGGTCCCGCGGTAGTCGGCTGAGATGAGCGATACGGATGATGGACCCGGTTGCGCTGATGGATAGACGGCGGTAGTGTTGTCGTAGCTCCGCGAAGAAATGTCGTGGGCGAAGGGACTATCGTCATCCACCGGCGACAAAAATGGGTCGTCCGAAGGATCCCAGCTGGTCGCAATAGGCTTCAGCCGTTCGGACTCCGCGAGAGACGAAGGTATATCGAAGCGCAACGGATCCTGCGTCGTATCCGCTCTACCCCAGCTCGCCCTGCGACGCGCAAAACTGTTCCCCACACTGTTCGAAGGATTGAGCGAAGGAGAGGCCGGTCGCGAACTAGCGATACCAGCGGGAGTTCCTGTCAAGTCGAGAGCTGAAGACGACGAGTCTGTGTCCATCGACTGGAACAGTAATGTGAGTTAATGCGCCCTGCGTACGACAATTAGCATGAACAGTCCTGGGTACAGTCCGATTCTAAATATTGTCCTGAGTCGGTCCAATTTTATGAGCTCCAGAGCAGACCGAATAAAAAAGTTAACAGACTCAAGCTCTTCGATGTCGACTGCGGTGATGGAAGTATGTCGATCGCTAGTAGTTGGGTTAGAACGCACATGTAGCGTCATTACGACAAACCAGAAGCCTCCCCTTTCAGGAAGTTGTAATGGTTTTAGACTTCTTGTTTCGGTCTGTACACGCAGCCGAAATAGCAAATTTCCTATCCCCACTACACAAGAAGCAATATTGCTCACTATTTTTCGCGGAAAACCCGCTAGAAAGGGTTAAAGTAAAGCACACAGAAAAACTGTGGAAAAATAATAAAGAATTTCTCCAGGTCTCAGCTGCTGATTGGACAATCACGGTATTTCCCACGAAAATTCATTATGCTTTCTTCAATGCATTTTCTCAGGGTTTGACTGAGAAATACTATGCGTCTTGTGCTAGTGGCCGTCTCCAGCTTACAGATGTGGTAGCCCTGCAAGACATTGTCGTCGACAAGCTCTAGCCTTGCGAAGTCGACTGTTTCTATGCTCAACGCGAGAAGAAAACGGCATGGGCCGGAATATTTGGGCCGTAAGATGGTATCTTTTTAATATGGAACGGAGGTCATGCTGCCCGACAGGACGTCGAGCTCAGCGAAGGCTGGGAACAAGCATGCAGGGTAACACGGGAAGCGGTCTTCACCTTCTGTCCGTTGCGGAGACTCGAGTACATTTCCTACTGTTCTAAGGAGCCCCCAGATCTTCGAACGGTTCTAGCTCCCTGAATTCCTTCTCCACCGGCGTGCACAAGGGGATGGCACTCTGTCCTTGCAAGAGTATCTCTGACCGAAGGTTTCTGGCGGTGGATTACTGGAGCAAGAGACATCAGTCAACAGAAATAAGAGAACATGAAGTGTGCAATAAGCGTTACGTACACTTGTCCAAATGTGCTAAACGTGCAATTGAAGAGATAAGACAGCTACGAATAGTGGCACGGGTGCGCGAAGACTGAGCGGAAAAGGTGGTCTTCGTGCAGTCTATGCCTGGCATCTGTGAAAATGTGATAGCGTCAGGAGCATCGTCCAGAAGCCTCCAACTCCGAAGATCGGGTCGGTACTGCCTACTCATCATGTCTCAATCAAGGTCACCTCATCGCGAAGGTCGGAGAATGTGTGCGGACAAGAAAGAGCAGGAGGTGTATAATCTGGAATGATTATCTGCATGAATATTATGTCTGGTGACTTTCGAGGACAATAATGGTGTAGAACAGATGTAACGGAACTACATGGTGAGAGGGATGATGTGGTCAGTTGGCGTTTGCTTGAGAAAATTCGTAGGTTGTCTTGACAGACAAATTTAAAGAGGATCAAATGCCTTCATTTTTTGTATTGTCACGGTGCTGTCATACAGTGCATTGGCTTCCGCCGACTTGTTCACCAGAAACCTTGATCTTATTTTTCGGAGGTCGGTGAACTACGTCACCTTCCTTTTATGGACAGGTGTTGGTGGCAGGTGTTTTGCATGCTGTTGATCTCAAGTTGATCTCAAACCTACAGGCACCGGCTGAGTACTAGTGCATATTCTGCTTCAATTTTCGCACCCAAGGATATCGGTTTCTGGTGCAACAGGCTAACCTTGATCTGCCACTCACTGTTGTACACAGCTTGTGACCAAAATCCTTGCGCCACTGCGAGCACAAAGATCCAAAACCCATACTCTCCACTATCTGCAACTATCTCCTTTTCAGAAGTGCTCTACGCGGAACTCGAGACGTTTCATACCTACTTTCTAGTACGTTTAGTCCAAAGATCTCAACTTAGAACGGTTTCTGACAGCCTGGAAGACAAGGTAGCTTACAGAAGTCACGATCTCCGCGAGACAAGAGAAACACATACTATAGTACTTCTATCTGGTTTGGCACCAAGCTGTTGTCTTTGCTACGTCACCAGATCCGACTACTGTGGCCGCTGGCGACGATGTCAAGCTCCTACCACCACAATTACACGAGATATTCGTCGTACAATTATCAGAAACCACGCTGTGTCGATGCTCAATCTGAATATGCGCATGATAGGGAAAGCGACCAGTTTCCACCCTCTTCGCAGTCATCGTATTTCACCGGGGACAACCACTCGGATCCATTCTGTGCGCCTGAAGGATCTGGTGTATACGAGGCCGCATACCCTGAAGTTCCATCTCATAGTTGGGCTCATGAACCGATGCACGGCCCCTACGCCCGTGGATACGTATTCCCAGGAGATCCCAGCTTGCAGAGAAGATCACCATTCCCAGAAACGAGGGCTCCTCTGCCCGATGCGCGCGATTCGCTTTCAGTGACACCGCCGCTGCCCCGCTCACCATCTCCAAGCTACGTCTCGCTCGCGGAGAGGTCCTCGTCTCACGTATCCGACCCATCGACATCCAGGAAACTCCTGATACTTGACCTCAATGGTACTCTGCTGTTCCGTTCTGGGCACATGCTGCGTCCAAAGGGCAGGTTACCCTTTGAGCGAGCACACGACGAGAGTGGGAGGCGGCTCCCGCGGTTGCGGCCTGTGCATCCCCGGCCGTACATGCCCACGTTCCGCTCGTACCTTTTTGCGCCGCAGACGAAGGCATGGCTGGACGTAATGGTTTGGTCGTCAGCGCAGCCCCATAGCGTGGCAGACATGGTCGACAAGTGCTTCGGCGAGGACAAAGGGAAATTGCTAGCAGTGTGGGCACGGGATACTCTGGGACTCTCGGAGGATCATTACAGTGCGGATCAATTTTCTCTCGTCATCCCTCTTTCCCTGTCTTGTCGAGCAGCTCGTGACTTGTGTGCAGCGCTTGTTTATGCTCTGTCCACCCGTCACGAGTTGCTTGACCTCGATTGGGCTTCCACTCTTCTATGCTATGTGTGCGCTGACTTTAATTTCACATTGTTATTACTCTACAAGGTCGCAAAGTACAAACTGTGAAAGATCTGGCCAAACCATGGGCCCAACTCTCCTCTCTGAACTCTGAACTACCACCCTCTCCGCACTCGTCCGAAGCGAGTACCCCGCACTCCAGCCACCGCAGCCTCAGCCCCGTAGAGGGACAAAAGGCTACACGCTCTGATGTTTCTCCCCAAGCCCACTCGGCACTGACGACGCTCCTCTTGGATGACTCTCCTCGCAAGGCAGAGCTGCAGCCGTACAATCATGTCTGTATCGGCGAGTATTCCGGTGAGCGGAGGGCGAAGGACCTGGAGAACTTCCAAGCTGAGAAGGACTGGGAAATGGCCGTTTCTGTGTGGCGGCAGCCGGAGCAAAACGGAGGGACCACAGAGGAGGATTCAGCAGGCGATAAAGCAGCAAAGAGCTCGGCAGGAGAGGAGATGTTTTCTCCCCGAGACAGCTCGGAGCCCGGGCCCGAGGCGGACGCGGATGCGTCAAGGAAACGCAAGCGGAAGGAGAAGAAGCTCAAGAAACGCGCCGCACGGCTAGAAGGAATGGATGTGTCGAAGCCGGATACTCATTTCGACGAGACGCTCCTCGCCGTTGTCGGTGTCCTTGATGAGATCAAAGGTCAGAGCAACGTCGCTGCGTGGATTCGCACAGGCGGGTTGTGGGGCCCTGAAGATGTCGTTGGATCTCATGGCCGCACTGTCCCGCCCACCGGCGGCGGCAGCGCGGCAGCAGCGTCCAATTTCACGATAGACGCAGACACACTAGATCTACGGGCGGAGAAAGGTAACAATGTCTCGGTCAAAGAAGGTGGATCCACAGGCATTGGGCATGCGCTCAAGGCCAAGAAACAAAAGCGTGCGGCAGCAGCTGCCACAGCTAAAGGGACGATCACGGAAGGCGGCAACGCGACTTCGGCCCCTCTCCCGGCTGCGACATCAGGGTCGATTCGTGGTCAAAGTCGACTCAGTGACACGTCTGATAACAGCAGGGCTACGCCTGCACCCATGTTGTGGTTCGATCACCTTCCTACAGTGGAGTTTTGGGCGGGGAGAGGGCGGACAGCGTTGGAGCGACTGCGTATTCCGGTCGAGCATGGGATCGAGCGGTAAAAGGTTTCTTTCAGTATGTTCGTGAGGTATCTTCTTGCAGTCCATCTCTCGCAATGTTGTATAGCTATCGAAGTCGTTGTGCTCTTGTTGGTCATATGGGCGAATCATAGTATACATAGTACTCACCTAGTTCGCTTTGATATCGCACAAACTGCAGCTTCTGAGTAGATGTGGATTTCTGCAGGCTTCGACAGACGAAAACTAAAGCCATGAGACGGACCTGAGTCCCAATGAAATTTACCTTTGAGCTTCGAAGCTGATTGGCAGACTTTCTCGAACCAGAAGAAGAAATAGTTGCCCAGGTTGGCTAGGACGCGGATCTTGAGCTGACCTCGCTGTATTACGCGACGTCTGCAACGACAACTAGCGCGACTTGAAAGCTCGATATGCGACCTCCAACCCTTGTCTGAACACTGGCGCGCTGTTTAATGGCACGCCTCCGCCGCGATACTCCGGACTTGGGAGTTCCGCCTGTGCAGCGGCCGCTTCGCATCGTCGCCTCTGGCACACTGTTTCTGACCCATACCTTGTTGCTGCCTACACACCCAGAGCCGAATGCAATCACACGAGCTCAATCTGTCAACCGTTCGCGTGGAGGCTCTGCTAGCACATGCCTGACGATTCTTGCCCAGTTTCCTGCGGTGGAAGCAATGCTGGTCGCCCCTCTGGGCGGAAATGAGGAGGGACAGATGATTATACGCGACCTGCAGAATGAGAGAGTGAGTACGAGGTTCTGCAAGGTCTGCAAACATGCTGGAGTTCCTAGCGCGTGGGTACTGCATGCAGGTTAGTTTACTCATTCTTGATTTGTGCACGCGTTTTCGAGGATGTGACCGTTCTTCTCAAGCCATCTTGCGTTGGACATACATATCTGCTTGACTTAAAAGCTGTCATGAAGTACTTTCACTTTGTTACCCGTTCATGCTGTGCATATGTGCTCCAAGATACTCAATATATGCTCGAAGAGGCGGAGGCTTACTTGATCATCGCCCTTTTGGGCGTCAATGCTTTGACCATGGCCCCCTGCGCAATGATAACTGGGCTATATGATGCATTTCGTCAAGGAACGAGAGTTTATTTTTTATCACAGTCATTCAACGATTACTGTGTATTCTGCAAATGCATTACTGACCGCTATGCTGCTGCACCAGGCGACACGGATTCTCGAACTGTCATCAACAATAATCCGCTTCCTGACATTACTCACGAAGAATTTGTCTCTCTTCTCGGACCCCTTCTCGCTCCAGAAAATTATGCCTATGTTGCCCCGCCGTCCTCTCACACTCCAGGACTATCTACCACTCCTCCGGCAAATCTGACCGTAAATAGTAGTATGCAACCTCGCAGTTCAATCTCAACCCCGCTCCCTTCCACCTTAACGACGGGCCGAGTAGGAACAACCACTCCCGCCCCGTTTGACTGGATCCACTTCGAGGGACGATCGGTCAAGACGACGCTTGGCAATATCATAGGGCTTGATGGCCTCGCTCGGGAACGAAAGTGGAGGAGCCACTGTGTTTTCAGCGTGGACATCGGCAGACGAGCTCGACAGGGCGTCGAAGCGGTGTGAATTCTCTTCTCCGTAACCGCCTCTTGTTCTTACTGACTGTTTGTTACGTGATACTGTAGCTAATACCGCACGCGGACGTGCTGTTCCTCAACAAACACTATGCACTCGCTCATTCCCCACAATACGCTTCCTCTCCCCGCGCGTTCCTGCTGTCCTTCATCGCCCTCGCGCCTCCGCACGCGCTCCTGGTTGCACACTGGGGTGCCGAAGGCGCGGCAGTGCTCTCAATGCCCACAAAGGAATACTTCCAGAGCTCAGGATGGGTGGAGAAGAACGCCCCCAGGTTCGGGAGCCCGACAACTGGCATGGCGAGGGGCATTCCGGAAAACCCGGATGTGGTGCGGGACCAGGTGGACATGCGCTCTGTGCGCACCGGCAGCGACTTCTATGCGGACGCGGGGCACACGATCGACACCGCTAGCATGTTCACCGCGGGCGGGCTCTCCTCGGCGCTCGCGTCGGAGCACCCGCGCGAGGAGCCGCCACAACGTGCCCGTGCAGCATCCGCGGTGCGCCAACAACAGCGTCGACGTCGCGATGGCCGCGGCGAGGACGATGGGGAGTCGTCCGACTCTGACGGGACGCAGATCGCAGGTCCGGGCGCGACGCATGAGGGCGGCGTGCCCCGCGTATGTTCTCGCCCGAGCCTGAATTCGCTGTCGGGCGCGATCATCGATGAGGTGGGCGCACAGGATGCGTTCGTAGCGGGGATGATGTTCGCCCTTAGTCGGAGGATGGTGCCCGGCGATCCCTACACACCGTCTGCAATGGGGCGTGACGGGGTGGACGGGGAGCGGGATTGGGACATTCAGAGGGGACGCTGGCGGTTAGAGGAGTGTTTGAGGTAGGAGTGGTCATTCCATCATATACATGCCTCTTTCTGACTGTGGATGGCATTATTAGATTTGCGACAGAGTTGGCTGGGCGGAAAGGCAGACGGAAAGGGTGGGACGGCTTAGCAGACGAGATGATGAGAGCCGGATGGTTTGAAAATTGATCGTGCGCCTGGTCTTCAAAGCTTCATAACCCTTCTAAGCATAAGACTACTTACATTACTGGCGGTTGCTTCCCAGCTTGTCCTTCATCGCTATATACTTTCCGTGCCAAAGATAGGATGTGGAGTTCGTTCTCCTAAACTCAAGGCTGGAACGAGAATGTTGTACAAAAAGAAAGAAAAATCATCCCAGCGTTCCGACACGGGGAATCGAACCCCGGGCTATCGCGTGAGAGGCGATAATGTTAGCCACTACACCATGTCGGATTCCATCTTAGTTGACATCCATCATAGAAACTCACTATGGTCATAATGGAGAGAATGTATACCTCCGAAACGTGCACCTGTTTCGCCCAAGCTTGATCTACCATGTTGCCTGGCGTGAGCCGGGCGTTGTTCTCGTCCTCGGTGCGACTAAGATTCCCCAGATGCATTTCTCGACGTCCCCTCGCTGTCCGGCAGCTATCCTCAAGCTCCCCACGCCTCGCCCGCTACGCCAGATTCGATCCGGAGCATCCTCTCGACATGCGGCGCTGGGACACAGGTATGAAGGTCGTCGCGGGAGTCATTGTTGGCGGCGGTGTGTACTACGTAATCCAGTACGTGTCCATTTGAGCTCATATTTGCCCAGACCCCGACGCATACATGCCCCTGACGCGTGCGCTGCAGTCTCGAGCAGGTGCCGGAGACGGGGCGGTGGCGGTTCATGGACATCAACCCAAAATTTGAGGCGAAAGTGGGTGTTTGCATGAGTACTGTTTCGCTTGTACGCTGACGTTTGTGCCGGTGCAGCTGGCGGAGACCGCGCGTGAGGAGCTCCTAGCAGAGTTCAAGGGCAAGACGCTCCCTCCGAACCACCCACTCACGCGCCATGTTCGGCGCGTAGTCACCCGCATCCTTGAATCGTCCAACCTGGGTACCCTCTCGTCTCCAGAGCATAGAATCGTTTCTCCAGAGCAAGTACTTGAGGATCTGTGGGAGCCCCAGCTACGCTCAGAAAGTGAGACGCCACCAGGTGCTGGTGGCAGGGTGTGGAACCTCCTCGTCGTTAACGACGACAAGATCGTCAACGCGATGGCAAGCTATGGTACGGATTGCTGCTGTTTTGTTGGTTGGCCATGGTTGATGTTGTTCCTAGGGAGTATCGTTGTCTTCACTGGTATTTTGCCCGTAGCCAGAGATGAAGCAGGTTTAGCCGCTATCCTCGGACACGGTAAGACTGCTTGCTCGTCGCACACGTTACGCTCTGAATGCTCAGACGCCCTCATTTAGAGATCGGGCACGTCGGTAAGTCCGCATGGCGAATGTACGCGCGCATCTCATCCTCGACCCGTAGTCGCAAGACATGCCTCTGAGCGCTACTCGGAAGCGAAGGTGTTCATTTTCCTGGCATACCTCCTGGAGCTCACTGGCCTTGATTTTGGCTTTGCGCGAATGCTCACGACCCTGTTGTACTCATTGCCCAACTCCCGCACTCAGGAGTTTGAAGGTGTGCCGTGTTCTTTCACCTAGTGGGCACATTAATGAGGATCGTTCACTGCAGCGGACAAGATTGGGTTGACACTGTCCTCAAAAGCCTGCTATGACCCACGATCCGCACCAGAGTACGTGGTCAAAATGTTTCGCTTGGGCACTGACACCTGAACTTTGCGATGCAGAATGTTCGCCCGCCTTGGCAAGCTTGATGAAGGCTATCTCAATATCAGCTTCCTGAACACACATCCAACCTCGGACAAGCGTATCAAGGTTCGTGTGCCGTGACGTATACGCGAATTGTGACTGACATCCACTCACAGCAACTTGAAGACATGCTCCCCGAAGCTTACGCTTTGCAGGCTGCCACGCCCGAGTGCGGTGATTCCCTGCGAGACAGCTTGGGGGCGTTCAGAGACACGTTCGCACGTGGATTCAACAAGGACAACGAGAGTGCGAGTTGGAGATGGGGTTAGATAGTTTAGATCCTGTGCACAATGTTCAAGTTGATCGCTTTGTTTGCCGTCTTGTCATGCTGAAGTGCTGGTCCTCGGACATCGACGGCCCCTTTGTTGCACTTTGAAAATGTAAATTGCTTCATGTCTCTCAGTCGACGTTGATCAAACCGAGGCATTCAAATCCACTCCGCGGATCTAAGACCACGTGCTCAAGGCGATCTGTACTGAACGCCATCGTGTCGCCATGACGACCAGAACTCTTCTTTCGCGTTATCTCTGGCTTGGCAAGCAGCAGAACGGCGAAGCATTCTTGCTGGTATAGAAGCAGGACGTTCGGAATACAAGGCGACCAGACCAGGACCACCTTACCATCCTGCACAATTCGCCCGCAATTTGACCGAGCAAAACCGCTAGCCTGGTGGACTTGCAAAATTGACGAGCCACCGAAGCCGCCGGGGTAAATTTAGCCGATGCACTGAGTACTGTTGTACGTACACCAACGTGGACGCGATATGCGCTGAACGCTTTCGTCTTGGTTTCCTCTCCCTCCATCCACGGCCTGTCTTACTGGCATGTCTTTCTTTCGCAATCGCCGCCAGTCTCCACAGCAGTCTCTCCAGGAACCAGGGAGTCCGAAGCCTGCGTCGGTCGTATCGCCAACGCCAAGCAGCACTGCCAAAATCAGGAAGCGCCTCACTTCGCTCTCGCTCGGAGGGATCAAACGCACCAGGTCGACGACCCACAAGCACTGCGCTGCGCCCCCAGTTGGTCATACTGTCCAGTTTCCGTCAGGGTACGCGCGATATGGGAGCGAGTCGCCATCGCCCACTGCGTCACTCGATATCCGCATGCCCACGGGACTAGGACGTCGTGCGAGTTTTACAGAGAAGTCTGAGCAGGAGCAGCAGGGCAGGGCTGAGCGATTGCGGCAGGAGAGGCCAAAGACTACTGGCGGCATCAGTGCGCCGGATCTGTCGCATTCGTCCCAGTCGGGTGCGGGCATGTTGCGATGGGTGGACGCGCTCACGGAGGATGTTACCAAAGATGACGGGCCTGCGATAATGCGCATGCCTGTCGACCTGTTGAACGTCATGTTCTCCTACATGTCGCGCCAAGAACTCGCCTCGCTTGCTCTCGTGTCGCGGATGTTCCTCCTGCCTGCATTGCGCGCGCTGTACAGCAACCTGGACTTATGGCACACCGCTGATTCGCGCGTCGAGCAGTGTATTGCACTCCTTGCATCCAAACGGTCGTTCGGGGGCTATGTCCGTCGATTTGTGTGTCGCAAGCTGCCCGCAACCAAGAATGGTGCGGTGTCGATGAGCACGGTGACCTTCGCCATCGCGTTCACCAACATGTACCAGCTAACGTCGCTCACCATCCCCCGGTTCGAAGCGCATCTCCTCCTCCACACAACCTTCCGACTACGACGCCTAACGATCCTCGCGGAGTTTATGTCGTCGGACGAGTTACGTGACTTCTTCTCCTGGCTGGTCAGCCAACCTGCACTCACCTCCCTCTCGCTCCCCAACCTCGTCCTGCGTTCGCTACTTAACAGAGAGGACTCTGGCAGCCCCTCGAATGATACCACACAACCATCTGATACCCTAATGTGCCCCTCACAATCATTTCCCCACCATCTACTCTCACGTCTCACACATTTTCATGGTCCCCCAGTATTGGGTGCAGTACTTGTTCCAGGGCACCCTGTCGCGTCCGCGGTCTTGCGCATCCGAACTACGCTGTACGAGGGACTGCGGCCCTCTGCGATCATGTCCGCACTCGCGCGGTCCAGCGCGCCGATTAAGCGGCTGTCCATTAAAGCCACCTCTAACAAGGTCGACGCGCGAACGTTGGAGCGGATCTTCATGTCCGCTGGTGCGGAGCTTGGAGATAGGCTCGAGGTGCTCGAGGTTGACTGGGTGCTCGAAGACGAGGTACGCTCTTTCCGATGTTCCCTCCTCACACTGCGCCGTCTGAACCTGCAACATAGATACTCTACAAGCAGATCCTCTCTGTGCTCCCGCGCTTCCGCTCCCTGCGCACGCTGCGATTGCACCGTGGCTCCCCACCCCCACCGCCGAGGTCGCCTCCGCCCACATTCCCGCTACCACCGACGTCGCTCTCACCGACGAATATCTACCCCTCCCCGCTCCCGTCGCCAAACTCACCGCTCGGCAGCCGCCCGACGACCGCGAACAGTATGTCGCTCGACATCCCGCTGCCGCGCGCGCACGAACGCACGCACCTCAGCGCGTGGAGCCGGCACTGCCCCTCGCTGCGCTCGGTCGTGTTCCTCTCGGATGCGGAATGGCGCATCAGCTTGCGCAATTTGGCGGACCCGATGTCGATGTATGCCTTCGTCGGGTTCGTGGCGGATTGACCGCGCCTGCCGGTATATATCTATCTATTTATCTGTGAGGTCTTTTAAATTTACTCACTCGTTGATTAATATTTCGATTATAATGTTATCGGTGCGTAAAGCTTGCCTTTTATTTCGCTGGTATCGCAGCCTGTGAGCCAACAAGGGGATACGCTTGAGGAGTAAGTGGAAGAGTGCGCTCATACGCACGATGCCAAGCAGTGCGGACTCGTCCAGGTGGTCAATCATTCTGGTAAGACCTTCATGTGAGGCTCTGGAGGATAGACGACGCGAAAATACATTTCGCAACTGAGGGAGGATCCTTCGACGTTATGGATCACCAAGGTACTTTGCTCAGATATTTACTAACTTATACTGCTCTACAATATTTGCCTGCGAAATCAAGACTCGACTGGGTTGCATCTGCGACGAAATAGCGGACACCCGAGTTGCGATGCACCGTCGCACGGATATTTTCTAACAGAGTACGCGTCTTGGCCTCATTCCTGCCGTGTAAAATTAGCTTGAAGCCCTCGTCAAACAGCTACGCAACGGCATTCCCAATTCCGTCCGTCGCACGGGTGACTACGGCGTATACGGGACTAGGCGGGAGGGCCGCGCTGGAAGACCGCGAAACGGCATGCGATTGGGATGGAGAGGGCCACGCCGATGACAGCGAAAACCTCCATCGTTGTCAACCTCGCAGCAGACAATTAGCGAACGTTGAAGGAAATGAATATTAACCTCTCAATCCACGTGGGAATAGCAGTCTACTTATGGTCGGAAATTAAATTAATTAAATGACGCGATCGGTCACACGGGTCACGGCTGTACTAGTACTGTCACGGTGACAGCGACCTCACCTCTGCTGATTCAGTACTTGCTGAAGAACATGAGCCTGTCAACCATTAACAATGATGTTGTGCTCCTTATCATCTCATTTTTCAAGCCATACGATGCCCTCTCTCTATCCGAGACCTGCCGCCAATTCCATGTCATCGCACTGGCACAAGCAACCCCCTCGGTCGCTCTGAGAAACCACCAGCAATTGACTGCTTGCTGCATGTACATGCTTAGTGGTCCGTCGAATTGCATTCATTATTTGGAGGTCCCACAGTCACTCTTGAGAAACCGCAATTTTACCAATCCACGGACCTTCTCGAGAATGCTCAGGGTCTTAGATCTATCACCATCCATCATACAGGGAGTCTCATACTGAACGAGCCGCGCATCGAGTCAGTGGCGCACTCGCTGCGCTCGAAGGAATTGACGACGTTGTCCTGCAAGAGGTCGAAAACGCCGTGCACCAGATGCTGTCTAAGTGCGCGAAGTCTCACTTTTCTGCGACCTTGAACACCGTCTGCATCTCTCTCAGCTGCCTCTGCAAAATGCAGAGCACCTCACAATCTCGTGCCGTCGTCGATGACGACCAGCCGCTGTGGGGACGTTATGCGGGACCGCAGTGGCTAGCGTGTCGACATATTGAACTTCTGTTCATCTAGATACCTCGGGCTATCTTCGTGCATGCATTTCCCGACCTCCAGCGGGTGTGGTGCTAGGCGGCCGATGTCTCCCGGCCAGCCACAGGCACCACGCACAGTTCGCCAATCTTCTGGCACTCTGTCGCCCCATCCATTTTGTGACTCTGCAGGTCTCATAGGTGGACCCCATGCGTCCCGCAGCAGAGATTGAGCAAGCGCTTGGTGTTCTGCTGTGTGTCCGATCCGCAGTACTCCGAGTCTGTCTTGTCATCTACCTAGAACAGTCGGTACTTCTGTGGCGGCGCATCGTCGAGCTGTCCTCGCAGCTCTAGTACTTCGATAAACAGTTGCGCGGATACCGCTAAACGGACGTTTCGAAGTGGCTGGTGAGCATTCTTGGTGGTCGTGACTTCGAAGCGATGTCGAGTTGACCGTCAGTCTGCGGCAGGCTACCATACCCCCTCTCCTTGTCCCGCTGGACGTGGTCTGCATCCATCTCTCTATCATAGATCAGCAAGCAGCACCAAGATAAGCTGCGAGACACGCTCGCACAACATATGTCCTCGTTGCGCTACATCGCAATCGATTGCTTAGCCTCGGATGATGAAGTGTATGCGTGGTGGAGGGCGGCAGGTGGCGGAGATGCCGCACGAGGTTGGCGATGCCCTCTGGCGTTCTGCTGCGTGATAGCAGATCGCAACGCGAGATAGCGGTCTGTCCGTGCATGCGATCTTGCAATGGTTGGTGGAGATGTTGAGAGGCGGGACGCGCTTTCGCAGATTCAATCGCAGGCAATATACCACCATTGTACGTGCCCATTCCGGTTTCCGCATGTTGCAAGTAGTACAACACATTTTTTAGGGTGGTGCGTACCTTATGCGCAAAGACTGCGACAGAGGTACGACAGAGGAAGATAATGGGTTAAAGGCTGTCGAAACTCCATTCCTCCTCCGGATTGACCACTTCTCAAACCGCAATGCATACTTCTGCTGTCTCTGACACAGTCAGGATATGCATGCGAGTTGCGACGCAGGAAAAAAACTTGCAAACAATATTCCCCGACTCCAGGAACTGGAGGAGGGCTTTGGCAAGGGGAAACGGCAGACGCCTCTGCGAATGAAGTTGTGCGAAAACAACATCAGTAAATAAGTTGAGTAATAACACTTACGATTTGAGTCTTGACTCCGTCTAGGGTTCCGGTCGCGAACGTCGCTGTTGCACTGGACCTGTCGACACTGTTCGAGTGCAGGTCTATTTACGTAAGATCGCGCTCGCGAACGTTCCGCCCTTGCGCTCGACCTGCCCACGGTGTTCCAGCGCAGGTCTATTCACGTAGGATGGCGCTCGCAAACATCACGTGCGCGCTCGATTTCTCGACGATGTTGGCGCTGCTGGACGACGTTACACCTCAGTGTCGCTCCTCGACGAGTCGCTATACGACATCATTCTGTTTTGCATGTGAGTGTATTCTTCTTCTCGTATTATTACTAATCTACTGATTCACCACTAAACCATGTAGAATCTACGTGGACCTGCTCTCTTGAAGACATAGTTTTCGCGTTTTTTGCGACTGTTTCGGACAAGTGTAGCTGCAAAATAGGTGCGTCTATGCTTGTTGACTTGTTCAAATGGATACTTACAGTTTAATTTGCACGATGCAGTTGCTATTTGTGATACTGTGTTCACAGTTTTGCAGTGCTGTTTTGATTGAGTTCGTGTCTAAGCACGTTAAACATTTCGTGTTCAAGCACGTTAAACATTTCGTGTTCAAGCACGTTAAATATTTTGTGTTCAAGCACATTAAGTATTTGTCTTCAAGCACGCTGTTCAAGTACACTAAGGATTTGTGTTGAAACACCTTTAAATCTTCGGACTGAAGTAGCGTAAGCGATTGACTTTAGCCATGGCAGATTTCAATCCCTCATGGTTCTATTTGTCTGATGAACAGTATTTGCGTACACTCCAAAGGTTAAGTCTTCATACTCTGCAGTCTGCAGCTGTGTCATCTCACTGTTTAATACCTCAGAAAGACCGTAACAAGTCTGAGATTTGCAGAAGACTTCTTGTTGACTTTCAATTGAGTCGTGCATCTGTTGCTATCATGTCCAATGAAGATGTAGCAAAGTGTCTGCATGGTGATGATCAACTTCTCAAATCCCGGTATGCTCTGCTCAGTGCTCTGTATATTAAATTGTATGGTGAACCTGTAGCACTAGCAATACGTTCTGCGAACTCTCCACTTTTTGAGGAACATCCATTAATTGGATATGCCATACCGCCTGTAGAATTATGTATAGAATTACCCTGGTTTGTCACTCCAGCTAGTGTTCTCATTCACCGTTTGTCATCTGTGTTAATGCGAACACTTTATAACTATGGTATTACGTTTACAAACCAATTGCCAGTAAAACGTCATGCACGTTGCACAGTTATAGTTGAGCATATTGTTGAGTTGTCCCAGTACTTATTCAAAGTTGAATCTTCAAAGTTTTTGAATACTATCTTGTGTCATTTACCATTCTTATCTCAGAGTGAGTTATGTAGTCCTCGTAGTGAACTGATTTTCAAGCTACTAAAGTCAAGTGTTCCATCTGAGATTTTTGATAAATTAAACATGGAGTCTCATACAAACAGTGATGCAAAGAAAGAGCAGCGTAGAGTTGAAAAGGCGTTAAAAATTGAACAGGACAGTGCAGAGACAAAAGCATATATTGATGCATGGCCACAACTTGTTCCTCACAATGTGATTCTTAACTGTCTGAACAATTATTACACTCATACTCAGTGGCATTCACCTTCAATTTGTGCTGTATGTGCTCGTCAGTCACATGAGATTCATATTTCTGAATATAAGATGGATGGTTTACTGCGGAATGAGCAAGTATTATCTGCATTCCAAATCACAGATTCTTTCATTCTAGAAAACTGCGTAGTTAAACAGAATAGCTCTGAGTTTGTTTTTAAGGACTCAAGGTTAGACAGCTGTATGTTGGATAAGAAAGGGCTGACTTATGATAATGGCATGGTCACAGCTATCAAAATTTGTTCGAGCTGCTATACAGCAATACAACATCGTACTACACCACAATATGGCTTAGTTAATAATCTGTATCGTGGTTGTCTGCCTGAGCAATACAATGATATAACCTGGGTTGAAGAAATGGTTTGTGCAATCTACCGTAGCACTGCACATGTCACAAGAATTTACCAGTCATCTGACCCTGCACAGCCAAAGGTGTTTCATGGAAACACATGTGCACATGATTTAAATGTTGTTTCCACAGCATCAGTGCTTCCAAGAACACCTGCCGATGTTGCTGATATGCTTACAGTTGTTTTTATTGGTCCACATAAGTTTAAGCCTGAGTACGTAGGAAACATGTATCGTGTGCGGAAGCGTAAGATTTGGAGCTTCTTACTGTGGCTTAAGAGTCATAACAAGTTGTATAAACATATGACTTTTGATCTGTCTGCACTTGATATGTATCCTGAAGATGATGTGTTACCGGGTCTTAGTTCACGAATTGTCGAAGATCACAG